CGTAAATTTGCTGGTGTTTTGAATATGTAGGTGTGTAGGTCGAGACAGTGTACTACCTTTGTAGTTAAATGACTTTTCATCAAGTGCTTTTTAATCGAAACATTAAAACAATGCATTTTGTGTCGAATTTGCCCGGCACCCCCACTCCGAGAACGGACGGACCCCATGCTTGTTACCAAAATGTCCGGTAAAGGGGTATTTTTCGTGCGACAAAGTTCGGTCCGAGAATTGTAAAAAAAGGGGGTGTATTAACTTTTCACCCTGAGATTTCTTTAAAAAGGGGGTCTTTTTTTTCTTTTTTTCTCTCATCTCTTTGGACTCCTGAGAAATTATTCCGAATTTAGGGGGGGGGGGGTACATTGAGCATTTTTCATGATATAGGGGGGGGGCTCTCCAAGGCAGGAAAAGCCCGCGAAAAGCCCGCGAAAGGGGGGGGGGTCGGAAATGTTGGCAGTCCTCAGATAGGGGGTGCTTTCAAAAAGAGGGAACAAGCATATGCGTACCCTAAATAACACTGAGTGGGGGGCCGGGCGAAATTGCCATCATAGTACAATACTACATGTAACAAAGTACGCAGTGGTAAACGATGTATAACTATAATAGATGTGAGTTTTACGAATCGATACCACAACACAGTACTCTATAAAAAGTTAGTGTAAAGAAAACAGTTATGCAACATAATATATGAATGATGATAATAATGATAATAAAGATAATAGTTATAATAACAAAAGATGATGATGATAGTAATAATGAGAATACTACTACTACTAATAATAATAATACTGATCTTAATAACAACAATAATAATAATAGTAATACTACTGTATAATGTCAATTAATTTTGTAGGTGTAATTATAGGTGCATTAATTGGTTTACTTTCTCATAAATATTTGTTGTCATTTGCTTATCTATTTTGTTATTTATTGTTGTTTTAATGTTGTTTATATATTCAAAATTGTTATGATTGTACAAAACTGTAAAGCGCATAGAGAAATTTACAATTTATTATGCGCTTTATAAATATACTCTATTATTATTATTATTACTACTACTACTTCTATATAATAATAATAATAATAATAATAATAATAATAATTATAATAATAATAATAATAATAATAATAATAATAATAATAATAATAATAATAATAATAATAATAATAATAATAATAATAATAATAATAATAATAATAATAATAATAATAATAATAATAATAATAATAATAATAATAATAATAATAATAATAATAATAATAATAATAATAATAATAATAATAATAGTATGCTTTTTATATTACGCACGTATCTAGCCCAGTGGATGGTCAAGGCACCTACAAAGTAATATTATTACCCTGGCTGTAGCCCGTCTGCCTTAAGGCGCGAAAAGCATTCAAGAATACATTCCTACCACTGTATATATACCTATTTACTATACCGGGTGGAAGGTAGCAAATGTAGATAAATGTCTTGCCAGGGACGTAAGTGCTGAGTGATCCACAGTCCGTGACGTATCCAATGCACCACGACATCTCTACTTGGCAAGATATTAACCTGTACTTGCTACTCTCCACCCAGGTGTCAAATGGGTACCCGGTATAGGATGCGGCCGTCATTGTTGGTCAAACAGCTTGTGAGCGTCAAGTACACCCGGCTGGAATGCTCCCCAGGGAGTGGAGATTGAACTGTGGACTGATCCAATGACAGGGGTAATAGTATATTTGTAAAGCGCTTAGAGACATTTGTATTAAGCGCTATATAAAAAATAAATATTATTATTATTATTAATCACGATAATGTAGTGTAAACTTAAAGCAAAGGTAAAACACCACCATACGAACGATTTTCATGCTTTCCTCCGTTGATTTAGCCTCTTTTCAGATTCCGTCTCTATACCTCTCTTGTTGAAATGTGATATGTTTATTAATAGAATGATGGTTTAAACGCTGTGTTCAGAGAATAGACTCGAACCCAGTTTATGATCCTCAAATCGAATGATTAAGGTATATCGTTCACAGTTTGCAACCGAGAGACACAAAACTTAGAGAACAAACAAATGAACCCGAATAGGGTGCTTCTACTTTTTCTACTTCTACGACGATACTCAGCAGGATCCATAAGTCAGGATGTAGTGCTGAGGAATAAACTATCTAGTTCTTGGTCTAGATGTTGAGTGGAAGCGCTCCCTTGAAGCGCTCCCTTGAAGCCCTCCCTTGAAGCCCTCCAGTGAAGTAGCGTCCAGTAACTAGCTTGGCGGATCGTTTTCATAGTGAATATCTACAATACCGATAAATTCGGATTTATGAAACATGAATAATAACTTAACAAAATGTCCGCGAGACCAAATCATTCGATTTAGTGAAAGTCTGGTCTTTAGAAAAATAATGAATTGTTGTCAGAAAGTCCACAAAATTAACATGTTCGGTCTGAACCCTCTTATTTTTAGTTGAAGGTTTCACTGAGTAATCACAAGGTCTTTCAGACCCGAATTTTATGTCGTTAAATTTCGTTCTCGTGAAGGTTACGACTTTTGACAAGGTTCACGACAATGTAGCCTTCAGTCCTGTGAGACGTTGGTCCAGTTGGTCTCTGAAAGGTTCCAAATAGTTGTAAAGTAGGTCAGTTATAAGACCCCGATGGGTTTACTCTCATGGTCGTGTGTCCTTGATCGGGGAAGCTTGTCTTGTCGAAAGGTATAGAAGAATCAAAATCAATTTGGTTCTATTGACTTTAGTTAACCTATGTAACCTATTAATTACCCACATTATAATGCATTAAACACAAACGTACATCGATTTAGGAAATACTATAACTTTGTCCTTTCGTAGAGCTGTACAAATTATGTTAAAAAGTCAATTATATAATCCGAGTTCTGATTAGGTTTTTAAAACATGACATTGTAATACTTGATGAAAAGGTAAATTTATATCCATATAAAATATGTCCACACTCAGAAAATAATCATATTATGGATTTGCTTAGAAAATTTCTTTTGACAAATACAATATTCCTGTCTTTATCAGAATAAGACGAAATAAGTTAGTAAACAAAATGACCCCCTCTCTTTTTGTTCCAGTCATTTTCCCTCATATTCATTCATTTTTTAATTTCATAAATCAATTCATTTTATTTAATTTATTTATCTATTTATCTATCTATCTAATTTATTTTTCCATTCGGCAAATATTACTTTCCCTTGTTGGCAAATAAATCAGAGTTTTCCTTATATTGTTGTATAATTCATTTTCCTATATTTACCTTTTGGCGTGTGTTTGCATCCTGTAATTATGGCCCCTCCCAACCTCCCACTCTACCCTACCCTCCTCTTCCTCCGGCATCTCTGGTGTCAGATTAATTTCTCTCTTCATACTGCATATTGTTTATTGGTAGCTCTTTCACACACGAATCTCGAGGCGTCATCTTCTGAAGTCGTTTGGTTGACAGGGAGAATGCCAGGAGGATGCTCATGAGGCCGATCAGAAAAACAGCTCCTGCTGCCCCACCTATTGCATATTTCATGATGTCGGTCTTCCAGAATCTGTAATCGTCGTCACCGTCCTTACCGTCCTTTCCACCTGGAAAACCAGTCCCATTGGAGCCTTCAACACGCAATAAGATTAGGAAGTCTCTTTCGTCGACGTTGTTGGTTGCGCGGCAAGTGTAGTTGGTGTTTTGTTCATGCCAGACCGTGTGGATGTAGAGGGAACCGTTGGGATAGTTTGTGAACCCGGTTGAAACGTCGCCTGTCTGTGTGACGTCTTCGAGGACCATTGACCGTGAGGTGTGGTTGAAGGCAGCAATAAACCATTGGACATTTGCCTTACTCGCAGACATGACGGGACATTCTAGGAGGACACCTTGTCCATGAACACCTGCAAATTCGTTGGACGAGTTCATGTTTGCTTCGATAGAGCAATGGAAATCGGACATCACCAGAGAGGATACTGCCATGGATTCAAGAGCCTTAGGGGCGGCACATCGGACGTCGTCTTCATTATCAATAGCTGATTCTTGAAGCCAAGCCAGGTTACAATCGCACACCAGCGGGTTGCTACCCAGGAATAGGAATGTCGGTAAGGTTTCAAAGACATCGCGAGACAGAGTTTGCAGTCGGTTGCCTTTCAAATCAACTCTACTGAGAGCTGGGAGATTGGCGAACGCATCAGATGTAATTGCGTAGATTTGATTTATCGACAGATCAATGTCGGCCAAGGCTTGATGGTCTGGTAGGTCAAACGAGCGGAGCATGAGGATCGTATTCTGATTCATGGAGTACACATGCATGCCAGGCATTTGTTCAATCACACCAGTGCAAGGATATCTTAGACGGTTGTTATTAATGTAGAATTTCCTTAGATTAGACGGTGGCTTTGATTGACCACGTTGCCGTGGATCGTAATCAACCTCAAAGATATCGTCCGGTAGATAGGAAATCTCATTGTTGTCAAGATTCAGAACCATCAGGTTAGGGAGATCACCAAGCATATACTGATTAACAGAATGGATACGATTGTTCTTCATTTCTAGGTGTATCAAGTCCGATATGTCCCACAAGAATCCATTTGCGATGTTGCCTAGGTCGTTGTCATTCAAATACAGCTCTTGGAGAAGGACACTTGACCAGCTTCCATGGCTTATACTCGTGATGAGGTTGTTGTTAAGATTAATCCAGGTCAGGTTTTGTGATTTTTCGTGAATGAAGTTGAATGATACATGAGAGATGGAGTTGTGTGACAGGTTCAAATTGTTCACGGATGGGGTTTCGAGACCAGGTTCTAGTATATCCTCTATGCGGTTTTTGTCCAACCGCAGGGTCTGGAGATGCAACATGTTCTTGAATGAATCAGGCACAACTTCGGTAATCTGATTGTCAGATAGATTCATCTCTCGCAGTTGGTAAAGTGGTTCCCACATGCTAGAATTGATGTTCTGGATAAAATTTCCCGCGAGATGTAGGACGGTTAGGTTATGTAAACCAGAAAAGGTGAAATTACTTATCTCCGAGATGCGATTTCCTGACAGATCAAGGAAGCGGAGAGCCGCTAACGAAGCAAACACATCATCGTGGATAAAAGCAATGTCATTGTTGTCGAGCATAAGTTCTTTGAGTTTAGGCAGTCCGTACTGGACCGAGGAATTAGAAATGATCAGAACTCCACTGAACGTATCATAGGTCAAACCATACAGGAAATTGTGGCTTAGGTTGAGTCGTGTCAGCTCCATTGCGTTATGAAAAGCACCTGCTTCAATATATTCTAGGGAATTCCTGGACAAATCGAGGTGTCGTAGCATCGAGAAATTGAAGAAACCCAAAGACGGAAGGACTCGGTCTCCAGATCCTGGTCTCACATGAATCTCCAAGTCAGAGGCTAAACGGTTCGGGATGTTACCTATGATGTCTTGGATGTTGGTGCTGTCGCAAGATATCAACATTGGGATTTCGGTTCCAGTTCCACTTTCACCCTCAACCGCGGCATCTTCCCTGAGGCTGCAGGAGCAAGCATACTCCTCGGGTGGACACCAAGGAAACTCAAGTAGACCGTAGCTAAGGTGTGGTTCAGAACAGATGAGACAGCAGAGTAGCATCCAGCTGAAGAGACGGATCGTTTGTCTCTTGACCGAAGCCATGGTTGCCAAGGAGTTGTGAGAAGATTCAAATCTGAGAAAGAAACAACATAATTCGTCCCTATTTTCACGAAGTGACGGTAGTGAGGAAAATCGTAACGCAAAGTGAATGCAATTTTTTTTCACTACCGTCACTTCGTGAAAACAGCGACGAATTATTCTCATTTTTAAGTTACTTATCGGTTTATCATAATCCCCCAAAATTCTGCAAGCAGGGAAAGAGCTGAAAATAATTCTCAAAAAGAGAGATATATTTTTAATCCATGATACAATGTACATGCATGCATTTCAACATGTAAATGTACTTAGGAGTTGGGTTTTGGGCTTTAGTTATTATTTTGTGCACTTTTCCTCCGAGCAGCTGCAGTGCAGCTGCCCTCCCATAAATTTGTTAACCCGTTCTTATATACCATGTACTCTCTCCCTCTTTCCTTTCTCTCCTATATCTCTTATCTTCCTCTCCTTAATCTCTTTTATCTTCCTCTAATTCATCTTCTTCTCCCCCTCTCTCTCTCTCCTTTTCTTTCTGTTACTTTCCTGTCTTTTCCCCCTTCTTCTTTCTGTTTCTCTCCCTAGTCTCTTCGTACTTGTTTAAAAGAGAGTAAAGCCCTGGAGGTGGTGGGGGATGGGTGGGTCGGGTTTTTTGTTAGTTACCTACCCCGAGGTTACATTCTCCTTTAACTCCCTCTTTCTATTTTCTACTCTATTTCTCCCTTTTTTTTCTTCTTCTTCTTCCCTTTATCCGTTTGTTCTTTGTAATTTGTATTATATGTATTATTTATTTATTCATACTTTTTATGCTTTTTATATTTTGATGTGATTGTATTTATATTATATATTTTGTATACATTTTTTTATAAGTTGTGTATTTTCATGTATGATCACCTGGAAGGAAAGTTTCTTCTCTTTAGGATAAAGACAATAAATTATCTATCTATCTATCTATATCTATGTGCTATAATAATTATGTACATTATATATTTAACAAGAACGTTGGCATATTGTTGATGAAATAATATGAAACGTATATACAGAAAAGGAAAACAAATTCCCCAATGGGGCTATATCATCGGGAGATGTTCAAAACTGTTAACATTTAATGTTCAAAGATGGAACAAACTCATTGTTTTAAATTAAGAAGTGTAACTGGAAGGGCGTTGAAAGAGAATAATAAACGTAATTCCTACAAATTTCACAAGATGTGAAAAGCCGAGCCAATTATGAGTTACATGTATTTACAAGGGCGGGACAGATTATCAATGCTGAGAGAAAAAACTTATCATTTGCAAACGAGTTCAATAGTTACCCGTTCTCGTATTGCATGGCCAGATGATGCCAATGCCCCAAGACTCAAGAGCATTACACAATATTATTAATGGTGACAAAACCAGGCGAAATTGAAAAGTGCCAATAATGAAAACAATTCATAAATTTATGTAGTGCCTATTACATTTGCGATATCTCAAAGTGCTTTTTCATGAATATAATTTCGTTTATGAGATTTAGGCTCATCCACAAACACAATTCAGGGGGCGGATCTACGGGGGGGGGGTTAAACGGTAACACCCCTCCCCCCTGGGCTGTCAAGTGAAAATGTGATGTGCATAAAAAAACGCCATGTGTCCAGACCCACACAGTTTTAGTAGATGTTAGTAGATGCCAGGAAAATAGCAACAACAAAAATCGTTTATTTATTTCATTGCATGTATTCTATGACTCCTGTGCCCCCAGAGAATCATGAATATGATTGTTTCCTTTTTTTCTTCAATTACGACTTCTTCACAAAAAAAAAACACGCTCTGGTTTTTTTTCTTCGAATCTTCATTTTTACCCCACTTCTGCACATAAAATTATTTTAGTTGAAAATTACACTTAAAAAAGTTTTTTTTAATGATATGTCTAAATTCTAAAAAAGCGGTCCATTTTACCGCAATAAAAAATAGGCCTAATTATGTGATATCTACTACAATGACTTTCTTCAAATTTATTAGAGCTATACATAATTATTCTAGATCCAAATTTTATCCAAATCCGGGATCCAAATCTAACGGGCTATTCCCATATTAACCTTCATCGACAACTGTTTATGTCAACGCTGATAGGATTATATTTGTATAAAAGAGCATAAATTGAAGGGGAAAATGTAATACTATTATGTCTATCAATCTATATCGAAAATACATATTTATAACTTCGTGTTTTAAAAAAATACATTACATTGACTAAACTTAACCTCACTTTTTTTAACTGGCTCACCGATTGCCGTAATTGGTAGAGCAGGGGCCAGAGGCGGGGGGGGGGGACACAGTGCCCCCCCCCCCACTTTTTCAGATACCCCCAAAGTGCCCCTTTTTACATAGGCAAATTGCCCCTTTTATTTTGTAAGAAGTGCCCCTTTTACATAGGAAAAGTGCCCCTATTACTTCGTAAAAGTGCCCCTCCCCCCTTTTCACCTCTGACGAGTGCCCTTTTTATTTTTGAAACGTGCCCCTTTTCCTTCGACATTTTCCTTTGCAAAAAGTGTCCATTTTCCATTCTCATAAATCTTGAAATTATCTTGAATAAGTGCCCTTTTTAATCTCTAGTAGGTGCCTCTTTTCAGGTACGAGAAGTGCCCCTTTTCACTTTTGATAAGTGCCCCATTCATCTCTGATAATTGCCCTCTTCAAAACTGAGAAGTGCTCTTTTTACTTTGACAACTGCCCCTTTTTTCCTTTGTAAGAAGTGCCCCTTCTCCTTTTAATAACTACCCCTTTTTTAAACTCGGATGAGCACACATTTCATTTTAACATGTGCCTCTTTTATTTTCTAATAAGTGCCCCTTTTCCTTATGATAAGTGCCCCCATTAAAAAGAGAGAGAGCTCCTACCCCTTCTCATAACTACCCCTTTCCCTTTCTAATAAGTGCCCCTTTTCCTTATGATAAGTGCCCCCACTAAAAAGAAAGAGCTCCTTCCCCTTCTCATAAGTGCCCCTTTTAAAAATCTGAACGGTGCCCCCTTTTCATTCAACAAATGCACATTTTCCTTTATTATAAGTGCCCCTTTTACATTTTCATAAGTGCCCCTTTTCATATCTGGTCAGTGGCCCTTTTCACCTATGATAATTCCCCTTTTAATAATGATACGTGCCCCTTTTCCTTTCTAATAAGGGACCTATCCCCTTTTCACCTCTTATAAATGCCCCTATCAAAATCTGACGGGTGCCCCTTTTCCGTCAACAAATGCCTATTTCCCATTTTCGTAAACGCCTCTTTTTCATCACTGGTGAGTGCCTCTTTTCAGGTGAAAAAATGCCTCATTTTCACCTGTTATAATTATCCTTTGTACTTTGACACGTGCCCCTTTTCTTTTCTAATAAGTGCCTTATCCCTTTCGATTAGTCCCTTTTTCATGTAATCATTAAACGTGCCCCTTATATAAAGCGACTAAGAGCAATTTCCCCTCAAAGTTCGCTCGCTGCGCTCGCTCGCATTTAAAGATGATATTCTTGTGTTACTTATCAAAGGTCTTTTCAGTCTTCCGTTATGAGAATGTGCTTATAACCCCATCACGATTGGCTTTTTTCCCTCTTTATAAGATGTAATTTTTCGCACTGCGACCTCACAGATCTTTTAAAATTTTCTCGCTCACTCGTAAATTTTTATTCATATTCAGACATCACATCCAACTGTAGAGTATGATGCTTACGCGATATCTTGTATGATGAGAAACAAATATTGAAATCATCCCTGATAATGTAATCACAATGTAGGGGTATATACCAATGCCTAAAAAATGGTATATTTTCGCTTTGAGATTTCCCACTGTTGGTGCCCTTCTTTTCTCCAGAAAGTGCCCTTTTTTGTTGGTGCCCCCCCCCCCACTTTGGAAGTCGCTCGGCCGCCCCTGGCAGGGGCTCGTAACCGCGGGTCAATGGTCGAAGCTAAGTCGATGCGCTATACGTTTGTAAGGCCTCGTTACCAAGCCTACACTCTGACAAATATTGGGCAAAAAATTGCCCAATGTTCCCCCCCCCCCCCCAACATGAGGGCGATTATGTGTCCAACCAACTGTTGGGTAAATTAAAGATTTTGCATGATTTACCCAGTGTTGGATAAAAAGAAAATACCCAAATTTTAACCAACAAAAATTTACCCAATCAGAAATTCACCCAATATTAGACACTACTGTCTAGTTTGGCAAATAAGTTGGATAAAATATTATATGTATTATATATATATAACACGACATTAGTGCCACGGCAGGACTCTGAACCGCGACCTTGTGATCCACAGTCCTGTGATATATCCACTCGACCACGCCACCTCTAATATAAGAACAGATCTCTATTGTTGCATAACTATTGTTGCCCGAGCATTTAATTGGGTAACTATACATGTAGTAAATAGTTGGGAGAAAATAACTCCCCCAAAAATAGCCAATCCATATTACCTAAAAATGCGTCATGAAAGAGATGGGAAAAAGCCTTACTTTAAGTCGAGATAGAAACATAGGCCTTATACTTGTTTTCATTATGCAATGCACCATGATAAATATTATTTCATCATTGCAACACGCCGTTACAATAATTATTTTCTACAAAACGTAAAAAACAGTCAATAGTTGAGAGCATAGTCTGCTCCGGTCTGCTCAGAAGAAATCAATATTCCATTTTCTTCTTGAGAGCCCGTTAACCAAGCATCGGAATAAAACATTATCTGCCTACCTTATATTCTGGAAATGCTATCATACGAGAATATATTATGCCTTACCAATTACTAGTCCATCTACCTCTGCAAATTCAGCATGAAAAAGGTGATTGACCGGCGGTGGAAATGTTCACCCTGCGTTGATGCGGAACGAAAAGGACAGGAGCAAACTTCGCCTGCTTTACTTTCTGTTCCCGTTGGACCACATCTGCAAGGATGGAGGAGTTGTGGATAAGGAAGTATCCGCGCGGAACAACACCCCCGATATAATATCTCTAGGATTATGTGATTTTACGTTCGACGAATCCTAAGATCTCCTTGCCTCATGTTTTATGCATTTTAAACTTGGGTAATACTATGATTGCAGGGCCCTCAGGGAGAACAGTATCAATACTGATGAGACTACCCTGGTTAAACAAGATATATTATAGCATAGAGAATCATCGTCATCATCATCATCATCAGCATCATCATAATAATAATGATAATAATAACAAATACATTTTAGGAAGCAGCGTGCTTGTCTGGAATAAAAATTTTGGTTGGTTTCATACCTAATATACTATCTGAAGGAATCATAGCGGCGTCCAGAACAGTTTATCTTACATTATATAGCTTTCTTTTTCTTCTTCTTTTTTTTTTTTCTTTTTTGTACCTCTACCTCCTCCTGACCTCCTCCTTTTTTTCTTCTTCCACTTCTTTTCTTTTACCTCTTCTTCTTCTTCTTCTTCTTCTTCTTCTTCTTCTTCTTCTTCTTCTTCTTCTTCATTTACTTCTTTTTCATCTTCTTCTTCTTCTTCTTCTTCTTCTTCTTCTTCTTCTTCTTCTCTTTTTTTCTCATTAATTTATTTTGATTCATCTTTTTGTTTTGGCTTTTTGTTTTGCTTCTCGTTTCTCATAGATTTTTCTGGCTAGTGTTCCCCTTCCCAGATAATTCTCGATTCGCTTTTGTTTTATTCCTTAACTCCCACAAACATTTTGAATCGTAATTACTTTATCTGTTCAGGCCTAAGCATTAGTATCTATTATTATCTAAAATCTCAATCATCTTTGAGAAAACCTAACACTAGAGGTCGCTAGACTCAGATGGTATAAGGAGTTGGTTGAGTAAAATTTTGACTCGTCCAGTTATATGATTTAGCAAATCGAGCTCATAATAATTCTGGACATCATTCTATTTTAGAACAGAGACCAGTCAATGTCCTTACTATATTATCAATAAATGTAACTGACAAAAGTCGTTATTACTGTTGATGTTGTTTTTGTTGTAGTTGTTGTTGTTATTAGTAGTAGGCCTAGAAGTGGCAGCAGCAGCAGTGTACAGACCGAAAATGTATGTCTCTTTCGTTCGTTAACCTCTTGGGTAGGGCGGGGGGGGGGGGGGTAGGGTCGGCTCCTCTCTCTAAACGAACGAAAGAGACAGAAATGTTCGGTCTACAGCAGCAGCAGTAGTAGTAGTAGAAGTAGTAGTAGTAGTCAGATGCGGGGGGCGGTGCTGACTAAAAAAAAAAAATTAAAATTAAAAATTGAAAAAACAGCTCCCCCAACTGAGCGAAATATTGGTCGGCGCGATTTCCAAATTTCGGGGGGCCAAAAAAAAAGAAGAAAACAAATATTGCTCACCACCCCCCCCCCCCCGGCCCCCCTAGCTGAATGTGCTTTTCTCTTTGAAATTCAAATACCGTTCCAGTCCAAATGACTTGGTAACCATATTGTTCATATGAGCTGCATCAAATGAAAGAGGAAGTTCTAAGTTACAAACATGTGTCATTTATTAATTATTTATAATTGTGATTCAGTTCAGTGTGACTTTATGCAACTTTGATTGTTTCTTTTTATAAACATGTGCGTTTAAAAGTGATTTTTTTTTTTGTATTACTGAATCAGTTATTGTTATATTGTTGTGTTGTTTTTTCTAAAAATAATAATTCATAATAATTACTTTTACAGGGGGGCTTACACCCTACAAGTTCTGCTTTTTATTCGGCCCTCTTTCCCTTTCAATTTTATGTTTATTTTGTTTAATGTATTGTATTGTGCAAATTGATCTATATGTATATAAATATGTGCATATGTTAAAATGTACCATAATTGTAAATATGAACGATTGAAAGAGGAAAAATAAATGAATTGATGAATTGAATTGAGAAAAAAAAAATCTCATATACTGCATCGATAATTCTCGGTTTCGGGCTGGGACGAATGCACTGCATACTATAGTTTAAAAAAAGATTAAAAACTAACGCGGGGCTGTCAACATTTGCAGGCTAAAGTTATTCACAGGAATCAAAAGCAGTCATGGCCAAACAATATTGCTCTTTTGGCACAACAACAATATTAATACAAAAATGGGTCTGTCAATATGTTACGTTTTAATACGGTGGGATTACCAGAAATTGCGAAATGAAAGATAAGAAACTTATTTCATGACGAAATACATGTAAACATCTGCTTAGATCGGGGCATTGTTTCATGAGACCGTTGTAAGTACATGTTAACCGACATTGCATTGAAACGCGTGTTAAATTCAATATACGTATTTCAATAGAATATTGGTGAACTTGTTCTTATGATGGTTTTGTGAAAGGCTACCCCAGGGCCTAGGTACTACGGGAAATGCTGTTGATCGATAAAACAAGATGCGTGATTGGTCTAGCCTCTTTGATTTCCTTGGTATTGGCCAATCAAATATTCCTATCCACGTTTGATGTGCGCAAGTATTGCGCACATTCACAAAATCAGATTGGGCAGATCATTTGCTGCTGAACGTCGCCGAAGAATATCCATGTCCAACTCGACAGCGCTCTAAAATGTTCGTGTATTTAGCCAACTGACAACTGTTAAACTCTCCTCTCGACAAGTCTATCTTGCCTGGTTGACGTCGAAGTAGATGTCCAGCCATGGAGGAAAATCTGGAGATGGTTCGCCGGGAATATGGGTCTACGTTGTCCGACTTGAAAATCAACAGCAAGCCGCACATCAACACGCTCACAACGCTTGCAGAGGAATACGTACCATATGCGTCGGAGGTCGTGCGACTCATCGAAAATCGACTGCAGAAGGTTCATTTCTCTCGGGAATTTCCCACTTTTGTAATCGATACATTTAGTATAATTCAAATTTTTAAGAAGCTATAATAATTTGTGAACATAATTTAACAGATATTTCTGGAATTTATTAAAGGGAAGTAGAGATTTAGTAAACCGTATGAATGAAGAAATGAACTGAGTGGGTGGCGTTTTGTTCTTCATGCACGTTCGTGCGCGGGTCACATGACTTTTAGGAAGGAGTCCAAAGTTCTTGAAGAATGAATTAAAGATTCAATCAAACTATAGGACAAGTGCTTGGTATGTTTTGTAATGTGACTATCCATTATAAATTGTATGTTAGGATTGTGAATTATAATTGAGGAATTGGGAATGATAGAAACAATAATTGTTTGACTCCGCAGTGCAAGCCAAAATGGGCATGACAACTTCACTTTACCCAAGTTGGATTCTAGATCTAGTAAATATAATGTCATTAAAACACATTTTATTAATATTTCAATTCATGAACTTGAACTTAATAGATTCCTGAGTAGGGGTGCAAATATTCTAAAGACTTTTTGATTAAAAAAAAAGAATTTTGAATCTGACTCCCAATTCTTCTTGAAATCCCATCACACAAACGATGTGACAAACAGCTCTGAATCGATCCAAGCTAGATAGATTCTATCTGCTCAAAATCTATAAAGAAAAGTTACGAAAACAGCCCAAAAATTTTGTTGAAAGAATTGCAAATGATTTTCTGAATTTTAGTTCCAAAATATTTTTAGTCGTGCAAAAGGATCGTTCATGTAAAAAAAAATCCTTGTGATAGTTGAATTGTACTCGACAAGCAAGTTTGAGTTCATCACCAATTGTATCAAGCACCTTGTCCTTGTGTCAAAGCAAGGACTTATTTTTGACATACTGTACCATACATGTAACTCAATGAAAATTATAAGTGAAAGAAGAGTTTGAAGCTCTGCTGTTATTGAGTGACATCTTGGATCCAATTGATCTGAAAACCTTTTTTTGCAAAATTGGAATTGAAAGAAAAAAATGCACGAAGTAACTTAATTAATAAGAAATTTGATGATTTGCTCAATATATTAGCTCTAGTTCTTTTCAAGAGATTGCAGTATTGATTCGGAAAATCTTCATGCGGTTTTGGACTTCCCACATAACCTTTCAGTTTCAGTTTCATTCTTCTTTTTTTCTGTTGAAAATGCTGTTGTGCAGGCAGTCTAAACAAAAAGCCAAAATATAAATAAATTCCGGATTTATCTGTTCACCTTTTAGAAAAATTTGGGCAATAAAATTTACAAGATAAAACTATCAACGTAAAACATAACGTGTATTTAAAAATTGATTCAAGATTAATGTATGTTTTCCAGTGAAGTAAATTAGAAAAGCAGATTTGTGTATGTACATGTAGACTGATGGAACAGCAATTGAATGATTACAGCCTTTTATAAATAATATTTTAGTTCTCTTTACATAATGCATCCAATTTCAAAACAAAAATGAGAGATCCTTTGAAAGAAAGATTATTTAATTCATAGACAAAAATAATTATTAATGTAAATTTGTATCTCAATATGGAAAATGTAATTTTTTGAAATGACAAAATCACAAGTTCCTCAACACCATAACAGAAATTTGTTTACTTTTTTTCTTCTTCATTTAAAAAATAATATAGGTATATATAAACCTGCTGAACGTCTTTCCTTTTTACATTCTAATCTATGCATCACATAATGTAATGTGTTTTTGTTAATGAAAATAAAGTCCTTGTGTGGGAAATTCACCTTGTTATGTGTAATTATCTGTGGCATGGACTGTAATGGGTCAACAGAAACAGATGTGTAATAAGTTGTTGTGAATTCATTTTGAAAAATGAAATCAATTATCAAATCGAACTATCGGAAGACATTTTTCCCCCAAAAATTCAGTTATATTTTAAAAAAAATTGAAACCTAGTATTTGAAGTAACATGCAAGTTTGAATCAAGGAGTGGAACTTATGTTTCCAATTCACCAGAAACAAGATTCATTTATTTCATTCTACTTTTAATTTTCATTTTGTTTGCTGTTTCTCAATGTTTTGGTTTATACAATAATATAGGAGTGGATACAATTACGCACATCTATACACTGTAATTTCAACAAATGAAAAACTGTATTCCTACCTGGCAAAAGGAAAGAAAAGAATAAGAGAGAGAGAGAGAGAGAGGGAGAGATAATAAAAGAGGGGTACTACTTGCTCATCACTTATAAATGATGTTAGCAAAACATTGCCTGCTACACATACCGTAAGTGGTGGAAAATTGGAGATGACATTTTCAGTGTGTATTTGTGTACGCAGTGCAGTGAGGAAAAGAATTACATGTATGAATGATTGTTAATCCTACTAGTGACTGAAAAGAAGAATGTGTACCAGTCTGATTTTTAACTTTAAATAACTTTTATAAATGTTTATTTGGTCAACTTTGGCAAATCAATGTGAGAATGGATGTGTTTTGGAGATCAAATAATGGATTCTGGTACCGGGTACTTGGAATAATTATGTGTGAACTCGCTGAATTGAATTGGGTGACTGTTGATTACATTTACATGTATTGTTTTAGTTAAGAGTGAGAAGTTGAGTACAGTGGAACCTTGAAATAACTTAACTAAAGGCTACATGTATAAAGATATCAGGAAACTATTTTGGTCTTTTATTTTATTTATTTTTTCTTCGTTATCCCATCAAAAGTCAAAACACAAACTTGTTCATGTATTCTATTGTACAATGTACATATGTATTACCAAGTTTTCACTGTACTCAATACATGATATGAGCGTGTGTAACTGCGACTATTAAATTATACAAAATGATGATTCATATCTCTGTAACATTAAATTTACAAAAACATGTATCATTGAATTTCAGCGGAGAATGTTTCACTGGAAATTTGTTTGGGTATTCCTTGCCCAAATTAAGCGAATGCCTGACAAATTTTCAAAAGAGACTTTCTTCTCTGATTGGTTTCTTTGAGTTGCGTCTAATCATCGCTTTAGTTTTCATCTTGATCTGCCAATCTGGAGTATCTGGATGCCCGGGGCCCCTGAGAATGACGTTTTGGGGGAATCTTCATCCGTGTACAGACGAGCAGATTATCGTGGCATGCAGACGGCGGACCAAGCTTCTGCCATTGAGTCTCGCTGGCCCTGGAATTCAACATTCATTTTTTTTTTCTTTGAGCCTGCACTTGCATATATTTGCGATTTAGTGTGCCCCCTTTTCGAGCACTATTTTCTATGTTTCACTTTTTATTTCCACTACCGGTGCATAACTTTATTTCTTTGTCACAAAGTAACAGGAAGTTTGTCGGAGATTCAATGTTTCTTGAACAATTTTACATTAAATGTTATTGAGTGAAGTTTAAACTTTAAATTGATGGCTTCAATTGCTGAATTATTATTTTTAGATGGTTTTGACACGATTGTCTTTCAGGCTATGCATTTCCTTTTGAAATTCTTTTGAGCACAGAACGTGAAATTGCCAGCGTTTTATAAGGACTCCATATTGAAACCGCTTGCCCACTGCTTTTACAATACATGGAGAAAAGAAATCTTTCATGATTCATATTATTAAGTGAAAACAATTTATAGTGGCAAAAATACTTACATGTACAATCATCCAAATTTTCTGTAGCAAGTAAACTTTTATATTCATTCCACAAGAAGCATATGATCATATCATTGTGTTCATTGTGTGTGTGTGTGCTCTCAACCTGAAAACACTAGTACTGGAAAAATGCGTTTGAGAGGTTGTCGGTAGAGGAGGCTGGAGGCATGTGCATTTGTAAAAGAGAGGTGAACTTGGAAGTTGTGAAGCTTTTATGGTGAAAGAAAATTTATAGAAAGGAAGGAGTATGCGATTCAAGATTTTGATGAAAATGATTATGAACATGTGAGAGATATTTGAAATATGACTGATTGCTGAAGAGAATTTTAGTGATGGAATGATTTCTTTAAAAAAAAATTATCTCGCCATTGTGTGCTTTGTGTAAGAAGTTGAATGTACATGTATCTTTCACATTGATTATGTTCCAAACGTTCAATATTTTTCAATTGGTTTTTTCTTTACTCATCATATATCTGTGTTCTTTGGCAGTATGTTTTGCAAAAGGAAAATTTTGAATGTTAATTTTAATATTTGCATATACACGTTTCATATTTACCTTGTGAAATTATTTCTATGTAAATCTCACAAAATTATGTTACAGTATTGGCTACGTTTTTGTAGGAAGGAATAATGTCTCTTTGTTGAGAACGAGGCTGGTCATAAATGTACAATTCAATTCTAAAATCAATTTTTGGCATGTCACAATTCCCAACCTGGTACGATGTGTGAACAACATGCACAGCTGTCTGAATTATAACTGGTTGGATTTCTACTACCGTTAATTATACCAAGGAGACAGCCATTATTTTTATATTATGCCAAATATGATGGGGACTTTCCAGGAACAATTTATACATTATGGCACCTGTACATGAAACATGAAGCCATACACTGCGACAGTGTCATATACGTGAAAGAACAATCCAACCTTTGTAATAAGTTCTTTTGTGTGAAAGCAGAAAAATTAACGAAACTTAGTGGTGATAGTGTGAAAGAAATCTGACCATTAAAAAAAGTTTCCGCAATTTGAAGTTCCTATACGTAAAGTGTTTATGACTTTCAAAACTTTCACCAGTCTGCTTCTCTGATTTTGCTGGTTTCTTTTAGAGTACTTGTCCATTAAGGTTGGATTTTCTTTGGTAACTCATGTGAAGCATTGCATTATTTGAACATATAGTAGTACATGTACATGTACAAGTATGTTAGCATTGTAAATTTTCAAGCATGTTATTGAACTACTGTATGCTATACACAATCATTATTTGCATTGAAACTTGTTGGTGTTTTTAAAAACAAATATTAGAAATGTGTGGTTATGTGCAATGTGTCCCTTTTTACATGCCTTTCCCCCATTTATTTCATCTGAAAAGGAAATTTCTACATGTAATGACTAAATAAAATTTGGATTCTAGGAAGGACAATTAGTTAATGGCAGGTTCGTATTATTAGAGGGAAATAAATAGTTGTAAGGGACACATTGCATGAAATTACGGTACCCAAATTCAAAAGATAATTGGCATACATTTACATCCACATGTATGTGTAGGATTTGCAAATGCAAAGGAGACTGCTTGTTGACGACGCCCTTCGCTAGATCTGACCCAACTCGAAGAGGAACCGTTTCAGCTTCGGAGGCCTGGGATCTCCTATAGTTATGAGGATGGATGGAATCATGCAAGTGTCGTCAGTGACAAAAGGACGTTACCAAGAGCACTTGCACTTGTGAAACGATAGATGCTTAATATCCAGGACATGCCCACAGCATACATGTAGCTTCAGCATCTGTGAATGAAGCGCTGTGGAAAGTGGTCACCATCCGTGATCCCTTTCCAGTGAACTAGGAACTGAGCTTGAGTTGACTTAGTGAGGATTCATCGCCATGGTTATCTAAAGCTTTCATGTTCTGTAACTGGTAGAAAAAGTCATTATGCTTGAATGATTAAAAATCTGCAAGGTATTGCATGTGGTAAGCCTTTGTTGATTTGTTAGAGATAGTAAATAGAAAATTAAATCCATTTACTGTGATAGAGTCGAAGACTCCGTTGTTGTTTAACGAGATAGAAAAGATGCCACAATGTTAATTAAGGATGTCATTCATATCTCCGCTTTCTTCTAGTATTCTTTACAACGATAACAATAACACGCAATTATCATCTATACAAATTGAGGGGAATATTGTGCTATTTCAGTATTAGTGCATCTTTGACGCTATGAAACTCACAAGTTTAACCACGTACATGTACATATTACATGAAGTTTTGGGCCCCCTTTCACAAAGCCTTTCTTCAATGACAAATGACGACAACAAAAATCTGTGACAAATCTGCTGATAACCAATCAGAAGCAAGGATTTCACTAGCTTATAACAAAAAGAGTTATTTGTCACTGATGATAAGTTTTGTGAATTCGGGCCCTGGTTCTGAAATATTGATTCTGTACTGCACTGTTAAAGATTAAGATTGTTGAAGGTATAGACCAGTGTTGGAAACGCCCCCTCTCAAAAAATGAAATGGAAGCTCTTATTACCAATCATGTCAAAGGATATGTTTTGACTACCGTAATACGTGATGATACAGATTTGCCGGAAAACCGCCTACTAATTGATATATTTGGTAAATTATCATATCAATCCGGCTTGGATAGATATTGCGAATGCATCAACATTGAACATTTGGGCATATGTTTCTGCTTTATTGCGAATTTAGGTGGAAGTATTGCCATCTGAACCTCTGAAGGCAATATTGAATGGATATTTTGCACCCAAAATCCTTAAACTGCAATTCTACCACTTCTGGTCTCTTAACCCATTGCTTACTGGAACCGGGTGGTCAATGTGTTAAGTCTATGGGAATTGGATAATTCAGTAGTCAACGGGTTAAATAGTATAGTTTATGGATCATTCAATAGTTATTATACATGTATGAAAATCACAGATTTCCTCACCAACATTCTGATTTTCTATTGCTAAATTGCTGAATAGATGCATAATGATATCATATTTGGCTACCCTCCAGCAGTACAGTATATCAAATATACCTGCACCAGTGGCAGTGCTATTTATTGCCTATTCAATCAGGCTGACATCCTTATTCATGTGACCTTTAGATTGACAATTCTGCTTTGACATCTTGCCATGCCTTATTGCATTGTTCACGTTGTATCTTGGCAACAGGCAGCAATTGTATGGAATCCTTACATGAGGGCTTTGAGGCAATATTTTCATACCAAGAATACTGGATGGTATATAATGTGTAAGATTGTACTCAATTCATGAGTGTGTAATGTCAGGTTTCTAGTTTTACATGTATTTAATATTCAGTGCACCAGTTTATACATGTATTAAGAATTTTGGCATACATTCTCAATGTTGGCACTCTTTGACAACTATTGCCCCAAACTGCAAGAAAATTTTGCTTATATAGCATCAATATATTCATTTTATTCTGGTACATGACAGATCAACTCATCAGTGAATAACTTTGATAGTCAGATACCGTATTAAGTGTTAATATGGGAAGAGTGCATGGCCGTGATTTTCAATACATTTGTGAGCTGGTCTGTTTCACATTGAATTTTGTGCATTCAATGATGAGAATGCTTTATTTATTTAATAGGTTAGCCATTTCAGTTGAAAAATAAACAAAATGGTATTAATTTCTATTACTAAATAAACACCTGTGTGAATACATTTCACAATCGATCATGTTTGGCAATCTGTGCATGCATGACAGAACTGTGAATTCATTAAATCTGAGTTCTACATGTATTTACATTAAATGAAATGTCATCGATATGAAGAAAGAAAGAAATTAAATTTTCTGGCCATTTATATGTTTTCACTAAGAATCTACTGTAGTTGACTTTTTCAAATATCACATTGATGATATCAATATTGGTTGAAGAAAAAATTTAAAATGTATCATTTTGTGATGAGACCAAGTGTTCCATATGGTGAATTCTATTTTGTTGAAAATTCAGTACAGGCACATGTGTGCCAGCAGAGTTGGCTAATATCAATGTCAATTGTGTGTCATATATAGAATCCATTGAGAATAAAGTGTGTACTGGTAATCTAATCATCTGAGCAGCCGGCCATGTTAACATGCTTCGCTTGGCCGGTACTTTCCTGATAAGCCATGATTGACGCACCATATGGCACTATCCTCTTTTTACTATCGTGCAAATGATATGTGCTGGCAGATATGAACATAATATATTATGCCAAGTAGTACTATAATATATTCTGTGTAGCTTGTGATTTGTAATTTCATAAGGAAGTTATTGATTTATGCCATTATTGTGTGTTATTAGTCATAGTTGTTGAATACCATGTTAGTAGTTTTGTAATTCATTTCCTAACTTTTCATTGTTGGATGTGAAGATGAGAGATTGACTTTATCTGATGGCACTGGAGACATGGAGTACATTGTGGAGTGGAGAGAATCCTTGTGTGTGGTTGTGTGATCTTGGAAATGGAGAGGGAATGGAATAAGAGAAGAGAAAGACAGAGAAGAGAAGGAATGAGAGTGAAGAGAGCAGTTTGGAAGTGGCAAGATTGTGAGGAAAGTACATGTAAATGAGATAGAGAAGGAAGGTGGAATATGACAGAACATTGAGAAATGAAGAGAGATATATGGTATGAGCAGGGTAGAGAACAAGTAAAAACACTTCGCCCTTTTGTGACATTCTAGGTATTCAGAATATTTACATTCATCATTCTTTTTTATTCACTTCATCAACACAATTTTAGCCCCCATTACTTACGCATGCCAAGTAATCGCTGAGTTTTATGGAAGTAATAATGATTAATTGATTTCTTTCACACAGTATTTTCAGTGACAAAAATTAATCTAGATCATGATTCATCTACAACTGAGGGTATGAGTATCTTTGGAAAGATTCAACAAATGACCATCTCTACTTTGAAGGAAATATAATTTGGGGGGAGAAGGTTTCAATCTTAAATGGTCAGCTAATTTTATTTTGAGACTTCTCTTTATTTCTGTTCAGGCCCCTTATGCCGAGAAGTTACCTGCAATGTACCTGATGGATTCCATAGTCAAGAATGTGAAGAAAGGCCCTTACCAACAACTATTTGCCAAGAATCTTACCAACAACTTTTGTGGGGTGTTTTCGAAGGTGAGTTATGAAGAGGATAGCATGTTGCTCTGTACTGCTGGGGAGGTGGACATGGGCATGTCGTTCAGAGCGTCTGGATACCATAATAAATGGAAGTTCTCCAACATCTGAACTCGTAAACAAGTCGCTGTATTTTAATCGATAAAGAGTTTCGGTAGGTTTTCAGTGGTTTCATGAAATGATGCCCATGTCTCTGGTCTTGTGCCTCGGGGGAGGCCGGGTAAGTGAAATGGGAAGAATGGAAAGCTCAATCACAAGGATACTCGAGAAGGTCGGTATTTCCATTGGAAAGGGGTAGGTGATGTCTTCCGCTACATGTCTGGCGATGATTGCTCCCAAGGTCAACCCTGTACATTAACCAACCTGGACCAAAAAACGACCCAGACCCTACATGTAAATCAATGACCAAATAAAAGCCCAGTGTGTGTCCGGTCGGCAAAAAGGAATATCATCTTGAAGGTGACAAAAAGCAGGTTTGTATGGATGAGAAGGATGGATGCAAGTGCACTTGAAGGCCTAGGGACAACCCAGTATACTGACGGCCCACCAGAATGACAATGTTGGTATCTTGAACCAAAAAAAAATTTGATAGAAGGCCCTAGAGACCGACATGTTGGCCTCGTTGGTTGTATGTCTCTTGCACCATCTAATAAATTGGTAGTAGGCCCACGTGACCAACATATTTGTTTTCTAGGTCGTCCGCCTTGTGATCACTTTCAAAAGGAACTGTTTTTTTCTTGGGCTGAAGCCCCTCCTCGGAGTTGAACTTTGTTAAGACAAGTCCAACCTTAAAAGTTGATTTTAGCACTTAATTTACTTTAAAATATGAAGGGAGGTAAAAATTTGCATTTGGAAATGAAAGTAATAATTATTCCCCTGGTATTGCATGTGATAAATCTTATTTTCTCATAGAGGTTAATATCATTCTGCCTGGAAAACCACAGGTATACTCTCATACTTCACATAAATTTGAAATACATTGACATGCACACGTGTATTATTATGCCTCTTCCAAACAACAGCCAGCAGCGTAATAAGGTCGTAAGGTTGAGAAAACCTGAATCCAAATTCATCACAAATAAACACCAAATGCGGCTGAATTGTGGTTTTCTTCTCCCTGTAAAAGACTTGTCGCGAAATCATTCAAATTCATGGATGCCTATTCCCCAAATACAGAGTGGATAAATGTGCAGATTGTACCTTATAGGGGAATTCCACCCAGATATCAAGTGGGTTTTAATAGCAGAAAAAAAATGGGTGAATGGGTCAGTGAAAGTGAGAGCAAATTAAAGTAATGAATTTTGCTATCAATCGAACACAAATTGGCAACTTAAATCTATTCAGTCGTAAATAATTCCAAGAAAAAGAAAGTTACCGTAATGAAATTTTATGTCGGAGCAGTTTGGAGAGGAGCTCGCAAGATACATCGCAGTGTTGCCAATTCGTGTTTGATTGGTGAATGAGTAGTTTCCTATTTCGTGATGTAGCCCAAAACTTGAATTAACCTTGCTCGTGCTGGAGGTAAAGGTGCATATATGTATTTCTATTGAAATGATTACAGAAACAGTTAAAAGATTCAATGCTGTTTTCTCTCGTTCAGGTAAACGAGAAGACCAGAGCATCTCTCTTCAAGTTACGATCAACATGGAACCAGTACTTTGCAAGTGGGATCCTCCACGCCCTTGATGTCCGTGTTCAGAAGATTGACCCCGCCTGGCCAATCATGGCCGCCTCTTCTTCTTCATCTTCTTCTGCTCCAGCTGCCCCAGCTCTTTCTTCCATCCACATCAACCCAAAATTCATCAAAAAGGTTCATATCAAAGAGTTTCAAAATTATACTGGTTGAGGGGGGGGGGGGGGGGTGAAGACCAGCCTTTTGTAGAGAGGATCATCCATGCCCTGGGTGTCCATGTGCAGAAAAGTGAGCCTGTCTTGCCATTCATGATATTTTTTGCCCATGCTCCCTTGATCAAAAATTCATCAACAATGTTTTTTTTTTTTTACCGATGTGTTTAAAATGGGATCTGTCTGTGAGTGTGAGAGGGTATGTATAGAAGCTATTTCCAGAATGCATGTATTTCCACGAACATATGTCTCTGTTGAACTATGCTTTCCACAATAATTCTTAATTTCTTCAACTTGTTTTCACTTCAATTTGCATACAGCCTGCACCCATGGAATCTACGGCAGCCCCTACTCCTGTGCAGTCTACACCCACTGTGGTGACGAGTGAACTGTCTGATAAGGATCGTCAAGAGCAGGACATGAGGCAGAGCTTGATCTCCAAGCGGCAAGAGCTCTTTCAGATCCAGCAGCAGCGTCTAAAGCTGGAGCTGGAGCAGACCAAGGCACGATTGGAGTTGCAAGTAAATATATTTTCTTCTCTTTCTCTCTTCAATTTCATGGTTCTCATCTAGGTTCCGGGCGTAAAGGCAATCCAACCTTTGTTCATTTGTATGAACGCAGTAAAAATACGATAAACAGAATGGCAAAAATTTGAAATAAATCTTCCGTTTGTTGTGAACACAAATGTTAATAACCGTTTTTATCCCTTGGGACACTACTCAAAATACATTATGGATAGCATACTATTCTCGGTCCTCTAAAGAAAATAGACCCTCAATTAATTCGATCCTAAATCATGCATTTTAGAAAAATTAAAATTTTAGTCATTTTGTGTGATGGAACATTTTGGAAAGTTGTTCGCCACTACATCAGAGACACTACCTTTCAAAAATTCATACCTTTCTAATTTTTTGTCCAATTTCATTCAAACTGTCACCCGTCTGCTTCTCTGATTTTTCTGCTTTCCTCTAGAGTAGTTTACAATCAAGGTTGAATTTCCCTTAAAATGTGTGTAAATGTGGGTTAGCCTTCCTTTCTTTCCCGCTTTTTGTCTTTCTATTTGCCTCTTTTCCGCTTATTTCACCCTGTATGTCACTCCCTTTTAATATATGTCTGTCTGTAATTGAATTTTTTGTATCAATTTCTGTGGTTGAGTCTAGATTTACAGGCCCATTCTTCCAATTACATTTTTTTTTTCATCACCATCGGGTGCTAAATCGAAGAAAATAGATTTGTCAATTTCTTTCACATGTGTACATGTATTTTACTTGTATGAAACAGGCTAGAGAGCTGGCAGCAAAAACCCAAGCTCTTGCAGATCAAGAGAAGCAAATCTCCCAATTGGCTAACAAGAGCCAAGCTCCAAATGAACCAATTAGTGTTCTACCAACCACATCTGTTCCCGGCCCAGCTACCAAGCCGGCAGGAGCTTCATCAACTGCAGGCTTGGGCCTTTTGGGCGAGGCTCCAATTCAGAACTTTCCCCCAGCTCCAGGGCCTGGGGGCCTCTTGGGCTTCGCACCAGGTACTCATGCTCCTCCTGGAATGCGTTCAACTCCCCCTCTGGCTTCTCAAGCTCCAGCTACTGCTGCAAACCTTTCTAATGTAAGTATTATCTATTCTTATTATCTGGAATTGAATATTGCCAAAGTCACCGTCCAAACCAGACTGCCTAGTATAATAAGACGCTTTGTTCTAGGGGATAGAGATCAATTGTACTTTGTCTTAGGTGCATCTGTGATTTTCTCTTGTCTGTTGATATAGAAAAAAAGTAACAAATGGCAGCATCCATTATGAATGAAAGAAATAGCGACGTCACAATTACTTTTGTCTTTGGGTCAACTTATGTTTATTTGTTGTTATGAACCATTGTTTTTAGGTGTCAGCATCTGGTCCAGTTCAATCACAAGCATCACGGAACACCATTAACCCACGTGATCCGAGACTAGCTAGGGATCCAAGACTTCGTCAGGCCTTTGAGCAACAACAGCAGAGGCAACAACAGGAGCAACTACTTCTTCTCCAGCAGAAGAAACAACGTCTACATCAGCAAGAACAACTTGAGCAGCAGCAGCAGCAACAAGCAGTAGCCAACATAGCTAACCAACCTTTGACTGGTTTACCAACTAGCTTAAGACTTGATGCATCAGCAGCTGCTCCCCAATGGACTGGTGGTGTACCTCCCAGCACTGCCCCTGCCATTGGAACCAAACCACCTGTATCGGCCGCAGCAAGTACTGCTGTGTCTGCAGCACCTTCTGCATCTACAAAGGATTCATCTACTTCTGGCCCTTCAGATAATCCCAAAAAGGTCTCCAAGGCCAGTAGTCCCGGCAAGAAATCTTCTGGAAAAGGGAAGACTGGAACAAAGCCAGGGGTTAAACTTGACCATTTAGATCTCTCTGGGAGGATTAAATCAAAAGAGGATAGTAAGACAGAAAGAAGTGGCAAGCAGAATGAAGTGAAGAAAGGAAAGTCAGAGGGAGATAGGGCTGCAGAAAGGGATGCTTCTAAAAGAAGCCTGAGGCCGTCATCTAGGAACTATCGTAAAACGGCCAAGGATGACAAGGAGGAAAAGATGAGATCAGATTCCCGCACATCTCGCCCGGCGTCTGCTTCAGGTTCACCTTCCCAATCTGACTCGCACTCGAGGTCACGGTCCAGGTCTCGGTCTCCTCGCTCTGGGCCCAGCTCCCCCCGGCCCAGTGAAAGAAGGGAGCGAGAAAGGAGAGGTGGGAAGTCTTCAGACAGCAAGAGAAAAGATAGCAAGGAGAATAAGCCTGAAATCAAGGAGAAAAGAAAATCCCCATCTCCAGACAGAGCAACAGATGAAGAGAAATCAGTATCTAAGAAGTACAGCAAGCAGGATCAACTACCACCAAAGAAGAGGGCCAGGCTGATTGAAAAGGAGCAGCAAGAAGCTGAAAGAGAAAGGGAAAGAGAGAGAAATAGTCGGGCAGTCAGGTGAGCTATCTATTCTTTACAGGCATCCGTCTACATGTAGATGTAAATGATGTATATAATTTACAAGTTTGATCCTTATCAAAAATTATCTCTTGAGCTAAAGTAAATTTTCACGAAAAGATAGTTCAGTGTTACTTTTTCTGAAAGTGATTCATGAATCATAGGCAGTCTGGTATTAAAGTGTACACAGATATATGGCTTTTTAATTAAGTTGCTAATACATGCAGCCTACATTGTGCGAAACCAGTTATCAACACACTGTCTCATCCTATCTATTAACCTAGTACTGTTTCAAACTGTTATGAAGTGACATTTGATGTGTATGAAATAGATATTCATAATATTTTTAGACTTGCGTGAGGTGACAAAACTTCACATTTCTGTAACCACACGTTTTGATTTTCTCTGAGGTTTATGTGCAAGCATGAAGGCAAATGTCAGAAACTAGGGGGGGGGGGTGTGTTCCTGAGGGCCTCTCATATCCCATGTGCAGTATGGCTTCTTAAGTGGAGTGGGGTTAACTGTACGTTGTGTTTAACTATTGGTTAAAATATGTAAACCTGATTGTCTATTGCTTTGTCGTACTATATTTAGAAGTCGAAGTGACCGTGAACGAGCAGCTGGCTGGACGCGGAGTGAGACCAGGGATTATTCTGCAAGTCAACGACCACCTAGGAGACCTAGTTTGTTGGATCCCAACATTAAAATTCCAAAGGAGCTTTCATTGAGCAAGCTGGCAAAGGTGTTGGAACAGGTAGAAAGGATTTTTGTTTTACTTCTTGCTTTTTACTCCAATTAAATGTAATGGATGAATATAAGTATAGGTGCTTGTTCTTTGCTATTGGAAATCTTTCATAGTACATTCTAGACTCTAGATGCTTCAATATTCTTTCTATTAGTTTTAATCATGTTATTTCAGGAAGTGAAGACTTATTTCCATGAGACATGCATCATTACATGTGTATTTTCATAGTTATCCAGGAATTACATTTCTATTTTGGCAAGTTCGAGTGGTAAAAAGGAAAAACTCATCAATTATAAATTTTACATATATTATAAACATACTGCTCTAAAAAATTATTAGTGGAAGGATAGAATAATTTGCATTCTGGAAAATATGTTGATAATTCTATTGAGAGGTTGATAGTGATTCATATTTTTTGGGTAATCGTAAAAGATGATGGTGGCAGAAGTGTAATTTGGGGATGACACTAGTACAAGACATACCTGAATATTTACTAAGTTTTTCTGATGACTGAAAATGTTATGTTTCTTCTTGCTGTCCAGGCTGAGAAGCAGCTCCACTCGGGAGCCTTGACCCACCAACAGCATCAACAGCTACTTCGGGAGCTGAATGAGATCTATAACATTCAGCAACAGAAACGGGAAGAAGAAGAGCGGTATAACAGACACCAACAACCACCACCACCAGAGTGGGGACCTCGTGATCCACGAGATCCTCGAGACCCTCGAATGATGCGAGACCCAAGAGCTCAGAGAGATTCAATGCCATACAATGGTCCACATGGTCTCAGGGATCCGAGGGACGCATTCGATCCCAGAGGTCCACCAGATATTCATGCTGGTCCTCCTTATGCAGATGCCAGACCACCACATCACCGCAGGGAATTCATTGATAGAGATCCAAGGGCTATGCAGGATCCAAAGGGTCCTGCCCAAGAAGATCCTAGACATCGATCTTTACTCGAAGATCCTAGGATGAGGAAATTTGCATCAAATCCTGATGTAGATGAAGGTGGCAGGAAGTTGCCATTGTTGCAAGATCCTGGAGCGATGCCTGATCCCAGACCAAGAATCATGAAACCACAATCAGAGGATGACCTTATTCAGGGCAATATTAATCCTGGAATGGATGTAGATGAGAGAAAACGTACCTTCAGACAGTATAGAGGTCCTCTTGATGAGAAACTTCCCCTACCTGTTACTCCTAAGGATACAGATGAAAGAGACTTTAAAAAACAATTTGCTGAGATGGGTGACACAGATCTACGCAAACTGCCCCCTGGTTCTGATGGACAGAGCAAAATGGATGTTGATTACCGAGTACTACCTGCTGCTTTCCAGGGTAATGTTAAAGAGAACATTGAAGGTATCATAGACACAGACGAAAGACAGAGGGTGAAGGCTGGAGACAGCGATGTGAGGAAAATCCCTGATGACTCTGCAAAAGACAAACCGTCAGAAGAGTCGAGCAAGCCAAAGGAGGAAGGAGAAAAGCAGACAGCTCAAGACAGCGCTTCTTCAGGAAAGATTAAAAAAGAAACTAAGTCTGTAAACAAAATGCCAACTAGATCATCAGCAAAAGCTGAATGGGAGGCTGCTGCCGTAGGGGGAAATCTGGACGAAGATGTAGATATGAGGCCTAAGTCTGATATCAAGAAAGTAAAAAAAAATGATGGTAATGATGAGATATCCAAACCAGTACAAACTTCTACACCAAGTGGATCAGCAAAAGATGATATCAATGATAAAGATGACAGAAAAAAAATGGATGAATCTAGCAAGGCTATGAAAGAAACAAGCAGCAGTGACACTGATGAGAGGAAATTCCTTGCAAAGTCAGAAGTGACGGAGATTAATAAGGTCGATGATAAAGTTGACGATATGGACTTGCCCGCGGATGATGTAGATTTGCGTCAACCAATGCCCAGGCTGGAAGAAGAGATAAGGCCTTTAATGGACTTTGGACCTGATCCGAATATCCTGTATCATGAGAGGGAAGAGATGATGGATAATGATTATAGGCAAGGGCCATTTATGGGCCCAGGTCATCCCCATTTCAGACGTGGCCCTGATGGCGATCCAAACAAGTGGCAAACATGGAAAAAGGAGCATCCAGACGAAGCCTCCGCTCCTCATTTCGATGATGGCCCTGGAGGCTTTGATCCTAACGACCCAAGGCATCCTGCACATTTTAGACAAAGAATGGATCCAAGGGGTCCGTTTGAAGGTGACATGGCTCCTATGGATTCGCACCAGCAGAGATTCAGAGAGTCTCCCCCTATGGAGATGGATGACGGACAATCGATGGAAGCCTGGCGCCGCAGGACTAGAGGTGACATTCCAGACAAACATTTCCATTTCAGAGAAGGGGATTGTCCTCCTCCATTGGAACGACAAGACTTCAGAATGGATGACAGACCTCCTATGGAGGAAGGGGACTTCCCACCAGATAGGGATGCTAGAGATCCAGGGATAATCAGAAATGGACCAGTCCGCCTGTCAAGGGACCAAGAGAGTTTTGAGTTTCCTCCTGACATCACTCCTGCAGATACGCCTCAGTCTCCTGATTCTGAGAATCGTTTGCCACCTATGTATTGCTTTGGCCCTGATACGATACAGAAGCAAGAACAAAAACCATCTCGTGATGATAGGTAAGCTTTCCATTTTATAATTTCCTGTTATTGTATTTAAATCTTGAATGTACTTCTAAAGCTCTCTGAAGGAAAAAAAGAAGACACATGATACAGTATGAATGAGCTTGTTTATGAACTGTTTATTCTTGCTCTCTGTTTAAATACCCTTCTAATCATGTTCATAATTTTGCCTTTGGTAAGGTTCAGCCTCGCTTAAAAAGTATTTAAAAACATGTTTTGCTCGAGAAATGCTGAACTGTCACTATTATCAACGAGACAAGAACTGTTCTTGTCATTAGATTGAGCACCAAAATATTCAAGTTTGCTTCCTCTTCCACTTGTTCTGATATGATAAAAACAAAAATCCTTTAAAGGCACACTGCCATACTTGTAGCTACTTGCTCCCTCTATATAGAAAACTTCCCCAATCGGTGCCTGTTAGTCCCCCATGATCCTCTTTTTCTTATGTTAAATGAGAGCTGAGTTAATGAGATAGCCACTTGTCACAGTGACCTCGATGGCTCTCTGTGTGGTCTAATCCCTTCTGGCCCAGTAGTGGTGACGGTCTTTAAAGGAGTACAAAAGTTTTATCATTCGCATTTGTAATGCTCTATATCACAAAAGTGACAATTGATTGATGTGAGTTAAAGATAATAGACTATTCAAAAAACATATATTTTTCATTTTTCCACTAGGGATCCTCATCCTCCATTCCCTCAAGAGAGACTGCCATTCCAGCGAGGAGATGGCCCTGCATTTAGAGGACCAAGACCTGAAGAAATAATGCCACGTGGTCCAGAGGGCTTCAACCCAAGAGACAGTCCACCCTTCAGAGGACCAAGACCAGATGGTAGAGATAGGCATGCCCACATGGGACCAGATGGGCCAAGATTTATGTCTGGGCCAAGGGGACTGCCTGACATGCCCAGATTTCCTGGACCAGGTGGACCTCGGAAAATGGGACCTGGAATTCGTCCAGATGGTCCAGTGCACGGGCCAAATCAGTTTCAGCACAGACCCAATAGTCCACCTGTATCTTCTGATATGCAGAGGCCACCAAGGAATGGACCTGCCAGTAATCTTCCAGGCAATATTTTGTCAAACTTTGGCAATCTGCAGCAGATTGTGCAGATTCTGAGAAAGCAGGTGACGAACCAACAGCAGCCAGAACAGAACCAGAACCCGATTCCAGCTCACAATCTCATTCGCTCTGCCTTACAGACCATGGGAGTGACAGGCAATATACCTAGCCATGTTATGCAAGCTGCTCAGAATAATCTGCTTGAGCAGATGCGATCGATGCCAAACATGAACATGAATATGTTGAGGATGATGAGACCTCAAAGGCCAAATAACCCTAACCAACGTATGGAGAGACCACCTATGCCACAAGGTCCTGGACCTAGGCAACAGCTGCGTGGACCCCCTCCCGGAATGCAGCCTCGTCCCCCTTTTTCATCTGGTGGGCTCCCACCAAACAGTATGGCTTCAGAAATGCAAAAAGGCTTTCCTCAAGGAATGGGACCACCTCCAAACTCGAATCAGTCAGGGCTTCCCAACCAAGGGATGCCTCAACAAGGAATTCCTCCACAGGGGATGCCTCCACAAGGGATGCCCCCACAAGGAATGCCTCAACAGGGAATTCCCCCACAGGGAATTCCCCCACAGGGAATGCCCCCACAGGGAATGCCCCCACATGGAATGCCTCCACAGGGAATGCCTCAACAGGGAATGCCACGAGGAATAATGCCGCAAGGCATGCTGCCACAAGGTATGCCTCCACAAGGTATGCCTCCACAAGGCATGCCTCCACAGGGAATGCCTCCACAAGGTATGCATCCTGGGATGATGCCAGGTACGCAAGGAGGACCAAGTGGCCCAGGATTTTTACTGCAAGGAGTGCCAGGTCTTGGAATGTCAAAACCACCCCGTCCTGCAGGTATGTAATCTGATAATTAAGAAAAACATGAATCGTTTGTGATTGGGAAATTTCAAACCACCCCTACTTAATCTGATAATTAAGAAAAAACATGAATAAAATTTAAAATCAAAATCTATTTAATTATTTTGCAATTTTAGACTTTGCCCGATTTCATAACAAATATGCAAAGATTATTCTTACAACTTGCATTAACCAAAAATGGTGGAATACTTAAGTATCATTGCATGCTAACTGGTATTTCTGTCGCTCTGTTTATATTATACTCTACTCCTGTATTGATTCTGTTTATTGCAGCTCCTGCATCGGGGTTGCCCTCCCAGCTGGACATTACCTCACTGTTCTCCAAGCTGGTTTCCTCAGGGATCTTGAAGGAGCCTCTCAAACCAGCCTCCCCCCTTCCTGACCAGACCTCTGCCCCTGCAACTGCCCCTGCACAGAAGGCCAAGGAGGGGGGCGAGGCAGAGGGTGAGAAGGAAGAAGACGATTCCCAGGAGGTGGAGGATGATGGTTCCTTTGACATCCCGCCGATGGCTCTCGTAAATGAGGAGCTCAAAGTGTAAGTAGAATCATCATAATCTTTTATTTTTATTTGATGTTATAAGTTGGCAAGAGAACCTAGTTTTTATTCATTTTTACTTTATAATAAACTTGAGCACATCCAAAACATAAATGTCACAGGTTTGGAACTAATTACAATGTTTCTTTGATGCTATGAGGTTTAGTTAGCTAAAGTCATAACCCAAGTTATTTTGGTGCTTAGCCTGGTATAGATAATAATAATAATATTGTATGGCTTTGTTTGTGTGTGATACAAGAATATATTATATAAGTATCTTTACTTCTAACTGCAACATGATCAATATTCACAGACGGCATCCAGGAATCATCAAGCGTATCTACAGCGGGATGCAGTGCACTTCATGCGGCATGCGCTTTGTGATTGCCCAGATGGACCGATACCGCAAGCATCTGGACTGGCACTTCCGACAGAACCGCAAGAAGCAGGACGGCATCAAGGCAACTACCTCAAGGAAGTGGTACTATGAGGTGGACGAGTGGCTGGACTATGAAGAGATTAATGACATGGAAGATGGTGAGTGGACAGACAACAAAGAAAGAATCTTCTGGACCCTGTTTCATAAAACTTGATATCAATAACAAGTTATAAGCTACTGAAATCAAGGCATCTGATTGGCTGAGAGCAAATTTGTCGTAGAAATTAAGCATTTGTTATAGATAAAAAGTTTGATGAAATGGGCCCCTGGAGTGGAAGATATGTGAGGTTCATGGGCTGGGAGATAGGGCATTAGGGTCGGGGAGATCAGAGATAAAAGCCACGCAGTCGTCTGTTTCCATTCGCTGACACCAAAGTTGGTTGAAATACCAATTAATGTGTGTATATGTCTCCCAGGCAGCAAAACTGTCGCCCGCCAAGAAATTACTCCAGCTTTCATTCATATTTTGTCGGTGAGGGAAATTTATGATGATATTTCCTTATGGGGATATTGGTGGAAGATGCATTGCAGTAATGCACTAATATAGGTGATTGACAACACCAATTATTTGGTAAACACCAGAATGTTTTACAATGCCCCATCAGGACCCTCTACTATAGTTGGGGGATGGAAACAGGATTTTATATAGACAACCACCTCCAGGAAATATTTAAACAAGGTGGAAGAGTGGCTGAAGTGTGTAGAGATCAATGGCACAGAGGATGTTGAATGGGAAGCAGAGAAATAATCTTTAATGGATCAGGAGAGAGCGGCTTGGAGATGGGATACGAGTTTTGGGAGATTGGAGGTTAAGGGTTGGAGAGGGAGGTTGGTGACACGATGGTATGAACTCGACCACTTCAAGAAAGTGATACTGTGAGGTGGCTGGAGATCATTGATACAGAGGGTGGCGAGTGGAAAGCAAAGAAAGAATTTCTGGAGTAAGAATGTACATGAATGTTTAATCAATCCTTGTTATCCCCTACAGCCCGAAGTACCTTTTTTGAAGAGCAGGCTCAGGAGTTTGCAGATAAAGATCGAGGTGATTCCAGTGTGCCAGTTACAAGCGACCCCAGTGATGAGGTGAGATGATGTGCAAATTATGGGCATTTTAGAAAATTTGTAAAGAAAGAACTCTAGGTATTAAGGGCATCGTTTAACAATGTTAAATCTGAGATGCATGGCCCTATGTGTTATCGGTGTCATATAGTCATATATGTGATATAGTGTAATATTAAAATCTTTGAGTGACCGGTTTTACCATACTCATTTACCCCAAAAGACTGTAGTGTGATAAAATTTGGTAGGAAAACGAAAAATGAAATTAGGATTTCCAATCATAAATATCTTGATAATCAGACAGGCTTGTAAAAGTCATGGGATTCCTGACTGACCTAAAGATTTATGATTATGATTGCAGCATGAGCTAAATCCAGGATTTTGTTTCAGAATCTGAGGCAATGTTACCGAGTCACTTTAAGAATGATAAAATCTGTTAACCCTCTACCTCTATCTGGTATCAGACATTCCTGACCTTGCTTTGTTGGACCAAGACTCAATTATAAACATTGACATAGATGTTGTAGAGAGGAGAGCTGAAAAAAGGGAAAAACTCATCGTAGTAGCCAAAATTTGATGTCGCTTTGTCAAGTTCATGTTTGTGCACCCGATCAGGTGTGGGAAGGAAGGCCTGTAGGCCATGGACATTAGTTGACCTGTTCCTTACCCAGGCTACCTGGTCGGGTGCTCAAGTGTCAAATTATTGTATGTATTATGTCCTATGTACATGTACATTGTATATTGTTTCCTGATTTTGTTTCTTTTGAAAGTGCCAAATAAATAATGATAATAACAGAAAAATCTTACCTATCGTCACACCTTTTTATCTTCATTGTTCTATAACAAACAGATCTGTAAGATATGCAGAGAGAACTTTGAGCAGTTCTTCAACGAGGAGACAGAGGAGTGGCATTTCCGTAACTCAATCAGAGTGGATGGAAAGGTAAGCATTATGGGAACAATGAATCAAGTTTGACTGTAGGATTTTAAGAAGAGAATTCAGATGTTTAGCATTTAAAAATCTCAATTTTTTAAATGACATACATGTACAAGTAGTAGGGAACAACTCTTCCAGCTGTTATGCCCTAAGATATCAATTTCGATTTCCCTCCTCAGTAAATTTTTTTGTCTATTAGTATATTGCAAATAAATGATGTATGACTTGTCCTGCAGAGAAAAAGTGTGTGCTCATCAATAAAAATCTGTAGAAAAAATATGTGTAGGAGCAAGTGATGTAAAGTTTCATGTATTTAGATCTTATGGTTTAGCTGATCTCATTCAAACTTTCACCAATGCGTATCACTAGTCTGTTTCCTTTTCTTTAGGGCAACTCCCTGTGGAGCTGACAACTGTAATTTATGTTTTTCTTTGTCTTTATTTTTTGTATTCCAGACTTTTCATCCATCTTGCTACGATGATGCTAAAGATGTAAGTATCAATCTTGTTTTTGTACTATGTTTGAAAACTATGAAGGATGCAAAGTACTTGGGTCTTATTATTAACACCTTGGAGCAAAAGTTTAAGTCCAATAGTCCATGCTATTTAGCGATGGAAAAACAATTTCTTGTCACGCTGATAAAAATGACAGTTATGCATTTCTGGAACAAAAATCGAAATCCCAACTCTGGAATTCAGTGAAGCTGGAATAAACACATTTACAGATGATATGACTTGCCTGTCTTGTTTTTATTTGAACAGTGTTGCAGTGATTGTGAAATTTACATACTTGTCAATGTTGTAAGATCTTTTTGTTGATAAAAATAATTTTAGTAGAAACCAACTTTGTTTCCTCATTATGAGAACTGTTACGATTCTCTACATCTTGTTTTACTTTGCAGACATCCGGGTTCCTTGAGACACCCACTGACGACCTGCTGAGCCCCCCACTTGTACGGACCAGAAACTCCTTCAGCGGCACAGCAGTTAGTCCCGGTGCTAGCCCTGCTTCCTTAAAGCCTTCATTCATCGCTCCAGGAAAGGAGAGCTGGGATGCTGTCATGAGTACAGATAGCAAACCAGCATCTACTGTTGGTGTTACCATCAAAACTGAACCAAAGACAGAAGCAAATCCTGTTCCGGAAGGCAATGCAAGTGAGGATACGTCAAAGGCTTCCGACTTGGTGAAGGTGAAGGTGGAGCCAGAAGAGCCCATGGAATCCAAACCGTCAACTGAGGAAGCGAGTAGCAGCATTGGGACTGAAATCAAGATCGAACCATCTTTAAACACTATAAAATCAGAGCCAGTTGTTGGGGAAGTCCAGACTACGTTACTGGTAAAGCAAGAATCAGGAGTAGACAGTGCAGTTTCCAAAACACTAGTAGAGAAAGAACAATTTAGGCAAGAGGAAATGAAGTCATCGTTAGATGTTCTCAGGGCAAAGTCTTCACCTGTGCCATTCTTGGAGGAAGTTTCTCTAGAGGATATGGAGACAGATGCTCCTGCACTTGATACCATGCCAGCCGAAACAGTTGATTCACCATCAGCTCAGATACCTGGAGAGGTTGCATCAACTAAAGAATTCACTGAAGATGCAAAGACAATTCCTTCTGTACTTTCTGAGAATCCTTTACCAACTGATGTTGAAGAGCAAGCTGCTACTGAAACGGGAGCAACCACAGTGGCTCCTTCTGGATCTGGAGATGCAGCCATTGCATTGGATCCACCTGTTGAATCCCCAGCAGATAATGGACATATCTCTAAAAATTTACCCCTCAGTGAAGCCGTGGCGACACTCGGAGAATCAGAAGACTCCGCAGAGCCCCCTGTACTGGAGGTGGAAGCCCCATTGTCAAGCGCCAGTCAGGACCAGACAGGAAACGCTGCTCGGTTCTCTTCCCCAGGCATCTTTGAAAAGTTGACTCCTCCTCCCGCACTCACCAGCATGGAGAGTGAAGAATCAAAACCAAATGTGGTTGAAGAACCCCCTGCAGAGAGTTGTACAGGAGGTGGGGATGCGAATCAAAATGCCATGGAAACTCAGGAAAGTAGTACGTGAGAGCGAGTATAAGAAGAACAATGAAAGCTGTTCCAACTCGAAAGGTGTGAACCCTGTGAAGGGGAGCGATCACAATTTGCCTCAGGACCATGTTTTAGGGGAATCCCCCAAAATGGCCCTTCAAAGGATTCCCCCAAATGTTTTGTTCATATTGAAGATTAGAACATTGCAAATAATCTGGTCTATTTCAAAATCTGTTTCCCATAGTGACCTTGATTTTGGGATGTAAATAAACACTGGAAAATGGGCTTGTTTAAGGCTCAGCTCAATCCCATGCCCACTTTGCATATGATAACTTGTACAATTTTTGCTCAATTTGAGTCTTAAATTTCCAAAGCAGTTTGCAAATTTTTGATAGAATCTTACTCCAGAATTCCCAGATTCATTGTCATCAACTTTTTTAATATCCCATAATAGTTCTGAGTATTCTATTTTTATGCCTCCGTTACGAAGTAGCCGGAGGCATTATGTTTTCGGGTTGTCCGTCCGTACGTCCCGTTCTCGTGATCGCGTTATCTGAAGAACCGATGGATGGATTCCTGCCAAACTTTGGTCATGTATGTATCTTGCAGAGCCGATGAACTGATTAGATTTTGGGGTCACGAGGTCAAAGGTCAAAGGTCACAGGTCACAGGGCTCATTATGTATGCAAAAACAGCTCGTGATCGCGTTATCTCAAGAACCGATTGATGGATTCCTGCCAAACTTAGGTCATGTATGTATCTTGCAGAGACGATGAACTGATTAGATTTTGGGGTCACGAGGTCAAAGGTCAAAGGTCACAGGGCTCATTATGTATGCTGAAACAGCTCGTGATCGCGTTATCTCAAGAACCGATTGATGGATTCCTGCCAAACTTAGGTCATGTATGTTACTTGCAGAGCCGATGAACTGATTAAATTTTGGGGTCATGAGGTCAAGGTCAAAGGTCAAGCGGCTCATTATGCATGCAAAAATAGCTTGTGATCGCATTATCATTAGAACAGATTGATGGATTCCTCCCAAACTTAGATCATGTATGTATCTTGCAGAGCTAATGAACTGAGTAGATTCTTGGGTCATGAGGTCAAAGGTCAAAGGTCATGGGCTCATTATGTATGCAAAAATAGCTTGTGAAGGCATTCTCATTAGAACTGACAGATGGATTACTATTTAACTCGGGACATCTTGCAGAGCCAATGAACTGAGTAGATGTTAGGGTCATGTGGTCAAAGATCAAAGGGTCATATATTATGTATATGAGAAATTGCTTGTAATCACGATATTCTGAGAACCTGTTAATGGATTACAATTGAACTTGAATTTGAACAATTTCTTCTGTTTTGGTTTGTAAAATTGCTCTATGACGGAGGCATCATTTCGACTGCGCGCAGTCGAAGTTCCATCTAGTTTGCATCTTCTTTCTAAAATGTGCATGTATGAATGCGGGTTTTGAAAAAAAAATCAAGAAATTGCCAATAATAATATGTACATGGACATAGTGATTATAAATTTCAGTCGGCATTGCTAATTTGGACTCAATTATTATTTTTGATTAAATTGATCTCATTCATGAACGTGTCAATGTACTGCTGCTGCAACAGTTAATTTACTCATGATAGAGTGTTTGTTCCTCATTGTGTTGATATCATTTACCCGGTAGTCTGTATTAGTATAATGTCGTGTGCCACTTTTTCTGTACAGAATTTTTGTCTTACTTTTCAAAAAGCCCATCACTGGTTACTTACATTTGATGTTATTCCTATTTTCACAAAAAAATATTGATTTATTTCATTTTCATTTTTCTTTACAGATGGGGAAGAAATGCTAAAGTGATATTTTGAGCTACTTTACCTTACCTTAGAAAATAGTGATGTTAGAATATACTTTAGATTTCTATTTTAGATTTTCCTCTTTGGAGGGGAAATTTCCATCATTTTAGGATTACTGCATACATAAGAAGTACTTTTTTTAGTGTTAGCAAAGCTTTTGAGAAAGGTATGAATATTTGGGGGATTTTTTTTCTTCTTCCATTTCTGTTATTTTTAAAGGCAGGTTAAAATTACATTCATTTTTACAAAATGATTGTATACTTATTTTATTTCATTTACATGCATTTCTTATCTACGGTAACTTGTATCTTTTTACACATATTCTGTTGTTGAATGTAGGCACTTTCTTTGGACAAACTGATGATTATTGATATTAAAATCTGTACCCTTTGTTATTGATCCTTCATATTTTAATTACAGATTTCCATCAAGTCTATATGTTTATGTCAAAGAGACTACAGCATAGGTAACAAACAAACAAAATATAAGTAGAACACATGCTCACATATCTAAAATTCTATCCATAAGACCCTGACACATGTACGTTATGTGGTATTCTAATGAAACATTTGCATTTTGATTATTGGACTGATAAGTTGGATTTCTAGTACAGTTTGTTAATTTGGGTTCGATTAACTCATATTCAGAACTTACATACTTTTGTGATTAACTTGTATTCACAACTTACATGTAGATACTTTTATTAAATACTGTGAAGTACGTACAGATGCCATATTTGTGTTTGATAATGATATGAACAGGTTATCAAAGTTTGTATATTTCAAGTGCTTTATTTATAGATTGATTTTGATGGAAAACATTTCATTGTTGCTGCTGCTAAAACATGAGTGTATTTATGGCTTTGTCTTCCCTTTATTCTGCTGTGAACGATATTATATTTGGATTAATGAGATAAATTACTGTATTTCTCCAATAACAAATCTTGGATACCCTTGTCTTTATGTAGTACTCACTCTCTTCTGTTTTTATGAAGACATGTTATCTGACCTAAATTATATACACTTTTTGTATGTTTTTTTTAATTCTTTTTAATTTTGTGTAATTCATGTAGGTAGTTCTTTCGGGGGTATCTTATATCTTCTAGGTTGTCAATATGAATATTGATGAAAGACTTACACTACTTGACATGATATTGAAATGTTTTACAAAATGTGGAATGTATGAGAAAGATTTTTTTTCTTCCAAGAAGGTCAGTGAAATATTTATGTTTAAGTTTTAATCAGAAATAGTGATGAATTATTGAGAAATAAGTAACCCTAGTTGGGATTACAATCTGGTTTATGAGTGTAAATATAAACAACAATAAAACTGAGAAAACATTTACAATCTGTTTCCGCCATTTCACTTGTTATTTATCACACTCATTTCATGCATGTGAATGTTGTTTATGGCTAGATAGATACAGAGAGAAGAAAGAAGGACTTTAATGGAAAGGAAAGCCAGAGGGAAAGATAGAGAAAGAGGATTGAAGAGAGAAAATTCATGTGTAAAACGTTATGTATAAACGGTGAATAAGAGAGAGATACATGTCGTAAAATACATGGAGAAAACGAGAGATATCCTTGGTGAATGATAGAAAAGTGATGAATATGGAGAAACGTTTTTCAATCGAGTTTATGTGAGTGTATTCGATATTTTAGGGCAAATGCAGACCTCGATTTGTCCGAATGTGGCAGTAAATTATTATTTTATTGTGAAGTTCTTGTAGTGCCCATGCATTATACTCGATTGGCATCAGTGATAAGGCTCTTGCATATGTAACGCAATAAGGACACAGGGTTCAATTTCAGTGATTCCATTTGGTTTCATCTTTCTTGGTTCAGACTTAACTCTTTTCTGTCTCCCTCAATATCAATCAACTGTGTAGTCTAGGTCCTGCAAGGTACACACCTTAAGAATCCAATATAGAGTCTTCTCTCTATATCAGTACCTCCTTTCTGAGAGCCCAAAACATGTGTCTCCCTCCTAACATACCAACATCCCTTCTCTGCCTACACTGTCCATGTACATTTATTCATATATTCATGCCTAATTGCCCATGCATGCTCATTGAAGTGTTTACCATTGTTTAGGTCATGGCTTCCACAAGGTGCAGTGGATATGTGCATATTTGCATACACACACTCAAGAAAGCAGTGGATACATGTATGTGCATATTTGCATATGTGTACAACACCTGTATTTATATCACTACACATAATATGCCACATTATAGTTCGTGTTCGAACAGAAGATGTAAAGTCGTGTGAATCTTGATTTTTGCGTCATGAAAAAGAGGAATGAAGCTGATAGGAGGTAAAGCGTTTCCATGATCACGCTTTGACAAAATGTGAAGAAATTTGGATATGGTAACTCGATAAAGCAAGTGACATTCCAACATAACATTATGTTCTCTGCTCTACGGCTAGGCAATTTACGACTGGGTCGACGTCAGTGGGGATTCCCACTACCTCGATTATGTCTGGGTCATACGGTACAAAGTACATAACAGAGAGAGATAGAGAGAGGAGGAGGAAGAGAAAGAGAGGAAGAGAGAGCGTGATAGATGGGTAAACAGAATCTGATATGTGACCAATTATAGCACTAATATCAAAGCTACTACAGTTCAATTCATATAATTAATCTAGAGGGATACACAAAAATCCTTTCAGTTATTAAAAAGTAAATAGTTGGGGCACTGAGGTAGCGCAAGTAAAATGCGGGTAGGCGTGGCACTATAGGGAGGCCTACGTTTCCCACTCACGCTCTAATGGAAAATGAAGAAGGGTATTGTAACCTTAATCTATAGACTTTGCATCTGTTGTGCAGGTCGAAGGCAACAGAGTGTCTCTGCCTCCCCCTCCCACTTTGCCCTGGTGTCTTCACTGTTGTGGGGATGAGGCACATTTTTAAGGTTTTGACAATAATTATTTATCATTGTGCTGCAAAAATGAAATAACCAGAATCTCGTAATTAGGATCTATCGTCACTCGTAATTAGGATCTACCGTCACCCATCATCCCTCCATCCTCCCTGACCCCGACGCCCCTTGCATCATATACTTTGTAATTGTGGGGTGGGGGGCTTGAGCCGGTCGAAGACAAGTGTTCCTGCCCCCACCCCCGGCCCCTCTGCCTTAGTGTCGTCACTTTTATGGGGATGGGGCACATCTTTAACAATATAATGATTATCATTGTGCTGCAAAATTAGACAACCAGAATCTCGTCATTAGTGTTATACCGTCACCCATCACCCCATCTACCCTCCCTAATCCCTACGCCCCTTACAACGTATCATTTGAAATTGTGTGTGTGTGTGTGGGGGGGGGGACGTGTGCCGGTCGAAGGCTTGTGTTTTTGCCCCCCCCCCCTGCCTTAGTGTCGTCACTTTTGTGGGGATGGGGCACATCTTTACTGTGCTGCAAAATTATCCAACCATAATCTCGCACTTGGTATATACCTTCACCCATCATCCCACCCCCTCCATCCTCGACATCCTCGACTATACACGACAGCTGTAACATGCATTCGATTATGGACGACTACATAGCTTGTTCGGTTCTGTTTGCTAATTTATTATATCGGCTACTTGTGGAGTTCAAATGCAAACAACCCAAACCCTTGAGTGTCTAGATCGGATCTATTCATATCTTTGTGGGAAAACCCTGTACACATAGTGATGCAATGCATGAGGACAATCGTATATGCTACGTTTTATACACTTACGTGGAGAGTTGTAGCCTGGACACACTGATTTTAAAGGGGGAACCGGAATTCATGGGAAGGGGTACCAGTTATAATCGATGGACGAAATACGAGCGATTTTATGAACTGGAGTGGGGGGGGGGGGTATAGGAATGGTCATATCATCTTCCTAACACGTTCCCTTTCCTCCTTCCCCGTTTTTCTCACCATTTCGCTTACCCCCCCCCCCCCCTCCAGGCACGTGCCCTCCTCCGTATGCCCTCATGTATATGCGCTCACATGGTTCATGTCTATCCACCCATACACATTTTTGTTAAACAGTGTGATTCGAAACTGTAGATATCTGATTGATAGTTGATGATGCACCTTAGTAATTTCCGTAACAACGGCCACATACTTTTCCTTGACAATGCTTGCTATATGAACCCTAAGTTATTTCATCAAACAAATCTATTTTTTCTTCTTTTCAACGATCCCATTTAAAATAAGTGGGATGTTTGTTGAAGAATATGCCCCTCATCACACACCCCCTTCTCTCTCTCTCTCTCTCTCTCTCTCCCTCTCTTTCCTTTCCCTCTCTCTTTCTTTCCCTCTCTCTTTCTTTCCTCCTTTCTCTAGCTATCTCTCTCTCTCTCTTTCTCTTTATTTATCTCTTCCCCTTTTCGATTGTACCCCCCCCCCCACTCCTTCTCTCTCTCTCTCTCTCTCTCTCTCTCCCCTCTCTCTCTCTCTCTCTCTCTCTCTTTCTCTCTCTCCCTCTCTCTCTTTCCCCTCTCTCTCTCTCTCCCTTTATCGCTCATTGGTTTTTCTCATCTCCATATTTCCATATCCAATACCTTCCTGGATGACATATCTTTTTCTCACTGCGTTTTAATCCGTTTACGTCACTAAATCAAATTTCAAGTTTTAATAAAAGGGTAAAATAAACGATGGCGTTTGTTATTTTTTAATCTCTAATGAATTCAAACTTGCTCAACTTATATCACGTCGTACATCATTCAAATATTCTATATGAATCTTTTGCAAAATTTTACTAGGCTGACACATCTTTGCTGCCTACATATGCCTTTATATATCACATCTTCCTGCCGAAAGTATGTGATGTTGTATTGAACATTTATATTCACCTATATTCAATAGAACCTTTTATATCTACGAAATAATAACTGCTGAATACGTGGATGTTTCCCAATAACATAATATCATGAAAGAAAATCAAAATTCCTAAATATCCAATGATATTTGTTCATGTATATAGGCCTATAATGGCATGTGAACTTATGATGCATTTAGCGACGAATTTAAATTAACAAATAATATATAGTGTACAGTAGTACATACAAATATAGATTATGAATGCTTAAAATGATAAAATATAATTTCATACGTGCATAACATTACGAATGCTAGCAACATTTTTTTATCATAGTAATTGCATACAAACACAAGTTAACGAAGCCAACCTTTTCAGAAAAAGAAAAATGCCTGAAACAGTATCACTTGACAAATAATTTAATCTAATTATTGGAAAAGCATCGAATGCTAAAATTAGCAATGAACAGGACGGTCTACATTAAATATACTATATCTATTTTTTTTTGTCTAAAGAATGACACATGACTAAACATAAGATTAAATATTTTCTATCATTTGTGTGTTGTTGTTGTTGTTCTGTGTATTTTTGGAAGGGGGTTTGCTGAAGGTTAACATTTAAAACAAACTTCCTGACATATATACATTATTTTAAATGAGAAATGAATTGTTCAAGATGTTTTCATAAAAATCTTTCAATTCAATTCAGTTCTAAGTAACATTTATTTTCTTCAATTTCTTTCATTATATCAAGAAAATATTAAAGTAATTAATCTGTACATAAATAATGATTAGGTATTTCACAGGACCTATTATTATCAACAGTTTTATCACAATGAAGAAGGCGCAAAGGCTTGTGCAATGTTGCTTTCCATGTGTAGCCTAAACCGCAGAGAAAAGAAAGACCACCCCTTCCCTCACAAAACAACAATTAAAAAAAAATAATAATCATTATAATAATAAATATAATAATAATCACAAGAATTATAGTAATTTGAATAATGATATATAATAAAAAGGAAATGGAGAAAAGGATATCTATCTATCGGCTACCTCCACAGAGCCTTTCAGTCATATTAATAGTACATAGATTTCCAATACCTATGGACGACAATGTTCTTGTTTTTGTTTTGGTGTCCAAATTCCGACCGCTGAAGGTCAGCCTCTGCTGGGACTGGTCAATGCTGGTTCTCGTCTTGATCTCTCGCTGGAGATCGCCTATGGTGGTGTTGTTGCTGGTGTCAATGACGAGGGTCTTCCCGTTGGTTCGTCCGACTAAGACCTGGGTCTGGGCCTTCTTCTTGGCCTCGCCAACGTCCTCCGTCAATGGTCGAGAGTTCGTGTCTGGTGATCGATGAGGATGGGGAGGTTGATGTCGTCTGTTCTTGGAAGAACTCGCCTTGGATTCATCTGTTGGAATTATTGAAATTAATACCGTAATCGGTCATGCTATTTTCTTCTTTGTTTGTTTGTTTTATTTTCATATTTTTCTGTTGTTTCTGTTTTTGTTATACTTTTATAAGACTATAATTTTGTATTGCACATTAATTTTTGTGGTCTAGAATGTGTACATCATTTTTAAATATTAATGACAGAGGCCAGGGTTGTAATTGTAAGTTCTGGGCGCCGTCTTATGAAGAGATGTGCTTGATCCACATCAATCACAAGTCCTCTAATCAATCGCAAGCTTGCACTCCAGTATCTCTTATGTACATGCATGGTTGCGATTGATATCAACTCTTCATGAGACGGGGCCTAGGGCCCTAGGTCGTTATTATGTATTATACATGACTTCATATTGAAATAAATACTTTAAAATGAGACAATAATCTGTCTATCATTATGCTCATCAATGAAGTCAAAGATAAATCGAAGGACTTACTATTTGGTTCATTGTCATTAGACCTGATCTCAACCACGATGCTGTTGATGCGGTAAGCGACAGGGAGACCGTCGATTCCTCGGGCTGGTAGGTTGTGGTCCTTCTGGCACTTGGAGCACTTGATACGTGGTGTTGTTCGTGGCTGCATCTTCAGGCATTCTGCACAAAAGGAGTGTCCGCAAGGTAGATAGCGGGCGTCTCTCATCAGATTTAAGCAGAATGCGCAGGAGAACGTTTCCTTAACTTGGAAACCATGTCTGCCAATGGTGGCGCTGTCGCCTCCGCCAAAGGTCTCGTTGATATCATCCAAGAGGCTGTTGATGGCAAAGCAGCGCGGGAGACCTTCTGCTCCTCCGAAGGGTAGCTGAGATGTCTTCTTGCATTCTGCACATTGGATGCTTCCTCGAGGGTAAGTAGCGTTAGCGGACCTAGCGAGACAATCACTGCAGAAGGTATGCCCACAGGGTAGACTCCTGGTATCCTTGATCCTGCCCTGGCATGCGCTGCACTTCAGCATTTCCTCAAAAGGGATTCTGTATCCGTTAGACATCGTTAGAAATGATACCTGATGTATCAAGGCAAAAACAAAACTTTGGAATATCTATGCAAACTGTGAAATACAATTTGGCTGGAGACAAAGTTTAGTAGGTAGCTTACTGAGAAGGGAGTCGTTGAATGAATGCATGAGCATCAGCAGCGCCGCATTGCTGTGACTCGACTCTTTCAGCTCAGCTCAGCGCGCGCACATTGGTGACATCATCGAGCATTGGGGAATCCCCCGAGAAAGCGAAAACCCCCAGGATTATAGTCTGTGTAAAAACTCGTATTATACTGCCTTGCCAATGAAGTGCGATATTGTGAGGGGAATCACAGAGAAAAGGTTAATAGATATGAGAAAGTAGATAAAAGAGAGAGAGAGAGAGAGAGAGAGAGAGACAGGGGACGCTGATAGAAAGAGGGTGAGATGAAGATAGATGGGTAGGGGAAATGAAAGCCTATTAACGCAAACAAAAGTAAGTGCTCCTTACCCCCCCCCCCCCCCCCCTCCCCCGCTTATTCGCCGGCTGGCTGAGTCGGCGCTAAATATTTTCTCACGAATTTGTTGTTGGGATGGGGCACATGTTTTACAATAATGATTTATCATTGTGCTGTAAATTATCCAACCATAATCTCGCACTTAGTATATACCGTCACCCCCCTCCATTCTTTCTGATCCCTCCGCCCCTTGCAACGTATCATTTGAAAATGTATGACAGCTTTAACATGCATTCGACTATGGACGACTACCTAGTTTGGTTGTGGCGAAAAAACGTAGCCTTCTGTTATGCTAATTTATTTTATCGGCTACTCGTGGAGTTCAAAATGCAAACAACCCTTGGAAAAACTTGAGTGTCTAGACCGGATCTATTAATATCTTTGTGGGAAAACCCTGTATAATAATATGATGCAATGCATGAGGAGCAACGTATATGCAACGTTTTATGGACGTAAATGGAGGGGTGTAGCCTGGATACACTGACATTAAAGAAGGAACCGGAATTCATGGGAGGGGGTACCAGTAAAATTCGATGGACGAAATTTTTTTTAGCGATTTTATGAATTGGAGTAGGAGGGGGGGGGGGGAGTATAGGAATGATAATAGCACCTTACTAAGACGTTTCATTTCCTCCTTCCCCGTTTTTTCTCACCATTTCTCTTATCCCCCCCCCCCTCCCCCAAAAGGCACATGCCCTTCTTCTATGCCCCGTGTATCTACGCCATTGCGCAATGTTTCAGGCTATCAACCCCATACACATTTTTTTTAAAGCCCTGTGACTAGAAACTGTACAAATCTGATTGATAGTTGACGTTTCACCATAGTAATTTCAGTTTTTTTTTTTTAAATGTCCTTGATAACGCTTGTTATGAACCCAAAGTTATTTCATCAAAAACATTTGTTTTCTTTTCATGATAAAAATTATCATTGATAATAAGTGGGATGTTTGTTGAAGAATATGCCCCCTCACAGCCCCTCATCTCCGGCTCTCTCTTTCTTTCTCTCTCTCTCTCTCTCTCACTGTCTGTCTCTCTCTCTCTCTCTATTCATTTATCCCTTCTCTTTCCTTTTTCTAATTTTTACCCCTCCTCTCTCTTTCTCTCTCTCTTTCTCTCTTTATTGCTCATTTATTTCCTCATTTCCCTATTTCCATATCCAATATCTATCTCGGTGACATATCTTTTTCTCACTTCATTTAATCCGTTTGACGTCACTAAATCTGTTTCCTATTTCAAGCTTTTTTGCTAGGAAATTTGGAAATATTACATATCATTCACTTTGGGTATTGTACTCTCATGGTTTTTCATCGCCTGGACTCGCCATTCAAAACACGCAGACAAACACAACAAAAAAAAAACAGCGGGTAGCAAGATTGTTTATAAATTAAGGTTAAAATTTTAATGAAAGTATAGAATAAATGATGTCATTTTTTTTAAATGTCTATAATGAATCAAACATTGCACAACTTATATCACGCGGTACATCATTATTCAAATATTATATATGAATCTTTTGCAAAATTTTACTGGGCTGACACATATTTGCTGCCTGCATATGCCTTTACATATCACATCTTTCTGCCAATATCTACCAATGTTGTATTGATCATTTAAATTCACCTATATTCAATAGTATACAAACATACACTGTCTTGGGAGGTTCTGGTTAAAACTATTGGAAAGAAGTGACTCCAATAGTTGCTGAGGGGCACCCCGGAGCATACAGTACTATTGGAGTCACAGAGGCCCATAATTTTAAGCAGTACCTCGAATAGAAGGCAGGGTATATTTTTTTTATATCCTCCAACAAAAATTCCAATGATAAAAACAAATCCAAAAATTACTAATATATATATATATATTTTTTTTTGTATAGAACTCAGTTAAAATTAAGTTTTAACCAGTACCTCGAAAAGAGTTACATTATTCTTTTCTTCTTTTTTTTTTAATTATCAAAACTAAAACAACAAAAAACGTTTTAACATTTCACAATTTAATTTTGATAAAATCAACAACAACAAAATAATTTTCAAACAAAATTTCTACTCCCAAATAGTACTTATCCAGAGCAACCTTAAAATTGTTGAAATATTTCTGGTCACGTGAAGAGCTCTCAACCAATGAAAAAACTTTTGATGCAGGATATAATAGTAATAATAATAATAATAATAACAATATTTATAAAGCGCAACATATAATACCTTTTATCTACGAAATAATAGTTGCTGAATACTTCGAAATTCATAAAGACGTAATGACATTTTTTCATGGTATACCCTTCCTATAATGGCATGTGAACCATGTGAACTTATGATGCATTTGGTGTCGAATATAAATCAACAAAAATATAGAATGTAGTACATACAAATATAGATTATGAATGTTTAAGGTGATAAAATATAATTTAAAAATATAATTTCATATATACATAACATTACGAATGCTAGCAACATGTCTAAACAAACTTGACGCTACGAATTCCTATTTCATCATCATAGTACTTGCATAAAAAAATAACTTAACGAAGCCAACCTTTTCAGAAACGAAAACAAAATGCCTGAAACCATATATCACTTGACAAAAAGATGAATCTTATTATGGGAAAAGCATCGATATTAGGATTAGGAATGTACAGGTCTACATTTACTATACTACGTATATCTATTGTCTGTTCTGTCTAAAGAATGACACATGAATAAATATAACACAAAATATTTTTTGTCGTTTTTTTTAAGGGGGGGGGGGCTGCTGAGGTTAAGCTCAAAGACAAACATCATGACATAATTATTATGTTTTGAATGATAAATGAATTGTTCAAGATGTTTCTCTTTAAATCCAATTCAGTTCGATGTAACTCTTTAAATTCAATTCAGTTCAATGTAACATTTATTTTATGGTATCAACAAAATACTCAAGTACATACAATAATAAGCAATTTCACAGAGCATAGATTTACAGTTGTAACATAAGGAATAATGTGTAAAGGCTTATGCAATGTAATTTTCTATGTGTAGCCTAAACAAATGAATTAATACAAATAATAGATGATAAAAAGGAAATGGAGGAAAGAATATCTATTGGCTACCTCCACGGAGCCTCGCATTCATATCAATATTATATAGATTTACGATACCATAGGATGACAATGTTCTTGTTTTGTCGTCCAAATTCCGACCGCTGAAGGTCAGCCTCTGCTGGGACTGGTCAATGCTGGTTCTCGTCTTGATCTCTCGCTGGAGATCGCCAACGGTGGCGTTGGCACTGGTATTGATGGTTAGGGTCCTCCCGTTGATTTGTCGTACTAAGACCTAGATCTGGTAGCCGGCCTGGGCCCTTCTCTTGGCCTCGTCGACGTCCTCGATCAACGACCTAGAGTTTGTGTCTGGTGATCGATGAGGATGGGGAGGTTGATGTCGTCTGTTCTGGGATGAACTCGTCTGGGATTCATTTGTTGAAATAATTGAAATTATTAACGAAATCAGTCATGCTCTTTTCTTTTTCGTTTGTTTGTTTCATTCTATTATTTTGTTTTGTTTCTGTTTTTGTTATAATACATTATGGCATATTATCATACAGAGAGAAAGAGAGAGAGAGGAAACAGATAGAGGGATAGATAATAGAGTGAAAGAGAGAGAGAGACAGAGAGGGAGACACACACAGAGAGATGTGCAAATGAGGATTACATGAAAGTGCAAAAAAACAATATGAAGTATATACAACTATTACTAGATTTCCTTTTGAAAACAACAACATTTAACAACTTTTATAGGACTTTAATTTTATTAATCATTAATTTGTATGGTCTTGAATTCGTACATGATATCATTTATAATTATCAATGAAAGAGGCCAGAGTTATAATTATGAGTTCTGGCCGTTATTTTGTATTATACATGACTTCATATCAAAATAAATACTTTGTAATGAGACAATAATCTGTCCATCATGATGCTAACCAATGAGATAAATCGAAGGACTTACCACTAGTTTCACTTTCATTAGACTTGATCTCAGCCACGATGCTTTCGATGCGGTGAGCGACAGGGAGACATCGATGCTTCCTCGAGGGTTGGTAGCGTTAGCGGACCTAGTGAGACAACCCTTGCAAGAGGGATGTCCACAGGGTAGACTTCTGGGCGCTAGTTCAGAACTGTGACCATACTTTGGACCCGTGACTCCGGCGTGGAGATAGCCTACTATAACATACCAAACATCAACTAAATCTTCAACAATTGTTCAAATAATGGTCATGATTTGAAAGTCGGTATCTTTCTTACCTGTTTCGTGTCCATTTTCAGATTTTTTTTTGTGAAAAAGAAGACGTTATGATATACATTTTCTCACATGTTTAACTGCAAACCGCTGCACAATACAATACAATTGCATAATGATGATGGCTTTCGGCCGGGGGCGCGCGCCTGCGTGAGGTTATCGACCATAATGAGGATCTAAGACGTCTCAGATCCTCATTACGGTCGATACTCCGAAAAAAGGTAAGAAAATTGACACGAAGCAGGTAATAATAATAATAATAATGGTGGCCTCTTACATGTATATAGCGCACATGTCCGTCACGTCTGGCGGTTATTACCCTGGCTTTAGCAAGGCGGTCATTACGGCGCTCTATCATTTCAAGGAATTAATTCCTGCCAGGTAAGAAAGATAATGACTTTTAAATCATGACCGTTATTTGAACAATTGTTGAAGATTTGGTTGATGTTTGGGATGTTATAGTAGGGTATATCCACGCCGGAGTCACGGGCCCAAAGTATGGTCATAGTTCTGAACTAGCGACGACTCCTGATATCCTTGATCCTATCCTGGCATAAGCTGCACTTCAGCATTTCCTCAAAAGGGATTCTGTATCCGTTAGACATCTTTAGAAATGATTCCTGATGTATCAAAGCAAAACGAAAACTTTGGAATATCTATGCAAAATGTTAAATACAATTTGGCTCGAGACACAGTTCAGTAGTTAGCTTACTGAGAAGGTAGTCGTTGTAAGTGAGCATTAGCATCGTCGCGTCTCTATTTAAGTAGAGATACAACTGTTGTGACTCCCTTTAGCTCGGCTCAGCGCGCTCATAATGTTGACATCGAGTATTGGGGAATCCCCCGAAAGCGGAAAAACCTAGGATTATAGCATAGTCTCTGTCACAGCTCATTTACTGCCTTGTCAAAACAGTGCGATAGTGTAAGAGGAAATCAAAGAGAGAGGGTTGTTGAATATGAGGTAAATTGGGAGAGAGAGAGAAGGAGAAAGAGGTACTGTGGGAGGACAAGCAAAATGTGGGGGAGGAAGTCATACAAACCCAGGTAGGCTGGGTACTAGAGAGGCCTATGTTTCCCAACCACGCTCTAATGGAAATGAAGAAGGGTAATTCCATCTCAATCTATAGATTTTGCATCAGTTATGCAGGTCGAAGACAATACAGTGTCTCTGCCTGCCCCCCTCCTTCCACGTTGCCCTGGTGTCGTCACTGTTGTATAGGATGAGACACATTTTACGTTTTGAACAATAATGATTATCATTGTGCTGCAAAAAATATTATACAACCAGAATCTCGTAATTAGTATTATACCGTCACCTACCCTACGCACCTTGCAACGTTTCATTTGAAATTATATGACAGCTGTAACATGCATTTGATTATGGGTGACTGCCTGGTTTGGTTGAGGCGAAAAAACGAAGCCTTCTGTTATGCTAATTTATCGACTAAGTGTGGAGTTCAAAATGCAAACAAACCTGGGAAAACCCTTGAGTGTTCATATCGGATTTATTAATATCTTTGTGGGAAAACCCTAGATAACAGTATGATGCAATGTATGAAGAGCATCGTATATGCCACGTTTTATACACGTACGTAGAGAGGTGTAGCCTGGATACAAACATTAAAGGGGGAACAAGAATTCTTTGGAAGGGGTACCAGTCATAATTAATGGACGAAATGCGAATTAGCGATTTTATGGATTGGAGGGGGGGAGTATAGAAATGGTCATAGCATCTTTTTAACACGTTTCATTTCCTTCTTCCCTGGTTTCTCACCATTTCTCTTACCCTCCCCCCCCCCTCAAACAAAACAAAAAAGGCACGTACCCTTCTGCTATGCCCCCACGTATCTACGCCATTGCGCTCACATGGTACATGTTTTGCCATGTTTCAGGCTATCAACCCTATACACATTTTTTTAAGCAATGTGACTAGAAACTCTACAAATCTGATTGATAGTTGACGTTTTACCATAGTATATTCAGTAACAACGCAAAAAACATTTCCTTGATAATGCTCGCTATGAACCCAAAGTTATTGCATCAAAACTGTTTTTCTTTTTATGATATCATTGATAATAAATGGAATGTTTGTTGAAGAATATGCCCCCTCACAGCCCCTCATCTCCCCCTCTCGCTCTCTCTCTCTCTCATTTGCCCTCTCTCACTCTCTCACTCTCTCTCTCTCTCCTTCTCTCTCTCTCTCTCGTTCTCCCTCCCTTTATCGCTCATTGGCCTTTCTCATCTCCATATTTCCACATCCAATATCTCCCTCGATGACATATATTTTTCATTGACGTCACTAAATTTGTTTCCTATTTCAAGCTTTTTGCTAGGAAACATCGAAATATTACATATCATTCACTTTGGGTATTGTACTCTCATGGTGTTTCATACCCTGGACTCGCCATTCAAAACACGCAGACAAACACAATCAATCAAACAGAGGGTAGCAAGACTGTTTATAAATTAAGGTTAAAATTTTAATGAAAGTATAGAATAAATGATGTCATTTTTTTAAAATGTCTATAATGAATCAAACATTACACAACTTATATCACGCGGTACATCATTATTCAAATATTATATATGAATCTTTTGCAAAATTTTACAGGGCTGACACATCTTTGCTGCCTCCATATGACTTTATATATCACATCTTGTTGCCAATTTCTTTGTATGTTATATTTCAATAATATACAAATATACACTGTCTTGAGAGGTTCTGGTTAAAACTATTGGAAAGAGGTGCCCCAATGGTACTATAAAATTAATTTGCTGAGGGGCACCCCGGAGCAAATAGTACTATTGGAGTCACAGAGGCCCATAGTTTTAAGCAGTACCTTAAAAAGAAAGAAGGGTATTTTGTTTTATATTCTCCAACAAAAAATCCAATGATAAACAAAACCAAAAATTACTAATATTTTTATTTATTTTTTAATTTTTTATAGAACTAAGTTAAAATTTAGTTCTAACCAGTACCTCGAAAAGAGTTACATTATTCTTTTTTCTTTTTTTTAATTATCAAAACTAAAACAACAAAAAACGTTTTAACATTTTACAATTTCATTTTGATAAAATCAACAACAACAAAATAATTTTCAAACAAAATTTCTACTCCTAATTAGTAATCTCAAATAGTACTTATCCAGAGCAACCTTAAATTTGTTGAAATATTTCTGGTCACGTGAAGCGCTCTCAACCAATGAAAAAACTTTTGATGCAGGATATAATAGTAATAATAATAATAATAACAATATTTATAAAGCGCGACATATAATACCTTTTATCTACGAAAAAATAGTTGCTGAATACGTGGATGAAAATCGAAATTCATAAAGACGTAATGACATTTTTTCATGGTATACCCTTCCTATAATGGCATGTGAACCATGTGAACTTATGATGCATTTGGTGTCGAATATAAATCAACAAAAATATAGAATGTAGTACATACAAATATAAATTATGAATGCTTAAAATGATAAAAAACATAATTTACAAATATAATTTCATATATACATAACATTTCGAATGCTAGCAACATGTTTAAACAAACGTGACGTATACGAATTCCTATTTTATCATCATAGTACTTGCATAAAAACATAAATTAACAAAGCCATCCTTTTCAGAAACAGAAAAATGCCTGAAACCATATATCACTTGACAAAAAGATTAATCTTATATAGGAAAAGCTTCGATATTATAGGATTAGGAATGTACAGAGTCTACATTTACTCTACTATATATGATTTTTTTTTTCTGTCTAAAGAATGACACATGAATAAATATAACACAAAATATTTTTGATCGTTTTTTTTTTAAGGGGGGTGTGGGGAGCTGCTGAAGTGAAGCTCAAAGACAAACAACATGACATATATACATGTTTTGAATGAGAAATGAATTGTTCAAGATGTTTCTATTTCAACTCAATTCAGTTCAATGTTACATTTATTTTCTTCAATTTATTTTATGGTTTCAACAAAATACTCAAGTACATACAATAATAAGCAATTCCACAGGACATATTTACAGTTTTAACATAATGAATAATGCGTAAAGGCTTATGCAATGTAATTTTCCATGTGTTGCCTAAACAAATGAATTAATACAAATAATAGATGATCAAAAGGAAATGGAGGAAAGAATATCTATTGGCTACCTCCACGGAGCCTCGCATTCATATCAATATTGGATAGATTTACAATTCCATAGGATGACAATGTTTTTGTTTTGTCGTCCAAATTCCGACCGCTGAAGGTCAGCCTCTGCTGGGATTGGTCAATGCTGGTTCTCGTCTTGATCTCTCGCTGGAGATCGCCAACGGTGGCGTTGGCACTGATGTTGATGGCGAGGGTCCTCCCGTTGATTTGTCGTACTAAAACCTGGATCTGGTTGCCGGCCTGGGCCCTCCTCTTGGCCTCGTCGACGTCCTCCATCAACGACCTAGAGTTTGTGTCTGGTGATCGATGAGGATGGGGAGGTTGATGTCGTCTGTTCTGGGATGAACTCGCCTGGGATTCATCTGTTGAAATAATTGAAATTATTAACGAAATCAGTCATGCTCTTTTCTTCTTCGTTTGTTTCTTTTATTCTATTATTTTGTTTTGTTTCTGTTTTTGTTATAATACATTATGGCATATTATCATACAGAGAGCGAGAGAGAGAGAGAGAGGAAACAGATAGAGGGATAGATAGATAATAGAGTGAAATAGTGAGAGAGACAGAGAGATGTGCAAATTAGGATTAAACAAACAACATGAAGCATATACAACTATTTCTAAATTTCCTTTTGAAAACATCAAAATTTAACATCTTTTTAAAGACTTTAATTTCATATTTTATTAATCATTAATTTTTGTGGTCTTTAATATGTACATCATTCCTAAATATCAATGAAAGAGACCACGGTTATCATATTGAGTTCTAGCCATTATTATTATTCAATTCAATTCAATTCAATTTATTTATGTTTCCAACAAAACATTACAAATCAATTCTAAACATTTACAACAAATGTAGAAATACATATTGAAAACGGAGGGGACCACTAAAAACCAATGCTTTATACATGACTTCATATTAATATAAGTACTTTAAAATTAAAAAAGCAAAAACAAAATACTTTGGTGATAGGTCCTTTTCATGCTCTGCTCCACGTCTGTGGAATTCTCTCCCAGCCTCCATTCGTTCCATCTCTGATATTACTTTGTTTAGATCAAAATTAAAAACCTACATAATGGAAAAGGCATATTCTACCTAGCTCTTAAATTGTTACCTAGTTCTTAAATTGTTACCTAGTTCTTATATTGTTACCTTACCTTGTTATCTTATGTTTCATAATTTCACTTTCATTCATTTGTTTTCTTGTCATTACACTGTTAAGTTTTAATTGTATCAATATTGTAAAGCGCTTTGATATAAATGTTTTATGAAAAGCGCTATATAAGTAAAAGTTATTATTATTATTATTATTATTAAAATGAGACAATAATCGGCCCATCATCATGCTCATCAATAAGGTCAAAGATAAATCGAAGGACTTACCACTAGTTTCATTGTCATTAGACCTGATCTCAGCCACGATGCTGTTGATGCGGTAAGCGACAGGGAGACCGTCGATTCCTCGGGCTGGTATGTTGTGGTCCTTCAGGCACTTGGAGCACTTGATACATGGTGTTGTTCGTGGCTGCATCTTCAGGCATTCTCGACAAAAGGAGTGTCCGCAAGGTAGATAGCGGGCGTCTCTCATCAGATTTAAGCAGAATGCGCAGGAGAACGTTTCCTTGACTTGGAAACCATGTCTGCCAAGGGTGGCGCTGTCGCCTCCGCCAAAGGTCTCGTTGATATCATCCAAGAGGCTGTTGATGGCGAAGCAGCGCGGTAGACCTTCTGCTCCTCCGAAGGGTAGCTGATATCTATTCTGGCATTCTGCACATTGGATGCCTCCGGGAGGGTAGGTAGCGTTAGCAGACCTAGTGAGACAATCCTTGCAGTAGGTATGTCCACACGGTAGACTCCTGGCATCCTTGATCCTACCCTGGCATACGCTGCACTTCAGCATTTCCTCAAAAGGGATTCTGTATCCGTTAGACATGTTTAAAAATGATTCCTGATGTATCAAAGCAAAATGAAGACTTTAGAATATCTATGCAAAATGTTAAATACAATTTGGCTCGAGACACAATTCAGTAGTCAGCTTTCTGAGAAGGTAGTTGTTGTAAGTGAGCATTACAGCACCGCGTCTCTATTTAAGTAGAGATGCAATTGCTGTGATGCGCGCGCACATTTTGTGACATTTTTAAATCTAGCATTTGGGGAATCCCCCCAAAGTGGAAAAACCCAGGATTATAGGATAGTCTCTGTAACAGCTCGTATTATACCGCCTCGCAAATGAAGAGCGATATTGTGAGAGGAAATCACAGATAAATGGTTTTTGGATATGAATAAAAAGATAAGAGAGAGAAAGGGAAAGAGAGAGAGAGAGAAAAAAAAAATAAGAGACGGAGAGAGAAAAGGAGAGACAGTGAGAGAAAGAGAGAGAGAGAGAGAGAATGGGAGAGAGAAATAGGAGAGAGGGAGAAATGGAGAGAGGGGGAGAGAATGGGAGAGAGAATTAGGAGAGAGGGAGAAATGGAGAGAGGGGGAGAGAATGGGAGAGAGAATTAGGAGAGAGAGGGAGAAATGAAGAGAGAAGAGAGAGAGAGAAGAGAGAGAGAGAGAGAGAGAGAGGGGGGGGGGAGAGAAATGAAAGCCTATCAACGTAAGTCTATGCAAAAGTATACAGAAACATCAATTATTATCATACTTTCTGCTCTCCTTCATCAGGGTTATGCTATGATCAACGTCGGCCTTCTCATAATTCATAGGGTAAATTGAACCAAATCTGGCAGTGACCCAGTCCCAATGACATGTATTTGAAAGAGTGGCACTTCCTATCACTATAGTATGTGCAATACAAGGACTGAATTAAATAGACTATTTGAGTCATTGCGCAAGGCGATCTCGAACTGTATTTGGACAATGTTCAGCTTACGACATTCGAAAGATCTAGAAAGTGTTGTTTTTACCCTTGATAATTCTGTTTTGTTTTCAGTTTAAAAATATCTTCTTTCGCAGTTCATGTTCAAAGAATGTAGGACATGTTTATCGAGGTCAGCACCATATCCAAATGGCATGTCTTATTTCTGCAAGGAACATGTAATACCAGGCTAAGCAGGACTTTTATCTGTCAGCAATTTAGACCGATAGTTTAGAAATCATTTGGAAAAATCCAACGCAAAAATACATGAAATTCAAAATTTGAAAAATGAAACTTAGAAACATGAACAGTAATGGAGGGAGCATAGCCTCCTCATTTGATCGAATTACTTAATGAAATATGGAGAGAGAGAGAGAGAGAGAGAGAGAGAGAGACCCCACCCCGATATTTACTGAACCAACCCATCAAAACATGCACGATATGCTAACCTGTATGACGTGTCTCACAGCCCTTTGCTTTGTGTCAAATTAATTTCTTTAGTACGCAATGCGGGGTGAATACAGATGGCACGAGGGCGGAGGGGGGGGGGCATATTCCCCCTCTACAATCGTGAGGTGAAAATTAAAGAAAATTAAAGAAAATTAAAGAAAAAGAGAGAGAAAGGAGGGAGAAAGGAAAGTCAAGAAGACACCTAAAACAGTTAAAACCACCTCCCTCCCCATATTTAATGTAGCCTCGTACATTTTGAAATTTGGCATTTTATTTCCCGGGTCTCCACTTCCTTCATCAATTCAGGTGCCAATTCAATAATTGGACATATGCTACACCATTTTGTAAGCATAAGGAGCTCTGAATTTCAACAAACAGTCAAATCTAAAAATTTACTTGAACCATGTTGCAATTGATAGTCGTGTTTGTAAACATCGCTAGTGGATTGCGCAATTCTCGGTGCAGCCGAGCAGACATGACGCAATGATGTCGAACATTAGCACTGAAAAGCCTGGCGTTAGCTGTAGCTGGAATCCTGGGCTTTCCGGTTTCGGGGGATGCTCGATGAGAGCGCGCGCTGAGCTGAGCTGAGCAGAAGGGAGTTACAGCAAATGCATCTCTATTTAAGTAGTGACGAGGCGCTGCTAATGCTCACTGGTTCAACGACTACCTTCTCAGTAAGCTACCTACCAAACTTTGTCTTAAGGTAAATCGTATTTTACAATTTCATAGATATTCCAGAGTCTTCATTTTGCTTTGATACATCAGGAATTATTTCTAAAGATGTCTAATGGATACAGAGTCCCTTTTGAGGAAATGTTGAAGTGCAGCATATGCCAGGGCAGGATCAAGGATACCAGGAGTCTACCCTGTGGACATACCTATTGCAAGGATTGTCTCACTAGGTCTGCTAACGCTACCTTCCCTCGAGGAAGCATCCAATGTGCAGAGTGCAAGAAGACATCTCAGCTACCCTTCGGAGGAGCAGAAGGTCTCCCGCGCTGCTTTGCCATCAACAGCCTCGTGGATGATATCAACGAGACCTATGGCGGCAGCGCCACTAGCAGCAGGAGAAGCAGTACGAGCTCCGGCAGAGGGGAAGAACTGTCTCTTGGCAGACATGGTTTCCAAGCTCGGGAAACGTTCACCTGCTCATTCTGCTTAAATCTGATGAGAGACGCCTGCTATCTACCTTGCGGACACTCCTTTTGTCGAGAATGCCTGACGATGCAGCCACGAACAACACCAGGTATCAAATGTATCAAGTGCCTGAAGGACCACAACCTACCAGCCCGAGGAATCGTTGGTCTCCCTGTCGCTTACCGCATCAATAGCATCGTGGCTGAGATCAGGTCTGGTGACAGTGAAACTAGTGGTAAGGCTCTAATTTATCTTGGACTCCATTAACGAGCATGATGATTGACAGATTATTGTCTTATTACAAAGTATTTATTTCAATATGAAGAAGTTGTGTATAATACATACTTAAGGCTAGAACTGATAATTACAACCCTGGCCTCATACATTGATATCAAGAAATGATGTAACAAATTAATGATTTAAAAAATTAATGATTAATTAAATATGAAATTAAAGTCTTATTAAAGACAGTGGTTAAATGTTGATGTTTCCAAAAGGAAATCTAGTAATAGTTGTTTATGCTTCATTTCGTTTTTGCACTTTAATGTAATCCTCATTTGCACATTATCTGCCCTCTCTCCTCTCTCTCTCTCTCTCTGTCAACCTTTCACTTTATTATCTATCTGTCTATTTCTCTACCTTTTTTTTTCTCTCTCTCTCTGTACAATGATATGCTATGACATATTATTACAAAAACAGAAACAGAACAAAAAAATTTATAAGAATAAAACAAACAAACAAAGAAGATAAGAGCATGACTAATTTCGTTAATAATTTCAACAGGTGAATCACAGACGCGTTCCTCCCAGAACAGACGACATCAACCTCCCCATCCTCATCGATCACCTGACACTCATTCTAGACCATTGATGGAGGACGTCGACGAGGCCAAGAGGAGGGCCCAGGCCGGCTACCAGATCCAGGTCTTCGTCAAACAAATCAACGGGAAGACCCTCGCCATCAACACCAGAGCCAACGCCACTGTAGGCGATCTCCAGCGAGAGATTAAGACGAGAACCAGCATTGACCAGTCCCAGCAGATGCTGACCTTCAGCGGTCGGAATTTGGACGACAGGACAAGAACATTGTCATCCTATGGAATTGTAAATCTATCCAATATTGATATGAATGCGAGACTCCGTGGAGGTAGCCAATAGAAATTAATTCCTCCATTTCCTTTTTATAATTTTTTTAAATTTAAATAATTTATATTTGTTTGTTGTTGTTCTTGTCGTTTTTTTTTTGTTTTTTGGGGGTTTTTTTGGGTTTTTTTTTGGGGGGGGGTGTAGGTTTTTTGTTTTCTTTAACCCATTTTTCTTTTCTTTGCGGCTTAGGCTACACAATTTAAATATGCCCTGTGGTTTGGCTAATCATGTATGTACAGATTCATTACTTCAATATGTTGTTGATATGATAAATGAAATCGATTTTGTTTTAATCAATACCTTGAATTGAAGTGAATTGAAAGATTTTTATGAAAACGTCTTGAACTATTCATTTCTAATTCAAAACACATGTATATATGTCATGATTGTTGTCTTTGAGCTTAACTTCAGCAGCACCCCACCCCCCCCCCAAAAAAAACAAAACAAAACAAAAACAAAAACAAAAACAAAACAAAAACAAAAACAAAAAAAAACACGAACGATAGAAAATATGTTGTGTTATATTTACTAACGTGTCATTCTCTAGACAGAAAAAAAAAAGTTCATATATAATTTAGTAAATGTAGACCTGTACATTCTTAATCCTAATATAGATGATTTACCCAGTATAATTAGATCAACCATTTTGTCAAGTGATTTATGGTTTCAGGCATTTTTCTGTTTCTGAAAAGGTTGTCTTCGTTAATTTATGTTTTTATGTAAGTACTATGATGATGAAATAGGAATACGTAGCGTCACGTTTGAACATGAATGGAAATATATTTGTAAATTATATCTCATCATTTTAAGCATTCATAATCTATATTTGTATGTACTGCATTATATATTTTTGTTAACTCATATTCGACACCAAAATGTATCATAAGTTCACATGGTTCACATGCCATTATAGGCCCATTAAAACAATTTAATAAGAAGGGTATATCACGAACAAATATCATTGCATCTTTATGAAGTTGATTTTCTTTCATGATATTATGTCATTGGGAAACAACCACATATTCAGCAATTATTATATCGTAGATAAAAGGTACTAATGAATATAGGTGAATTTAAATGATCAATACAGCACCACATACAAAGAAATACGGCAGGAAGATGTGATATGTAAAGACATATGAAGGCAGCAAAGATGTGTCAACCTAGTAAAATTTTGCAAAAGATTCATGTAGAGTATTGCATAATGATGTACCGCGTTATATCTGTTTTGCTAGGTTGGAATTATTATAGACATTAAAAAGTAACAAGCGAAATCATTTATTCTACACTTTCATTAAAATTTTAACCTTAATTTACAAACAGTCTTGCTACCCTCTGTTTGATTGATTGTGTTTGTCTGCGTGTTTTGAATGGCGAGTCCAGGCGATGAAAAACCATGAGAGTACAATACCCAAAGTGAATGATGTGTAATATTTCCACGTTTCCTAGCAATATGTATAAATATTTCAATACAGATGAGAAAAAAACCAATGAGCGATAAAGGGAGAGAGAGAGAGAGAAAGAGAGAGGGGGAAAATTTTTATAAAAGGAAAGGGGAAGGAATAAAGAAAGAAAAAGAGAGAAAAAAGAAAGAGGAAGAGAGAGAGATAGAGGGAGAGAGAGAGAGGGGGGGGGGGTAGATGCCTTTCCCTCAAATATCACCAGGTTCTGCCACGCTGCTCGCCACCCCCCCCCCTCCTTATTTACCAAATCAAACCAAACCTAACGCTGAGCACGGCAAATTTTGAAAATAATTCAAACGTTTTTAGAAAGTATTGATAAAATATATAATCAAATACATTTTCTTTTTTAATATTGATTTGTGTAAGCCTATTGCTCCTTTGAGTTATACTTTCTATTTTGCATCAGTGAGTCTTGTTTTTATTCTTGGTAAATTTATTTCAGATGTGGACAAAATGGCAAGTGTAAGAATGTGAGTAGAAAAGAATTAAAAGCAAGGATATTAAGTCAAACAAAATACAGATAAGATAAGAACGAATGTCGAATATTTTTTATGCCATATTTCCTACTTCGTAATTATTTACATCATAAAATAAACAGGCAATACAAAATTAAATTGTCTTTCATGTGTAACGAAACTAAGCACGATTGCATTACCAGCTATGAAATTCAACTCATAAACATGAAAAACCTATATAGAAAAAATTACTTCTTTCTATTGTTCAAATAAAGTATTTCCTGAAACTCAAACAGCAACAAACATTAAAATCTAAAAATGTACTTGAACCATGTTGCAATTGATAGTCGTGTTTCTAAACATCGCAAGTGGATTGCGCAATTCCCGGTCCAGCCGAGCAGACACGATGCAATAATGTTGAACATTAGCACTGAAAAGCCTGGATGCTCGATGAGTGCGCGCGCTGAGCTGAGCTGAGCAGAAGGGAGGTACAGCAATTGCATCTCTACTTAAATAGAGACGAGGCGCTGCTAATTCTCACTGGTTCAACGACTACCTTCTCAGAAAGATACCTACCAAACTTTGTCTTGAGCCAAATCCTATTTCACATTTTCATAGATATTTCAGAGTCTTCATTTTTCTTTGATACATCAGGAATCTTTAACATAAACATGTCTGACGGATACAGAATTCCTTTTGAGGAAATGCTGAAGTGCAGCATATGCCAGGGCAGGATCAAGGATGCCAGGAGTCTACCCTGTGGACATACCTACTGCAAGGATTGTCTCACTAGGTCTGCTAACGCTACCTACCCTCCCGGAGGCATCCAATGTGCAGAATGCAAGAATAGATATCAGCTACCCTCCGGAGTAGCAAAAGATCTACCGCGCTGCTTCGCCATCAACAGCCTCTTGGATGATATCAACGAGACCTTTGGCGAAGGCGACAGCGCCACCCTTGGCAGACATGGTTTCCAAGTCAAGGAAACGTTCTTCTGCGCATTCTGCTTAAATATGATGAGACACGCCCGCTATCTACCTTGCGGACACTCCTTTTGTCGAGAATGCCTGAAGATGCAGCCACGAACAACACCAGGTATCAAGTGCTCCAAGTGCCAGAAGGACCACAACCTACCAGCCCAAGGAATCGATGGTCTCCCTGTCGCTTACCGCATCGAAAGCATCGTGGCTGAGATCAGGTCTAACGAAAGTGAAACTAGTGGTAAGTCCTTCGATTTATCTTGGACTCCATTAACAAGCATGGTGATTGACAGAATATTTTCTAATTTCATTTCAATATGAAGAAGTTGTTTATAATACATAATAAAGGCTAGAACTCTTAATTACAACCCTGGCAACATTCATTGATATTTCGAAATGATGTAACAAATTAAAGATTAAAAAAATATATATATATATATTATATATAAAATTAAAGTCTTATTAAAGACATTGGTTAAATATTGATGTTTCCAAAAGGAAATCTAGTAATAGTTGTACATGCTTCAAATCGTTTTTGCACTTTCCTGTTATCCTCATTTGATCATCTCTATCTCTCTGTTTCTCTCTCTGTCATCTCTCGCTCTTTCACTCTTTCAGTCTATCATCTTCCTGTCTATTCCTCTATCTTTTGCCTCTCTCGCTGTACAATGATATGCCATGGTACAGTTGTGTATATTATAACAAAAACAGAAACAAAACAATATAATATAATAAAACAAACAAACGAAGAAGAAAAGAGCATGACTGATTTCTTTAATGATTTTAATAATTTCAACAGATGAATCACAGACGCGTTCCTCCCAGGAGAGACGACAACAACCTCCCCATCCTCATCGATCACCTGACACTCATTCTAGACCATTGATGGAGGACGTTGATGACGCCAAGAGGAGGGCCCAGGCCCAGGCCGGCAACCAAATCCAGGTCTTAGTCCGACAAACCAACGGGAGGACCGTCGTCAACGACATCAGCGCCAACGCCACCGTAGCCGATCTCCAGCGAGAGGTCACGACAAGAACCAACATTGACCAGTCCCAGCAGAGGCTGACCTTCAGCGGTCGGAATTTGGACGACAGAACAAGAACATTGTCATCATATGGTATTGCGAATCATTCTAATGTTGATATGAATGCGAGGCTCCGTGGAGGTAGCCAATAGATATTCTTTCCTCCATTTCCTTTTTATCATATATCATTTTTTTTATTTGTGTGATTGTTTATTTATTATCATTATCATTGTTATTATTATTATTATTATCATTATCATTGTTATTTGTTAGTAATTTTTTTTTTGGAGGTAGGCCTTTTGTTTTCTTTCATCCATTTTCCCTTTCTTTGCGGCTTAGGCTACACAATTTAATTAACATTGCACAAGCCTCTGCGCCTTCTTCATTGTGTTAAAACTGTTAATATGCCCCCGGAAACTGTTAATCATTATGCATGTACAGATTCATTACTTGAATATGTTGTTGATATGATAAATGAATTGAATTATAATATTTTCATGAAAACATCTTGAACAATTCATTTCTCAATCAAAACATTTGTATAAAGGTCATGATGTTTGTCTTTGAGCTTAACCTTAAGCATCCCCCCCCCCAAAAAAAAAACACGAACACTAAATAGAAAATATGTTGTGTTATATTTATTAACGTGTCATTCTTTAGACAGAAAAAAAAGTTCATATATAATTTAGTAAATGTAGACCTGTACATTCTTAATCCTAATATCGATGCTTTTCCCATAATATGATTAATCTTTTTGTCAAGTGATATATGGTTTCAGGCATTTTTCTGTTTCTGAAAAGGTTGTCTTCGTAAATGTTTTTATGCAAGTACTATGATGATGAAATAGGGATACGTAGCGTCACGTTTGAACATGTATGGAAATATATTTGTAAATTATATCTCATCATTTTAAGCATTCATAATCTATATTTGTATGTACTATATTGTATATTTTTGTTAACTCATATTCGACACCAAAATGTATCATAAGTTCACATGGTTCACATGCCATTATAGGCCCATTAAAACAATTATAAGAAGGGTATATCAAGAACAAATATCATTGCATCTTTATGAAGTTGATTTTCTTGCATGATATTATGTCATTAGGAAACAACCACATATTCAGCAATTATTATATCTTAGATAAAAGGTACTAATGAATATAGGTGAATTTAAAAGATCAATACAGCACCACATACAAAGAAATACGGCAGGAAGATGTGATATGTAAAGACATATTATGTAGGCAGCAAAGATGTGTCAACCTAGTAAAATTTTGCAAAAGATTCATGTAGAGTATTGCATAATGATGTACCGCGTTATATCTGTTTTGCTAGGTTGGAATTATTATAGACATTAAAAAGTAACAAGCGAAATCATTTATTCTACACTTTCATTAAAATTTGAACTTGAATTTATAAACAGTCTTGCTACCCTCTGTTTGATTGATTGTGTTTGTCTGCGTGTTTTGAATGGCGAGTCCAGGCGATGAAAAACCATGAGAGTACAATACCCAAAGTGAATGATGTGTAATATGTCCACGTTTCCTAGGAATATGTATAAATATTTCAATACAGATGAGAAAAAACCAATAAGCGATAAAGGGAGAGAGAGAAAGAAAGAGAGAGGGGGTAAAATTCATAAAAGGAAAGGGGAAGGAATAAAGAAAGAAAAAGAGAGAAAAAAGAAAGAGGAAGAGAGAGAGATAGAGGGAGAGAGAGAGAGAGGGGGGGGGATAGATGCCTTTCCCTCAAATATCACCAGGTTCTGCCGCGCTGCTCCCCCCCCCCCCTCATTATTTACCAAATCAAACCAAACCTAACGCTGAGCACGGTAAAGTTTGAAAATAATTCAAACGTTTTTAGAAAGTATTAATGAAATATATATACAAATGAATTTTTTAATATTGATTTGTGTAAGCCTATTGCTCTTTTGAGTTATACTTTCTATTTTGCATCAGTGAGTCTTGTTTTTATTCTTGGTAATTTTATTTCAGATGTGGACAAAATGGCAAGTGTAAGAATGTGAGTAGAAAAGAATTAAAAGCAAGGATGTTAAGTCAAACAAAATACAGATAAGATAAGAACGAATGTCGAATATTTTTTATGCCATATTTCCTACTTCGTAATTATTTACATCATAAACTATACAGAAAACAAAAAATTAAATTGTCTTTCGTGTGTAACGAAACTGAGCATGATTGCATTACCAGCTATGAAATTCAACTCATGAACATGAACAATCTAGAGAAGATTACTTCTTTCTATTGTTCAAATAAAGAATTTCCTGAAACACAAACCGCAACAAATAGTTCAATCTAAAAATGTGCAAAACCATGTTGCAATTGATAGTCGTGTTTTTGAACATCGCAAGTGGATTATCATTGCGCAATTCCCGTGCAGCCGAGCGGACACGATGCAATAATGTCGAACATTAGCACTGAAAAGCCTGGCGTTAGCTGTAGCTGGATTCCTGGGCTTTCCGGTTTCGAGGGATTCCTCAATGCTCGATGATGTCATCATTGTGCGCGCGCTGAGCTGAGCTGAAGGAGTCACAGCAATTGCATCTCTACTTAAAAAGAGACGAGGCGCTACTAATGCTCACTGGTTCAGCGACTACCTTCTCAGTAAGATACCTACCAAACTTTGTCTTGAGCCAAATCCTATTTCACATTTCATTTTTCTTTGATACATCAGGAATCTTTAACATAAACATGTCTAACGGATACAGAATCCCTTTTGAGGAAATGCTGAAGTGCAGCATATGCCAGGGCAGAATCAAGAATACCAGGAGTCTACCCTGTGGACATACCTACTGCAAGGGTTGTCTCACTAGATCCACTTTCGCTTCCTACCCTCGCCCTCGAGGAAGCATCCAATGTGCAGAATGCATGAAGACAACTCAGCTACCCTCCGGAGGAGTAGAAGGTCTACCGCGCTGCTTTGCCATCAACAGCCTCGTGGATGATATCAACGAGACCTTTGGCGGAGGCGGCAGCGCCACAAGCAGCAGGAGAAGCAGTACGAGCACCGGCAGAGGGGAAGAACTGTCCCTTGGTAGACATGGTTTCCAAGTCAAGGAAACGTTCTCCTGCGTATTCTGCTTAAATTTGATGAGAGACGCCCGCTATCTACCTTGCGGACACCCCTTTTGTCGAGAATGCCTGAAGATGCAGCCACGAACAACACCAGGCGGTATCAAGTGCTCCAAGTGCCAGAAGGTCCACAACCTACCAGCCCAAGGAATCGACGGTCTCCCTGTCGCTTACCGCATCAACAGCATCGTGGCTGAGATCAGGTCTGGTGACAGTGAAACTAGTGGTAAGTCCTTCGATTTATCTTTGACTTGATTGGTGAGCATGATGATAGACAGATTATTGTCTCATTACAAACTATTTATTTCAATATGAAGAAATTGTGTATAATACATAATAAAGGCTAGAACACAATTACGTAACCTTGCTTCATTCATTGATATTTAGAAATGACTAATGAAATATGAAATTAAAGACAGTGGTTAAATGTTGATGTTTCCAAAAAGGAAATCTAGTAAAAGTTGTTTATGCACTTTCATGTAATTCTCATTTGCACATCTCTCTCTCTCTCTCTCTCTCTCTCTCTTTCTCTCTGTCATCCTTCACTTTATTATATATATCTGTCTATTTCTCTCTCTTTTTCCTCTCTCTGTACAATGATATGCGATGACGTATTTTAACAAAAACAGAAACAAAACAAAATATAAGAATAAAACAAACAAACAAAGAAGAAAAGAGCATGACTAATTTCGTTAATAATTTCAACAGGTGTATCATCACGGACGCGTTCCTCCCAGAACAGACAACACCAACCTCCCCATTCTCATCGATCACCTGACACTCATTCTAGACCATTGATGGAGGACGTCGACGAGGCCAAGAGGAGGGCCCAGGCCGGCAACCAAATCCAGGTCTTCGTACGACAAATCAACGGGAGGACCCTCACCATCAACACCAGAGCCAACGCCACTGTAGACGATCTCCAGCGAGAGATCAAGACGAGAACCAGCATTGACCTGTCCCAGCAGAGGCTGACCTTCAGCAGTCAGAATTTGACCGACAGGACAAGAACATTGTCATCCTATGGAATTGTAAATCATTCCAATATTGATATGAATGTGAGACTCCGTGGAGGTAGCCAATAGATATTCTTTCCTCCGTTTCCTTTTCATAATTTGTTTTTATTTTATTTTTTTAATATTTAAAAAAAAAAAATTAATAATTTTTTTTAGGGGTGGGTTTTTGTTTTCTTTAATCCATTTTCCTTTCTTTGCGGTTTAGGCTGCACATACAAATTAAAACCGCACAGGCCTTTGCGCCTTCTTCATTGTGTTAACACTGTTAATATGCCTTGTGAAATTGCAATCATTATATATGTCTACAGATTGACTACTTGAGTAATATTTTGGTATGATAAAAGAAATTGAAGAAAATAAATGTTACTTTGAGTTGAATTGAAAGAGTTTTATAAAAACGTCCTGAATATTTCATTTCTTATTCAAAACATACTGTACAAATGTCTTTGACCTTCAGCACCCCACTAAAAAAGAACAACGACAAGAAAAGAAGAACAAAACACAAATGATAACAAATATTTAGTTTTAAATTTATTCATGGGTCATTCTTTATGACAGAAAAAGAATTCATATATAGTATAGTAAATGTAGACATGTCATTCCTAATTCTAACATCGATGCTTTCATATTATTAAATTAACTTTTTTGTCAAGTGATATACGTTATATCAGGCATTTTCTTTTTCTGAAAAGGTTGGCTTCGTTAAGTTATGTTTTTTATGCAAGTACTGTGACGATAAAATAGGAATTCGTAGCGTCACGTTTGTTTAGACATGTTGCTAGCGTTTGTAATGTAATGCATGTATGAAATTATATTTGTAAATTATCATCATTTTAAGCATTCATAATCAATATTTGTATGTACGACATTGTATATTTTTGTTAACTCATATTCGACTCCAAATGCATCATAAGTTCACATTGTTCACATGCCATTATAGGCCTATACAAAAAAAAAATCATAGGAAGGGTATATCATGAACAAATTGTATGGCATCTTTATCAATTTGATTTTCTATCATGATATTATGTTATAGAGAAACATCCACATATTCAGCAATTATTTTTTTGTAGATAAATTTTTTCTAATGAATATAGGTGAATTTAAATGATCAATACACCATCACAATGATCACATTCAAAGAAATTGGCAGAAAGAAGTGATATGTAAAGGCATAATGTAGGCAGCAAAGATGTGTCAACTTAGTAAACTTTTGCAAAAAATGCATGAAGAATATTTGAATAATGATGTACCGCGTGATATAAGTTGTGCAATGTTGGATTCATTAGAGATTAAAAAGTAACAAACGCCATCATTTATTCTACACTTTTATTAAATTTTGAACTTATTTTGAAGTTATAAACAGTCTCGCTACCCTGTTTGTGTTTGTCTGCGCGTTTTGAATGGCGAGTCCAGGCGATGAAAAACCATGAGAGTACAAAGTCAAATGATGTGTAAAAAATCCATATGATATATATGCATATATATTAATATTTTAATAGAAAAACCAATGAGTGATGTAGAGGAGAGAGAGAGAGGGGGGTAACATTCAAAAAAGGAAAGGGAAGAGATAAATAAAGAGAAAGAGAGAGAGAGAGTGAGAGAGGAGAAAGGATATCTATATAGATAACATATATATATATATAGAGAGAGAGAGAGAGAGAGAGAGAGAGAGAGAGAGAGACAGAGAGACAGAGGGGGGGGGGGACTGATTCCCTTCCCTAAAATATAACCCGGTTCTGCCGCGCTGCTCCCCACCCCCATATTTACAGAACCAACCCATCAAAAACATGCACGCTTTGCCAGCCTGTATGACGTGTCTCAGTCCTCTGCTCCGTTTCAACAAAAAAAATTAGTACACAATGTGGGATGAATGCAGGGGGCGAAAATAATTCAAACGTTTTTGGGAAGTATTGATAAAATATTATAACACTTTTCTTTTTTGAGGGGGTAATTTTATTTCAGATGTGGACAAAATGGCAAGAGTAAGAATGAGAGTAGAAAAGAATGGACAGCAGGGATATTTAGCGAAACAAAATACAGAGAAGATCCTGACGAATGTCGAATAAAACTGCCCCACCATATACATTATGCTATATTTCATTCTTCGTAGTTTTTTTAACATCATAAACTATTAGAAAATAAAGATATAATTGTCTTTCACGTGTAACGAAACTGAGCATGATTGCATGACCAGCTATGATATTCAACTCATGAACATGAGCAATCTAGAGAAGATTACTTCTTTCCATTGTTCAAATTGAACATTTCCTGAAGCCCGAATCTCAACAAACAGTTAAATCTAAAAATGTGCTTGAACTATGTTGCAATAGATAGTCGTGTCTGTAAACATCGCAAGTGGATTGCGCAATCCCCGGTGCAGCCGAGGAGACATGACGCAATGATGTTGAACGTTGAACCCTCAACGAGTTCATTAGACAGTCTTATCGTGCAGACACTCGTTGCACTAGTATGAGGTTAATTATTGAGAATACAGGAGTGGAGCTATGATTGTCAGGAAGGGGAGGGGCTGAGGTTTAACCCAAATGTAATATTAACAGGAACCTCCCTGTACTCGCTAATGTTATTCCCCGTTAGGCCTAATTCATTTTTTTCCCACGAAAATCCCATAGTGTTCTGTGAGGTGACCCCCCCCCCCGCAACAACAACAAAACGATTATACAAGGACATCAAAATATGTCAAGAATAATTACATTGTGGGTGTACCCCGAATAATATCGTTTTGAGAGTATATGTCGAAGTTTATAATTTAGCTGAATAATAGGCCATGAGTATATTTTCCGGACACGTAGGATCAAACGCGATGCATGTTTCAACTTCCATGTTGTGTCAAAATTGCCTTGTCTTGACCTTTGAAAAGGTTTTAATACTGCTTCGTGTATTTCCTCTTTTTTCAATCGCTCCTATCTTACTCCCATCATCCTCCCCTATCCGACATTGCTCCCCCAGTCATCTTCTCCATTATGTTTGATTTCGACCCCAAACCAGTTCTCACCGGTTTTATCGTGATCTGAATCCACAGCTGTGGCAGCGATAGTGGGGAAAACCCTTGCATTACGTCATAGCCTTTAATTTGAGACATTGGCACAGACAAGACTTAGCTTTAGCTGGACTGCCATGATTGCTGTCCAGATGACGCATACCTATATGACCTGTGTTGAATTTGAGTTTTTTATTCAAACATTAAGGAACATGAAGAGACCAGTAAAAGAATAGAACAATGTCATTTCATCAGCTAACTTCACAGATTGATTTAAGAAATAATTGTTATTCCCCTATACCTTTACTGGTGAATTATTTGATTGTGAAATTAAAGGTATAGACCGGTAGTGGTAAAATTGCGGTTCAAGGGTTTTGGGTGCAAAGTGTCCATTCAATATTGTTTTTCCTTCAGAGGTTTAGATGGCAATACTTCAAGATAAATTCGCAACAACAAAAAAAGCAGAAATATATGCCCAAATGTTCAATGTTGAAGTGCATTCGCGATATCTATCCAGGCCGGTTCGATATAGACGGTGTCCCGGCAAAATTTGTATCATCACGTATTAGTCAAAACATATTATTGCACATGATTGGTAGTAAGAGCTTCCATTTCATTTTTTGAGAGGGGGCGTTTCCAAAACTGGTCTGTATTGTATGTTTTTATCATCATTCAAAAATACCTGAATTAAGTTCTTGCTTCCTCTCCTGAAGTTCATACCCCCCCCCCCCCTCCCCCCAAAAGGACATATAGTTAACTGGTGTATTACAGTCATTAAATAATTAAATCATAGTATTATCGTCATTTTGTTACCTGTCGAAATGCACCTACGTACATTGTACCTCAAATCGAAATTGAATATGATTTGTATATAGGCTTGTGTCTCATCTAATCATAATAACGGCCTAATTTTAAACAGCTCTTACAGAAAAAATGTTATTGTTTGTTTTTCTCCTCTTTTGGGCTTGTTGCTTTTTGCTTCTATTTTTCTGTATAAAGTATTGATTTATTCTGATTTATTAAAATAATTAAACATGATTTCATATTGTCTTCGAAAGGTTGGAACGAACTGCTACTGCTAAATTTGAAAAAACAAATTAATTTCCGCTTCAAAAAAAAATCGATGACTTAGCAAGTAATTCTATCTAGGCCTTGTTTATGCGAGGTAAGGGAAAACGGTGTTATAAATATAGGAGTGGAAATTCCCCAGAAACAAAAGGAATATAGAAAATTCTCAGTGTGTATCAATGCAGCAGGTTGCACACGGTAAAAGATAAGAAAGCGAACGAGGGAGAAAGAGAGAGAGAGATAGAGAGAGAGAGAGAGAGAGAGAGGGAAATTTATGCCACTGAAAATAAATCATCATGCTTAAATCTCGTAGAGTAAATACATTCATTCCCTTATCATATTTTGTATTTTGCTTGATCACAATGGAAGGTAAACATGGTATTCCCCAGTAATATAAAACATGATTATTATTTCGTTGTGTTTTACATACCCATTTCAATGGGTTAACAAGCAATAAAAGGTAAATTTTTCTAAAGTTATTTTAAGCTGAAGAAAAATAAATGAGACTCATGCTAACATTATGTAAACGTTGCAGCTTTGCTTTATTTCTCGTTGGTTCATTGTTCATGATAAAGACGCATTATGTAATCTAAACATGACTTCTACAGATGACATCATGATGATAATGGCGTATCAAAGTTGCCATTCGTTTGATTTTTTCGTCTTGGCCATCGTGTTTCATCAACACATAGAGAAAGTGGACAATTTGTATTGTTCAATGTTTTTTATATAAAACATAAATAAAATATAATACATTATATATATATATATATCTTAAAGAAAAGTAAATACTCTACCAATGTCAATTAAGGTTTATTAAGTTTTTAAGTTTCACGTTCACATTCATTTCACCGTTGGAAGGTCGGACTAAGAAAATAGCAAAGCTAGAGCAAGTAGAAATTCAAATGTTAATGAACATGTGGATCTGTGAGACATTCTAGTTCAACAACGGAAACAAAGAATGAGAAACAATCGAGAAGGATTGATCTCTGGATGTCAACTTTTAACTCAGGATATCACCAACACTTGAATGCCTAGATGGCCCATTGTTTGCAATTTTCTTTCAGAAACTCATTTATTGGCAAATGGGTATGCTCACCCTGCATGAATGGTATGGTTCCAACTGCATACCATCTTAAAGAGGAATAACGTATGTTTATTTTCACAAGTATGTGAAAGTTAAGTTTATATTAAATGTTTATTTGAAATTCTTAGCTATAAATACTGTCCACTTTCTTTTTTTGCAGAGTTTATATGAGTTAACTGATGTTTCACTAATTCAACCAGCCTCTCACTCACTCACTCACTCAGTCAGTCCGTCACACTCTTACTCACTAACTCACTCATCCACCCTCTCACTCACCCACTCACTAACGCACTCACTCATTTACTCACTCACTCACTCAATATTTACAAATACCAGTTAGATAATCCAAGCAATACATACTAATTATATAACATTTAATAACACTTGTCACTGCTTCATAGTCCAGCATTATTGTTTAAAGCTTCATTTATTACACGGCCTTCCATGGGGTTCTCGATATATAACAGAACATGAATTTCATTATAATAACAATAGTCAAATGTCAAATTACACAATTATGATTGACAAGTGAAAGAATAATTACACCTCTTCCTCCCCTATCGAGTACATTATAGGCATGGAGCAATTCGTAGGTAGGAACATTCTAACAATGCTTCTCCTCATTCTAGTCTGTTTTACATTCGATATTTTAACATGACTTTTAAATTAGTATTGTTATTACTATTATCAGCCTGGCCAGCGAAATTAAGCAGTTTATTAATCACAAGTTTCAAGACTGAAAAGCTTAAGATATAGAGTATGCGGTGTATAATCTTTTTTTATATTTACATGTAGGCCTAACCACTACCTTTAAAAAAAAATCTCTTTAATCGCACCACACGCTGAAGACTACTATTTTCTTATTGTGTTTGCATGGAATTCCCCATACGTAATATTATGCATGTGAACACATGATCTGAAATAGCATTACATTCACGACAGATAATATGAAATTCAGGGGTTAGTCTAACAAAAACACGTATTTTATAAGAAGGATTCATAAATACCATAGTAACAGACTGAAATTCGTTCTAGTATCCCCCCCCCCCCCCAAAAAAAAAGTCTATCGCAGCACAAGCTGAAGACTACTAGTTTCTCAATGTGGATGGGTGGAATTCCCCACACATTATATTGCACATAACGGTAAACACATGATCTAAACATAACAATGGTGGATCGAGGAGAGGGAGGGGCGGACACGAAACATAACCTTAAGTACACATTGAGTTCCAAAAGTAAATATGCCCCCGGAAACTGACTGCAAAGGCATCTGAAATATTTCTGTGATATTTCTTCTTAATTTTGTTTTAATAAACATTTTGTCTATTTGATTTTGTTAACATTTTGTACTTCAATCAAACACACATCCCAAAATCGTGATATTTTTTTTTTAAAGCAGAGAATTTTTGAATTTGTGCCCCTTCTCCTCCCACCCGCAAGAGAATTCTGGATGTGCCACTGAAGGTCCCAACATTTCCATCGTCTATATCAAAGAAAAATATCTTCATAATTATTAATTGTTAACAGTAGGCTTTGATACGACAAATCACGTATGTACAACATTTTTGACTTCAATTATCCTCTTACCGAGGTGTTTTATTTCACACATTTTTTCTTCTTCTTTTTAACCCTTTCAGAGAACTTATTTCACATATCTACACCGTGCACAATAACTTATATATTCTATTAAAATATTATCTTGGCATATCAGTCAAAGATTTTAACTGTTTTTCATTAACCTGCTTTAGTGTTAGAATTTAGATGTGGCATCAATTCATATCTCAAATCAGTTAAACGAGTTCTACCAATCGTTTTGCTGTTTGTTTTCAAATGTTTAACGTAGTTCTTAAGAATAACATACTCAGAAAAATTAATCAAAATATTTACCAAGTAATTTTATAACTTGCCTATATTATATCCAATTACTAAAGTCTTCTCATTTATGTTGATATCTAATCCAAACAAATGATTTATCAAACGTGTTACAATTTTCCAAAACACAATTATTTGTATACACTCTAGCATCATATGCCGTGATGTTTCAATTGTATTACAATCCTCACATATACATTTTCATTTTCCGTATTGGCCTAAAGTTAACATGAAGTTTATACCAAAGTTGTTTTTTTCTTCAAAATAAAAACCTGCATGTACAACTATTGCTTTTTTCATAAATATTTTTTTTGCCCATGAAAGTAATTAAAAAATAAGTTCTCAATAATTTTCCCCCAAAAAATCAAATCTTATTACATTTTAACAAAACATAAAAGTAGTTTCTGTTTCTTTAGATATATCACACTGGTCAGTGTCCATTATACACCATCTGTATATATTATGTTTTGATGGAAATATATTATGCAATACTTTGCAATTAACTTGCTTTATCCTATTATCTCCTATTGAAATTTAAAATTGAATACTTTCTGCCAATTAAAAGAAAAAGGTAAATTCAAATAATTTTAAACGTACATGTATGTACAACATAATACATGCCATAAAAGGCCTTGTGAAATGATTTCGTTCAGCAATTCTCTTGCAGTTCTCGACGAATTCTAAAATAATGGATCTGAATTTGTTCAAAATGATATTTGAACGAATTCCCTTTGACAAATCAATGACCATAAGAGTTCTGAGTTTGTTTGGCATTTTAAAAATTGTGCGTCTTTTAAAATAGCGTATCAGTCCATGATGTAATGAGTGAAAAAAAAATTGTCCATCAGGAAAACCATACTTTGAAGCAACAAAAATTCAAATGAAATTCAAAATGAACATTATGAGTATAAGTGTTGCAGTAATGCGATGTAAACATGTCGGGATTAACAAAAAAAATGAAGTCTCACAGAATCAAACGAAACTTACACTGAATGTTCAAGATTACAAATAAGTGTCATTTGCCAAACAGTTTTGGTAGAAAATGTATACTGGCTGAGTAATGAGCATAGAAAGATAATGAATCCAAGGTAAGTAGGCCCGACACCATTTATGTACAATGTATAGTCCCATATTACATCTTTCTGTGTACAGTGCTTGTTACTTTACCAAGACTGGGCCAAATTTATTATGATTTTGATGACTCCAGAACCTTGACAGGACACACCAATACTTACATGCTATGGATCTTTTTGATCCATTCTACACCTTTTCTTTTACAATGCAATCGCATGACTAGAACTCAAATTTATCTTTGAGAAGGCAACTATAGTAAATAAGGTCATGCAGTATAGACAGGAGGGGTCGCCAGACGAGTCTTCTTATCGACAAGTTCTCGACAGGTGAGGTTGCTAATCATGCAAACAAATCTGATCCACACTGTTGTGTGTAGACTTGTCGACATTATAGAGGATTGGTTCCAACTTTCATGGGTTTACAAAATAATAATGCTAACAGACCTACATACAATGGCTTGTTCAAATTTTGTTTTCAACCGTGGGGCGGCATCCTCCAATGAGTCCAAAGACGGGAGTATGACGTATGGGGCAGCTCCGCGTGATGCATAAGAAGTGGTTTCTTCTTCTTTTTCCTGTCCTCCGTCTCCGTTTTTTTTTTTCTCTCTTATTTTGCCTTATGGGGTGGGTGGTTTATGTCGGTTCTATTTCATTTCATTTCATTTATTTATTTAAACACGGAGGCCTACTTCAGCCCGCAGACTGTTCTTCTGTAGGGCCGTGTATATACATAAAAACATACAATATCAAAATAACATATATACAACATAATTCAACATAATAATGATAACATAAATATATACAAAACAAAAATAACATAAACTAAAAATACATATGAAATATTAATAGGGGATGGGGACTACTCCTTAAGGGCTCTTGGTTCCATATACTTATTTAGATTACGCTTGAAATTTATAACAGATAATTCACGTTTAAGTTCTGGTGAGATTGAGTTCCAGCATTTCGCACCGAAATAGCTGAAACTCTTTTTTTTAAAACATGTTTTTAATTTAGGTAGTACAAAATTATTAATTGAATTTCTCATATTATAATTACATTTTTTTAGTTCAAATAAATCTAGCAAGTAATTAGGACAATTATGATTAGCAATTTTATACATCATGTAAAGGGCATGTTTATCTCTTCTTTTTTCTAAAAAATCAAGCTTTAACTGCTGAAACAGGGAAATTGTAGAATATCTGGCATCAACTTTTAATATAATTCGGAGGGCTCTATTCTGGAGGACTTGAAGCTTCTTAACAGATTTTTTCATAATATTTCGCCAGACCACATCACAATAGTCAAGTTTACTTTGTAATATTGTTTTATAAAACATAAGTGCAATATTCTGAGATATATAGTTCCTTATTCTTTTAAATAGGTACAGCTTTTTAATAATATCTTTTCTCAGGAAATTAACATATTCATCCCAATCGAGATTGTGATCTATATATATACCTAAGTATTTGCAATGATCTATTTGATTGAGTTTTACATCATTAATATAAATATTAATCGTTCGATTTTTAACTTTGGTTCTAGATCCAATTAACATGACCTCACATTTTGTAGTATTGAGAAATAATTTGTTTGAATTCAACCATTTTGAAAGACGTATAAGATCAGCATTAATGACATTTTCAATAGTTTCTGTTGTTTTACCAGGGTAATATATGCATGTGTCATCAGCGTACAACGATATACTACATCTTTTAATACAATTTGATAAATCATTAACATATATGGTAAAAAGTAGGGGGCCTAAATTGGCCCCCTGTGGAATTCCACAAATTACATTCAGTTCGTCTGATTTTACACCATTTACAACCGTGTACTGTCTTCTATCAGTCAGGTAGTTAAGGAACCATTCACAAGCCCTTTTGTCAAGTCCAATCAATTTCAGCTTATCAAGGAGGATAGCATGGTCAACCGTGTCGAAAGCCTTTTTAAGGTCGATTGTGACCATTCCAACAATGTCCCCTTTATCCAAACTATCCAACCAGTCTTCTGTGACATTCAGAAGGGCAGTCGCCGTTGAGTGCTGAGGCCTAAATCCGGATTGCTTCACGTCAATAATACTGCTGTAGTGCTGGATATGCCACTTTGGCTACGCCTTGTGTCAAATTCGTCTCAGAATCTGCTTTAATTTCTAAGCTGCACCACCCTGAAGTCGACCATGCAAATGCACCGTGCTCAAATGTTGGAGTCCCAGACTTTTTAGACTAGAAGTCGACTGATCATCGAGGGTCTTGCTTTGGAACTGAAGCCGCTGTTGAGAAGGGGCGATCTTCAGTTTCTCCTGGATCTTGACCTTGAGGTCTTTTACCGTGTCCGTCGGTCTGACAGTCGCGATTTTCGTCTTGCCCTCGTAATCCACGACTTGAATATGAATTAATCCTGTCAAGAATAGATAAATGATTGACGTTATGATAGCAGGTAAGAACAAGCAATGGATTAAGAAGACCATCAAAATACATGTTGGCCGAGAAATCGAACTATCATCAAAATAATATTATTCAATTGTTGATCGGGGAATATAATTTAGCCGAGATTTGTTAATGTTCAGTGTTTTGATTTTGATTTTGATTTTCTCGTTTAAAAAATACATATAGACTGAACCGTCATCACGATAACTATAGCATTCAATACAGTTCTGTTCACCATTGATTTCGAATATTAATTCAGAGGGTATGAAATATTGGTATTACAGACTCCGAGGCAGAATGATAATCTCGAGATGAAAAGTATTTATTTTTGTATCCTATTAATTCACGAAAGGCAGTTTAAACCTACCCGACATCGTTGAACTGGCATTCGACATGGAGCCGATTCCGGAGTCGTTGCTGGCCGTGCTTGATAAAGAATCTCTTCGGCTACCGGGGTCGTTGCTGGCCATGCTAGGTAAGCTAGATAAAGAATCTCTTCGGCTACCGGAGTCATTGGATGCAATCCCACTGTCCTCTCCATCACCCATCATCGCTTCCGACGTTTGATCATGTCCATTTTCCATGGTTTATAATCGGGCTCGTGATTTGTAGGCCTGAAGAGAAGAAGAGAGGAGAAAATTACTTAGTACTCGACGAGTGATGCATCGAATGCCTTGCCAAATTTCAGCTGTCAGATGGCGCTGTCACTATGTAAGTGCAAATTTTATAATCAAACATATTGTTAGTGTTTTAAGGATACCGTCGTTGTTGAAACATGAATATTTATTTTTGATCGAGCCTAAGTGTAGTTTTCCCATAATCTATGACCGCAACGTGGTGTTTTTGTATTGATTCGTATGTCTCATGTCTTGGTTCAGCTGCTGTGCAGCGAGCCATGCAAATTTATTTGCATAATTTCGAACTGATTTTGATACACGAAGGACGCGTGTTTTTTTTTTAGCAGGCAATCCGCTTAGTTTTTGCAGCTTTTTGGTTTGAGAGAGGGGAGAAATGGATCCAAGAATTTAGTTTTTTGATAGACACAGTTATGAAAGGATTGCGGGAAGAAAATCCAGGTCAGAGCCTTACTCTATATCGACAAAGGTTACCACAGCTGCCCTGCATTGAAGTTTTCGAGATAACGGTAAGTGTTATAAATTTGTATTTAGCTAGGGTCGGTAGTTTGAGGTGACCTTAAGGTCTTGGTGATAATGTAAAATATGATATTAATATATCACCATCATATTTTACATTATCACCAAGCCCTTAATGCTAGTTTGAGGCCCTTCTTAATTATCGATGATTTCATGTATGCTGAGAGAGTGCTTTACTTTGTGAACATGAAATAAATTAATTATTGATAGTATGTTGTTTGTAACTATGAAAGGTCAACGGGAACCATATTTATAAAATAAATGATGCACACAAATTTAATGCATAGGCCTACGAGTTTATTGTCGAATAATTTTTGACGCAGAGAATTGTGAGTTTGATGATCACATGTTTCTTTATATATAAGCCTTCATTTATGTAATGCATGTGTAATGGTGCGCTCATTTGGGCATCTCATTTGACCTAAAGGGGGCGCTAGAGCCAAAAGAGAGCCGGCTGGGTTGATTAATTGTATTCACCTAAAAGTTAAATAGCATTAATTAGGTTTCCAATAGTATGGCGGGAACGGGTAAACAACCCCTGGTTTTGAGTTCTTGCATAAGATTAAAGTGTTCATTTCGATAAGCACGTTGGACAATAGACTATTTTTTCCGGGGACGCGACATTCTCGCGAAGAGATAGACGTCTCCCATTTTTGTCGGTGACTAGTTCAAATCACTCTTTATCTATTATGCTTTGTCATTGGTTATAATTAATTAAAGGTATAACTCCTCTCTTAATTGGTCGGATGACCTAAGGGTAGTTAGATATATCCCGTCTTGTAATTGGTTGTCTTCGTAAGGGTCCTCTTGGTTGGCTGGTGATATTTTATTTAAAATGTTTCTACAATAATTACTCTTCGTTTGTAACGATTGGAGCTTCGGCTGACTTATATAATTAATAAAGTGGATTTCAACTGTAATTCCGAGCTTCTTTTGTTTTCATTTATATTTAAACTTGTCGTCTCCAACTCATTAACTGGCCCACCACACATGTATGATGTATACATGATGATGGCATGTGAACCTAGGTACTTTTGATGACGTATTTTTTTCTTTTGAATTTATACAAAAACAAGATACATTGGAAGGTGATTTAGTAAAACAGGTAAAGGTAAAACTAACATTTGAATTTATTCATGAATTTAGATTATTGTTACTTTATCCAGCTATATTACATTATTATACTTTGTTAATACTTTGATTGCCATATACTGCCAGAGTGAACGATTTGTGCTATACTTTGTATAATACTTTGAATAGAGATACAAAACTGATAACCAACATTCGAATGTCACTATATAATATATCATAATCCTCAACTATACAGAATTATTTGTTTATGTATCCTAATTAAATTATGATAAGAGTGATTTTCCGCGAAACATGTAGCATAGTCATTCGACTCTGTAATTTACTGTCATTTAAACCAAATTGTAATAGAATAGATAACAAATCATCTATGTGGGCATGCCTTGAACCATAATGAATGGCCCTACAGAGGAACTTTTCCTGTTGGGGACCGGGGGGAATGCAATGAATTATTGATAATTTATTGCATTTTCTTTCGTTTTTTGTATTTGTGGGGGCGGCGACATACCCTAGCACCCGCTGCGTACAGTCATTATTCAGTGGCTAAACAATGGCCTTGTTACTGTGAGGCCCCAGAATAAAAACTGTGTTGATCAGCTATATTAGTGCCCTTTTGTGAGGCATAATCCTCATTACTGTCCGTTATGACTTACGGACGTAGGTCCCCTAGTTGATTAGCATTGTAACACACGCATGCCTTACCAGTCACGAAAAACAAACACTCGCAAATTATTGTATTATTTAGATCTATTATGATTAAATTATTGTCAAAATCATTCCATAAATTCGTCCTTGTTTTCACGAAGTGACGGTAGCGAGGAAAATCGTAACGCAAAGTGAATGCAATTTTTTTTCGCTACCGTCACTTCGTGAAAACAGCGACGAATTGTGGTAAAAATGATTATTCCACCTTTGTGACCAACAGTGTACATTGAAAAAAGCTAAATAAAGTGGGGGATCTATACTAAAAAGCAAAGCTTGTATTATGTAGGTCCCAGTTAATAAGTTTGTATATAAATTAGGATATCTGAATAAACGTAAGATATTTACAAAAGCATATGATTATACATATTTTACTAAACATAGCGTAAACAATTGAGAAAAAAAGGAAGTGTTCTGTGCTTTCCTCAGCATAACCAAATATATATAAATCAAATTAAAGGAAATAAAAATACTTACAGGTGAAGAAAAGTAATACGAAGGTCGCTGCTCAAATTTGGTTGTCTCTTTGCGAATGCGTCTGTTCTGAAAGAAATACTTGGCACTACTGATGCCGGAGTCACAGAGCCTGGACGCCGAGAATGCGATCTGCCGAATGTGCTAGAATGACGTAATGACGTAATGGAGCGGGGAATACCCACTGATGAGCAGACAGCCTGTGCGCATTACGTAGTGTGTGTAATATAATACAGTACATGGTTGTAAATTTATATTGCGCAATGTTTATTTTTCATCTTGATAACCCCGACGGCCCGAGTTGATAAGAGAGGGTGTAAAGAGGGAGAAGGATGTGAATAGGTGGAGTGAGAACTAAAGAGAGGATGACAAAGAGGGGTAAGGCCTAAAAAAAAATGTTGTATTGCTCTTTGCGCAAAACTGAGAAATATCAGCCCAAAGAGGGAGGGAAAGAAAGAAAATTAATATATAACAAATTATTAATAAATGTCATGCGGATCATAAAAATATGAGTAAGCTATTTTAGCTTCATAATAACGCTATAGAACCCCTCATCCTACTACAGAAACGTCAACATCTACAAGTTCAGCCATTTCTTATATTGTGGGTGCAAGACTTCCTACATTAAAGGGCACAGAAGGTCAATGTCAATGGTATTCTCTCTGATGAACTTATCACAACAATTGGTACCCCACAAGGGTGTGTCCTCTCTGCGACCCTATTTACCCTGTACACCAATGACTGTATATCAAATACTCCATCTGTTCACATACTTAAATATGCAGACGATACAGTAATAGTAGGATTGATTGAAACTAAAAATGAACTTGATTACAGAGCTACCATTTCCATGTTCGAAAATTGGTGTAGGGAAAACTATTTACTGCTTAACTCAAAGAAAACAAAAGAAATTGTTTTTGACTTTAGGCAAAGAAATGTTTTGAACCCATTGATAGACCTGTATACTTTAATGATGATACCATTGAGAATGTTGAAAGTTATAGATACCTAGGTACAGAAATCGACAATAAGCTGTCTTGGGAAGACAAGTCAAAGTGCACCCAAACAAAATGCAACCAGCGTTTGTATTTTCTTAGAAAGTTAAAGTACTGTCATGTGAACGATATAATTCTGTTTCTCTTTTACCAGTCGATAATTCAGAGTACTATTACATTTGATTCCATTATCTGGTTTAATAAATCAAGGCAAAGTGACAAACAAAAGCTGAGAAGGGTTGTAAAACAAGCCAGCAAAATAATGAACCCTACTGTTGACCTAGATGAAGTCTGTAAGGAAAGAGTAGTATTTAAGGCCCTATCCATTATGTCTGATCTAACCCTAACCCACCCCCTTAATGACCAGTACATACACCTGAGAAGCGGACGAAGATTGAGATCTGTTAAAGCAAGAACTAGTCGCCGCATTAATTCATTCATTCCACTTTCCATAAGAGTTGTTAATGAAACCCAGTAAAGAGAAGAGAATGTGAAAACCATGCAAAATACCCTCATTGACATGTTACACGAATATATATATATATATATTGTTTCAATATACTTACTTCACTGATGTAGGCCTACCCCTACTATTATACCATATCAAGAAATAATTTTAAACACAAAATACCTACTTCAGATTTATTAGAGCATATAAGAATAAAAGAATGGAGGTATAGAAGAAGAAAGAGAGAAGAAGAAGAAGAAGAAGAAGAAGAAGAAGAAGAAGAAAGAGTATTTAAATGTATATTCATCATGATCATGTATATCATATCAAATGTATACTAAAACAGGGCTATATGAATGTCAATTATATGTTATTCCTATGTTCATATGTTGAAGCAAGATTGTTCATGTGCATATAAACAATTATCATATATGGACACAATAAAGAAATGAAATGAAATGAAATGAAAAGAACAAATTATTAATAAATGTCATGTGGATCATACAAATATGAGTAAGCTATTTAAGTTTCATAATAAGGAGTGGGAATGACTGAACGCCCCCTCACCCCCTTCGCCTTCTTGTTTAATAACCCAGGTTATTTTATAGTAATCTATACAGGAAATTTGAACTCTGTAGATTCTCTCGTGTCTGTTTTGTATAAGTCAAATATTATCACTATCACTATGATTTTGTCATTACCCGATGGCAATGTATATCAACAAGTACGACTGGAATAGTTTAGGTAAAAATGTCTTTTCATCTTCTAATATTTGTTTAACCTCAATTCCAACATAGTGAATAGTACAAAGGATCATGAGGATTGCCAAAAGCTAGAAAGATCAAATACTTCTTCATTTTATTATACACCTATGAAAGCTATAAGAGGTGCTATACACTATTCATGGGTCAGGATAATGTCACCATTCCACAAAGGTGACGCACGAGCCTACTGACATTGCCTCGGATTAAGCCTGACTGATTTTTTAAAGTCTTCGGAATCGTGTTATAGCATACCAATAAATGTTTTGTAAACGAATAAATATTACAGCAAACAAAAGACTTTTTACAAAATGTCCACGAAAATTGTTTATGCAAACATTTATTTACTCATCAGTAAACAAAGAGTTAGACAAACTTTGAAGAATGAGATGAATACGAAAAAAATATCTATATTACACATACACATTAGTAAGAATACTTTTGATTTGAACCATTATTTGTTTGCATATTAATCGACAATAATACGTTTATTCAAGTTCAAACAACTTCATGTTTTTTTTTCTTCCCAAATAACTATGTAATTACTACCCCACAGGCGATTATTCATATTTTGGGAAATCACAAGCAAAATTCAATAAGCCTGATTAATATTTGTTCTTCAAACAAATAAGAACTTGTACAGTTACTGTCAAAACACATAATGCCTCTTTATATGAAAGGAGATAAAATCAGAATTAAGAGGAAAAAGGCTAAAATGTGAGTGGAATAAAATATACATGTAAATACAAAAACGATTGTGAAAACTTGCAAGACTAACGTCAGACAAAACCATACAATCGTAAAGAAATTATTCTTATCTTCTACAAAACCTTTGTTTATTGAACGAAATATATCCCTGCAAACCATTTGTTTATCGCCAAAGCATGCATATTTTATATTGTTACATTTAAAAGAAACGAAAAGGGATCAAGGCCAAACGAAATCATTTCATCAAACTGCACAAGTTGTAACTTAGCTCATGAAAGATTTGACGTCACATAACTGTTTATATGCATGCACTGCATCGTGATAGTATATAAATTCATCTAAAGGCCCGGTCACACAGGGAGGACGCATGGGGAACGCACGGCCAGCGCATGGGAAATTTGCAATTTTGGCCAGTTCGTTGTCGTGCGCCCAACTTTTGACACCAAATGCATAGCGTGTTGCTAGCGCGTTGAGCGCATACAGGGCGCATTCAGTACGCATACAGACCGTACCCAGAGCGCACATGATAACAACTTCCACGAATGCACAGCGTGTTGCTAGCGCGCTGGACGAATGGTCCACGCATGCACCGCGTTCTACGACGCACGGCCAGCGAATTGGAAATCGGAAAAGGCCGTGTGGCTAACTTTTGTCATGATTTTGGAAAAGCTAGCGAGCTGACACAAAATGCACAGCGTGTAGCTAGCGCGCTGTGCGTATACAGGGCGTGTGCCCCGCGTATGTCTGGCGCTGGTCTAGCGCGCTCAACGCACGTCTGGCGTTTCTTTGGCGTGTACATTCATGCGTCGAGCTCCGCGCACAATTTTGAGCATGCTCAAAAAATCCTGACGCACACAGCGAATGACGACGAATGCATAGCGCTGGTCCAGCGTTGGTCCAGCGCGCTCGACGAACAAGTAACGAGTGATGACGCACGCCTAGCGAACGACAACGCACTGGCCAAAATTGGAAATTTTCCATGCGCCGGCCGTGCGTCCCGCATGCGTCCCCTCTGTGTGACCGGGCCTTTATATACACAGATACAATTATAGCTATATGACATAAAAGATTAGGGGAAAATAATTCATGATACAAAGATTTAGAGTTTCACAGTTGGTGATGTTGTCGTGCAGTTTGTTTGTGTTTTTTTTTTTGTATTTCAAATCATATTTGCTTTTGATAAGAGCCCAAGCTCTTTTAGCCGAGTTTCTCTTCACTGCAACCTAAAACAGAGATGGGAATATATTACACTTTAAATCTATCAAAGTTATTGAACTATATTTACAAATAATCATATATGTATATAAAATATATAATCTTTGAAGGCTTCCATGATGGTACGGTAACACCACGTATATTTTTCGACAGAGTTAGTTGGCCCTGACAGGGGGCCCATGCTCTATCCCGACGTTAATGTAACATTATCTAGGCCTTATACTCTGGCCCCCATACTACGCACTATCGTCTAGGACTAAGACAATAGTAACCGAAGAAAGAAAAACTAGCCTATGAAAAAATATAATTTAACACCGACCTACAGACTTGTCACCGTCTAAAACAGCAGGAGCACACTATAACAGTCTGGAATGAAATGTCTTTACGAAGTTTTTATATATTTAACAGACTTCTTCATTCAAAGGTGTTTTTGTGTTAACATCAAAGAGTGATAGAAACCCATACAAACCTCGTTGCCTGTAAACATACAGCCTGATAGTTGTTACATTTGAATTTATTTGAATTTATTTCCATATAAAAAGAACTTAGAAGTACGATAATCGAAACATTACACAATATGTACACATCCTATAAGAGATAAAAGGCTGGGTGGCCCTACTCAGCATCCACCAACATGGTGGCGCTGTTTCACCGAGGGGTCTATACAAAACAACATTGTTTAGGCGTAGCCTACTTCGTATTTCTCCCCATAGAGGGCACAGGGCGAAACACTTTACCAAACTATAATGACTATTCTTTGTTTTAATCGCTAATTTGTCTTTTTAATGTGTAGGTATACTGAGAGTGTGTTTAAAATCTGTTGAGTCAATAACACACAACGCCTACGTCTTTCTTTACTGAATGGAAAACGTATTATGAAGACAATTTATATTTGTTTAAACCTTTATGATGCGAACAGAGACAATAAATTTGTTAATTTAATTATCAGTGGCATATTATCCAGCATTGGGTAAAATTACATATGCCCCACCCCCTCCAAAAAAAGAAACACCCACCAACATTTCAATACATTATCGAAAACCAATGGCGTATCCAGAAAAGTTGATAAATAAAAGGGTTGGGGAATAACTAGGTAGCACCATGCGACATGATAGACGCACTACACTGTACTAACTGCGTTTTGGGGGGTATAAGTATGATGCCACAATATACAGAATTATGTGCAGGAATCATCGTCGTCATCACCATCAATAACAGCATCATATATCATCTTCGATATCATAATCCGAAGTGGCCATGGCGCCGCAGCTGGACAGGCCGCCCATACAGCTGCCACATAAGCAGAAGAAGCCGCGATGATGTAGCAGACAGTGGTCACCCAGAAGGCGAAGTAGTAGAGCGTCGGGTGGCAGTAGTCAGCATCAGAAATGACCGTGGTGTTGGGCTTGTAGATCCGATAGATCCATACATTTCCTGGATGAAAGGAGAGGTGAAAATAGGAAAATAAAACCCACGGTATTCATTTGTCTGTTTGTATGAAGTTAGTTTCAAACGACACTGGCATGAAAGGAATCATGCCAGAACGTCTTCCACGCTGGCATCTCAAAATAAGAATGAGGAGAGCAGAGGGGAAACTATTAGAAGAATCAAGGATAGACTTAACGAGAAGGAGCGACCTTTTGAATATGATTTCACCACTAAAACTTTCCTTCCCTCAGCAAATCCATGTTGTCTATAAAACATATGATGAAATCTATATTGATGTTGGGACTTTGCAGACGGATTCAGCATGGGGTCCCGATTTTTTACGTGTTTGCAAGGTCTGCTCTTGTTTGTCGAAATAGCTTACCTTTTGTCAGAACATGAAAAACCTTTCACTTGTGACACAATAAACAGAATATATACCAACTACATCTCTTTTTTTAGAAGGAAAAGAGACAGACAACAATTAAATACTCACCGGCGATGAAAAATGCGAAGCAGAATACTCCGATGAGATGGCTGAGTCCACCCTCCACTTTGTTGGGTTCGAAGAAGGCCTGTTCTTCTTGAGGAAGTCTAGAGCGTTGAGCCCTCCCCTTCAGATCGATCAATAACTTTACTATGTAAGCCGCCCCCATGGTGATCAAATAGATAGGGATAAATCTTTCTGCGGGGCAGTCGTCCAGATATACGGCTCCTGTGGTTAGTGCAATGAATGATATTGAATTGTTAGCAACGACAACTATAAATTATGTTGGTGTAAGTCCTTTAGAATATCACACCTTCATCTGCTGCACATGGGACCACTTTGTCGGTCTCGTGGATCTGAACACTAATTTTTATGGTTGGCGAGACTGGCGACCCTCGATGCTATTGACATTGACTTTGTCGGTCTCTTGGGCCGTCTGCCTCATGGATCTCGGCCTTATATGCGTCAGTCTATTGGGATTTTTTCTTTAATATTCTGCCGTTTGTTTATATTTTTTGTTGTCAAGTTATAAATTCATTTATAGCATGACCGAAGAAGAAATGTTTGTGCACTACGTTCGTTCGGAAGTATACGCTTTTTCTATCATTCAGAACAAATACAATTTTGTTAAAGTTTAGTGTGAGACCATTTACCTTTGGCTAAATAGAGTACCTCTTAAAGTGTGACGGTTTACTGGCCTAGTTGTCAAGGTTGCTGGCTCCAAACAATTTTGTGCTAAACAATGGTGTGCTGGTCACACCAGCCCCAAACACTGGATTCGCCCTGCTCCAGGCCGTTGCTTGCATGATTTCGCGGTGAACCTCATGCGCAGGCTCAATTATTTAGAACCAGAAACCTTGACGACGAGCAAATATGACGTTAGCACTTCGGTACTCTATATCAATAATAGGAAAGCATTTTTGGTATGCGGATCGACAACTTCGTCACGCCACAGTTTCCGTATACAAGTGGTGGATCGAGGGTGGAGAGGCAAATATTCTCTTCAAAAAGTTAAAATATGATTATGTAAGGATAAATATCTTCAATATAAATTCATATTGTATATAAATGTTCGACCACTTTTTTTGTCATGTTAAATGCTTTTATTGCCTATCTAAACATGTAAAATAGTATGCGGTATGATTATCGGTTGAATGGGACTATACCTTTTTATATAGTCTACTCTTTCAATGTTCTCTTTAATCTTTTCTGTCAATTATTCATCGAAAGAGAGTAATGTCAATCTACTTCTAGCTGCATTAAATGATCATGAGAATACGTTACTAACTACATATACTGAATTTGCAGAAGTTATCATTCATACTTACCAATTGCGACCATTGTAATGGGAATGGCGAGCATTAATGCCATAAATAATGTCACGATGACTGTAAAAAAGAACAAACGCACGGAACTTGTTTTAGAAAGAATCCACGAATTCTATATGTTATGATAATGGCAATTTTTGTTATACATTGGTATAGCTTGAATTACAATTTATTTAATGAATAATTATATTCATACATGATGTTTTGCAGTACTCCTCATAGGGCGGAAAATGTCTCATTAAGTAATAACTATCTGTTTATTTCTCCCTTCCCCCTTGATTCGCCCTAACCCTAAATGTGGCACCATTCCATCTATTAATCGATTTCTGTAATTTTGAGCAATCAGTGAGAGTAGGCAAAGCGGATTCTGCTATATACTTGTAAGACCTCTACGACTATTTAAACATATCTATTTTTACGTCTTATTATTTAAAATAATTCGTATTCTAGGAGTAATATTATTGCTTGAAACCACACCCTTCCCCCAGTAAAGTTGTACATGACTTGTAGTAGCTCTTGGGTAGTTTGTAGAAACCAACATTTGTCAGTCGAAGTGCGTAACAGTGTCTGCAATATGAGACTACTACAGGCGCTGTACTTCAGCTGCTGGACACAGCCAGAGACTGACTTATCTAGGCCCCGCTCAAGACTTTTAGTAATTATGGTCACAGGCAGTGTCAAATTACAGTCTGCAAACTACAGTGCTTGCAGACTAGCTCTGGTCTGGTGCAAGAGGGACTGACGAGACATGTCTAGGAGAGTCTCTTGACCTGTTCCAGACCATTTTGATTGAAGGGGGGTTGTCTAACAAATTTCCATCAAGCAACCTCCTCGACCCCCCCCCCCCCGCCCCCATTGTTTTATAGATGTCTGGATACACCACTGGTCTGGACCGTATGTCAGTCGATAGACTTACATGTGTCGAGGAGGATCTTGACGACAGATCCGATGAAACCGAGCGGACTGGCGTTCTTCTCTTTCTCACTCTTGATCTTGCCAAAGATGGATTGGTAAGATAGCGGAGATCCATCTGATGATTAAGAAGAAAAATAAAAGTAATTAATTTCCCCTTTAACATTTTAATACATTTTACTAAGTTAATCATTTATCACTTCGTTGATAATTACAATTCTGAAGATTATTCAGCGGTTAAGAGGTATGACAGTGCAGGGGTGAGAGAGGGAGGGGGGATCCAGGATACTTTCACTAGATGGTGGGCACAAGACAGTCGAGAATATCTCTGACAAGAAGAGAAAAGTTCATCACATTTTGAGGTGCCTACATAGGGTCTAAAATTGCTGCGGTGCACAATTAGGAGAAAATATTGCAAACAGGCCTATACGATACAAGCATGGATTTTGTCTGGGAATATACTATACTATACGTCAAAGATCTCTTTGTGATTTCAGTAATAATATACATCTCATTTGCACTGTCACTTCAGAGTATAGGGCACTACATAGTGTCGGACTTTTTAATTCATTGTACACTGTTGGTCATAATGGTGGAATAATTATGTTTACCCCAGTTTAGGGAAGGATTTTAAAAAATTATTTATTTCTAATAGATCTAGATAATGGCATACATTCTCAGATTTTATTGAATATTAATTTGCGAGTGTTTGTTTTGCGTGACTGCTAAATCATATGTGGGCTACTATGCTAATCAGCTAGGGAACCTACCTCCTTAAATCATAATTGACAGTAATGAGGATTAATGCCTCACAAAAGGGCACTAATATGTAGCTGATCGACACGATTTTTATCCTGGGGCCTCACAGTAACGAGGCCATTGCTTAGCCCCTGAATCATGACTGTACGCAGTGTTTGCTAGGGTACGCGGCCGCCCCCACAAATCCCCCAAAACGAAGAAAATGCAATAAATTGTCAAAAATTCATTGCATTTTCCCCCGGCCCCCAACAGGAAAAATTCCTCTGTATGGCCATGCCTTGAACCATAATGCATGGCCCTACAGAGGAATTTTTCCTGTTGGGGGCCGGGGGAAAATGCAATGATTTTTTGACAATTTATTGCATTTTCTTCGTTTTGAGGGATTTGTGGAAGGGGCCGCGTACCCTAGCAAACACTGCGTACAGTCATGATTCAGGGGCTAAGCAATGGCCTCGTTACTGTGGGGCCCCAGGATAAAAATCGTGTCGATCAGCTATATATTAGTGCCCTTTTGTGAGGCATTAATCCTCATTACTGTCAATTATGACTTAAGGACATAGGTCCCTTAGCTGATTAGCATAGTAGCACACATATGATTAAGCAGTCATGCAAAACAAATACTCGCAAATTAATATTCAATAAAATCTGAGAATGTATGCCATTATCTAGATCTATTAGAAATAAATAATTTTTAAAAATCCTTCCCTAAACTGGGGTAAAAATAAATATTCCACCATTATGACCAACAATGTATGTGTCTGTGCCAATTCGTGAAACAATACACGACACGTGAATATATATCACATTAACCAACACTAAAACTGTTACATTAACAACCACTCCTTAGAGACTAATTCATTATATCCACTTTCGAGTCTGGAGGTCAATGGGGTCGCTGTACATTATACTCAGCTTTCCTTGTCCGATGTTCAAATGATAGACGTTTACAGTCATTCATATAGGTACCAGTTACATCTGCTTGATTTTGTCAGTGTTTTGAGCAGTGTATCAGATGAAAAAATAAGTATAATAAGGGCCTATATCTCATTTCCTTCATGTCATTTTCTTCCCCCCCCCCTCTTTTTTGCCAAGAAACTTTCCATATTAAGGTAACAGGGATAGGCTACATAACGCGACAAAATAAAAAATGATGGGTTAACTCGTCCTGTCCATATGGCGCAGGGATAACTAGCACAGATTGATCCATCGTGCCATACGAACCCCCCCCCCCCCCACACACACACATGGATTCGAATGTGCTATAAGGGTTATAAATCCAGGTTGTTGTCTTTGTTCTTCTTGACTGATGGGGGGGGGGGGCAGTTGACACCCCAAATTGGGGAGGAAGGTCTGCGGGTCATAGTTATTAGGTTAACTGTTTCCATACCCGGGCAGCTTGACCGGATGCACCTGCTATTGCAATATTTATGTATGTTTTCTATTGATTTTGTCTCAATTCTGTTTTTGTTATATTGTTGTATTTATGTTCCTTGATTTGCCAAATAAAATAACAATAATAATAATAAACGTGGTTCATTTCCGATTCGATACCAGTGATTTACAAATGTTGCTGAAATGACATGATTTTCCGGGTTTTTTCTCTCACTATTGGTCATTATGCCAGAGGCGGCACTGCCGGTGGGAGAGGGGGGGGGGGCGCTGTGCCCCCACTTGTTCAGGTCCCCCCAAAGTGCCCATTTTACATGGGACAAGTGCCCTTTTCTTTTCTAATAACAGTACTTTTCCTCTCTTTTCATCTCTAGTGAGTACCTTGTTTCATGTGCGAGAAATTCCTCTTTTCACATTTGATATTTTTGCCCTATTTTACTTTGACTCGTGTCCTTTTTCCTTTTTTAAGAAGTGCACTTTTTCCTTCGTAATAAGAACTCCCTTCTCTTTCTGTTAAATGCCACTTTGGCACCTATGATAAGTACCCCTTTTATTTTGACACGTGCCCCTTTTCCTTTCTAATAAGTTCCATATTTTCTTCGGATAAATGCCCCTTTTCCTTTTTTATATGAGCCTTTTAAAAATGGCCCTTTTAGCATCTAATAGGTGCCCTTTGCCTACATCAGATTCCCCATTTCCATTCTCACAAGTGCCTTTTTTCATCTCTGTTGAGTGGCCTTTTTCAGGTGGAAGAAGTGCCATTTTCACCTCTGATAATTGCCCTTTTCACTTTGACACTAGCACCTTTTCTCTTCTAATAACTGTCGTTTTTCCTTCTGAGAATTGCATACTTTTCGCTTCTTCATAACATGCACCTCTAATTCAAGGCGACCTAGAGCCCCTTTTTCTTTGATTCTCCCTAGAGCTCGCTCGCATTTCTTTTGCATGTATTTGTTCCATATTTCATCTATTTCTATAAACATGATATATTTATTTCTTGTAATTATGTCTTTTCTTGAATATTATTGTAAAGCCAGTGGAAACCAAATTTCTATGTAACTTGTTTGCAAAGACCAAATACAATACCTACAAAGGGAAACACTAAAAAAAAACATACACCATTTTTAGACATTGGTTTATACCCCTAAATCGTCACGATTGTGATTACAGTACCAGGGATGACACCAATATTTCTTTCCTTATTATACGTGGTACAAGATACTGCCTAATTAAGCAACATAATTATTTGCAGTTGGGTGTGATGGTCTGTATATTAATTTTCGAGCGAGCAAATTTTTAAGATTTGTGAGGTCCTAGTGAGAAAAAATCACATCATAAAAAGAAGACAAAAAACAAACCCTGATGAGTATTAAATCACAATCTAATGAAGAAAGACTGAAAAGTTCTTGTATAAGTCACATAATTATAATATCTATAAATTCAAGATACAAGATACAAGATATTTTACTTGGTCTTTGCAAACAAAGTACATAGACATTTGGTTTATACTGGCGTTACAATAATATTCCAGAAAATACATCATTACAAGAAACAAATATATCATGTTTATAGAAATAGATGAAATGAGGAACAAATACATGCACAAGAAATGCGAGCGAGCGTAGCAAGCGAGCTCTAGGGAGAATTGAAGAAAAGGGGCTCTAAGTCGCCTTGAATTAGGGGTGCATGTTACGGAGACAGGAAAAGTATGCAATTATCAAAAGGGAAAAGGACAGTTATTAGAAAAGAAAGGGTGATCGTGTCAAAGTAAAAAGAGCAGTTTTCAGAGGTGGAAATGGCACTTCTTGCACCTGAAAAGGGACCCTCAACAGAGATGAAAACAGGCACTTGTGAGAAAAGAAATGGGGAATCTGTTGAAGGAAAAGGGCACCTATCAGATTTTGATAGGGGCATTTTGAAATGGGGAAGAGGCTCATATAAAAAAGAAGGATAAGGGGCACTTATTCGAAGGAAATATGATACTAAAGGAAAAGGGACACGTGTCAAAAAGGGGCACTTATGAGAGGTGAAAAGTGGCATTTAAGAGAAAGGGAAGGGGGTTCTTATTAAGAAGAAAAAAATCAATCAGATCGATTTTAAGATCGATTTTAGGGCTTAGTGAAACACCCCCAAGTGGTGATATAGTATAATTGGAACTAACCTTGTTGTGTTGCATCATTCGATGGAGGAGCTGTCGGGTCGGTCGGTGACATAGCGATGGCATTGTTGTCTTGCGCCTGGAAAATAGAAATTATAATGATTATCAAAACAAATTCACAAACAATGAACCTTGGTTTATTTGTAGGGTGCACGAACGACCCTCAACATTTACGGTCATTCCCTCGATCACTCTCCCCCTAACAAACAAAGTCCAGCAACAAACAAAAAGAGGAAGCGAGTTGGCTCAGTCGGTAAGGCGCCTGCCTGTCGAACCAAAGATCGTGGGTTCGAATTTAACCCAGGCGGGATGACTGAAACCTGCGTTGTATGTCAACGTGCCCGTCCCCTATTTCATAAAAGCAGGCTATGTTAAGTGGAATACACTCCGTCCTCGGAAAGGACGTTAAATGGAGGAGAGTCACCACCTCTGCACTGCACTTATTTAAGGCTCCGAAAAAGCTTAAAGTAGGATTTATAATTATCCTAACCGTTCAAAGTTTTCTGTATCAAATTACTGTCCATATAGTAACTGTCTTAAGTTAATTACATGTATGTACATGCAGGGGTGGCGATCTCGGGGGACGGGGCGGGGACACGTCCCCCACCTCAATCTTTTTAGGGGGGATCGTTCCCCCCCCCCCCCCCACGAAAAAATTGAAAAAAGTGCAAAAAGATTATGTATAGCAAATACTGACTAAAGACTCGAACACATTTTTAGGCTCTGGAGGGCCAAATGTACAAGTAAATATTGTAGAAAATCTGTAATCCGTTAGTAGCACCGTGACACCCACTGGCGTACTAAAAAAAAATCAAAAAATCAAACGCGGTTAATTTCTAATGCGATACCAGTGATTTACAAAATGTTGCTAAAATGACATGATTTTCGGTGATTTTTCCTCACTTTTTGTGTAAACTATACTTTTTTTTGCTTCGTTCGACAATGACAAATTCTCAAATTTACAAAAGATATGCTTATTTAGAAGCCTACGTGTCAGGACCTCAGAACGGCGGGGCTCAGGGGGGGGGCTCGAGCCCCCCCCCCCCCCCACTTGTTTTGAGAAGAAAAAAATGTTAAAGAGAAATTAAAAGAAAGAAAGAAAGAATAGTGACCTGCCAGTGTCACACAATATCAAAATATGCTTATATGACCGTAATTTAATGCCTATAGACCCTGAGCTTTTGGGAGCTCCGCCCCCTGGACCCCACGCCAATTAGTGTCCTACCAGTGTAATAAACAAGGTATCAATAAATGATCATCTGACCGTAATTAAATGCCCTAACCCCCCCCCCCCCCAGCTTCCGGGGGCTCTGCGGGCTTCTGGATGCTATTCTGACCGTTATTTCAAATGCCTAAAACCCCTGAGCTTCATGGGGCTCAGCCCTCTGGACCCCACGCCAATTAGTGACCTGTCAGTTTTACAAATCCCCATTAGTCATACCATGATATACGGACTGGCACACTCTTTAGATCATGTACATATCGTATGTGAACACGATATTTGTAACATGGCCAAGGTTAAAAGAAGAAAGAAAAACACATTTGAAAGGAACATTCTGAAAGGTTTTAGGAGCGTGGGTGCTTTAGAGCTCAAAAACAAGTTTGTCGAATAGATCCTTTAGAGTAAAATTACAATAGAAAACTATTTGAAGGGTATAAGCATGTCCAAATTTGGGTATTACTTCGTTCAGCTTTGATTCTAACATTCCTCGCTACAATAATATATGAGAAAACTCAGACAGACATAATTATAACGGAAGTGAAAAATGGGAAACGATATTTTGGCTTCTGTTTATGACACTAGGCCTATATATTATGTATCATAATAATGTAATTTAGGAGGTAAGAGAAAACATTAACACGTAAATACCGAACTACATTTATGCATTTAGTTATGATATGCTATAATTTAACCTAAGAGGACTTTTAGCCGTTTAGCTGATGTTGAATAGATTGAGAAAACCTAAATTTTTACAGAAACAATTATTTTTGCAGCGTTCTACATTGGTGAAAGAATATCAGAACTAGACAAAGTATATCTAGGCATGTATATCATGTATATCGTGAACAAATCACACGGGTCCGTATTTCAATACTTCAGTTGTTGACACTTCAAATGATCGCATTAGATTCCTCCATCCCTGGTACAAAATATTACAGATATGTGTACTTATTAATAAATTGTTATGAAATTTATTCAGGTTCTGGCATACTCTAAAATAAGATACCAACGACATTCAAGCTATGATGTAACATAATATTTATACCCTAACCTATAGGCCAATTTTGTACTGCTTAGCCGATGATGTTACGAATTTGGCGCAGAAAACAAGAAAATTTGTTTATTTTGAAACATCAAATTCTACTATCATTTATCAGGTTGTCTTTTTATTCATTTGAAGAAAAAAAAATCATCTTTTACATCTAGAATATTCGATATACAACACTAGCTGTATGGCTTATTACCCTCCCTTCTCCTGGGCACATGTAGAGGTAGGCGGGCACACCTACAGGGAGGTGATGTTTTGACTACGTAAAATACGTAAAATCCAAAGAAAATCACTGAAAAGAAGTTAAATTTATATTAAATTTTGTGAAATTCATTTGTATTTTAGGAAGCTTTATTTCATGTTTTACATATAGGATATTCAATACATTGTATACAACACTAGCTGTAGGCCCCCTATGGCTTATTGTACCCTCCCCTCGATCTCCTCGGGTAAATAGCGGGCACACCTATAGGGTGGTGATGTTTTGACCACATCAAATACGTATAATGCAGAGAAAATCACTGAAAAGAAGATTTATAAAAAACTTGGATAATTAGTCCATTTTACAGTGAATTACCCTATAATATATTTTGAAGATTGTGTTTCTATCCATTTTTAACCCATTCATGCAGTGAAATAAACTATCAGGAATATGCGAGAAAAATTTCATATCAATAACTTAAAAACTTCATGTTAAATTGAAAGATTTATAAAATTAGTCACTTTTGCACTGAAACTGTGAATATGTAAGATTTTGTTGTTTGAGGGAGTAAATTTATACCCTTATTGTGCATACCGGAATTAAATATTTTACTGAGGTATTCTTCAATCTATTATCTTTCACCTGGGCAAGAAAAAACATAAAACAAAACATAAATCACCAAAAATTAGTTTTGGCTGCCTGGCCCACTGTGCAACGCCACAAAATGTGAAACGGTGGTTTTAAAACGTCTACTGATAGCAAGATAAGTGTTTAACATCTATAAAAGTGTATGATTTCACACCTTCCTTGTTCCCACTCTTATTATACTTCCTTGTCTCGATCATATCTGAATATACACATCGCTCATGCATCTGCTGGAGCCGCGAGTCTGGCCAGGCTATATCATAAATAGTCTGATAGAGTGCAAGAAGTTATTTCGAAAATAATATCAATTTCAAATTGATTACAATTTCTTTTTTATCTGTAAGCCTTTAAAATGCCAAGGAATTTGCAGTTACCAAAACCATGCATAATACTTTTCTGATTAATCTACTTCTCGAATAAAACTTACCATCTTTAAGATGATTATGGATGATGTTGTCGGAAACGAAATGGGCGTGGTTGAAAGGGAAAGTTCAGCCCTGATTAACTTGATGGGATAGAGACTGCAACAAACTCACGGACTCCGCTTGCTTCGTCTGCAAACGACTACAATGTAGACTACAATGCGACGTATAGTACACGTTTTGCTGATAGCACGCACTATGGGTGCGTTCAATCCAGGAATGATTGGAGATATTTTATCTCGATGGTTCAATCGAATTTTCGAAGCTAGACCATAGAGATATGAGCTAGACTCACAAACATGAATCACAATTCAAAACGCCGTTACAAAAAGCAAGGTCACTGCGGTTTGCGTTCAAGCGATTTTTCATCAACGCTGATTCTAGCTCATTGCGAGCCAAACCACTGCGCATCACACTGCGCAGTATGGCCCAGGAACTTCGGCGCGCGCTTTCTGGAATTGTATACGGCCGACTGTCGACTGCTGTTTTGAGCATAGATCGCAATAATAAGACAAAGAATGAGAAGGTGATAGAAGGAAGAAACAAAGAATAACATAAGGAAAGACAGAAAGATAAAGTCGATAGAATGAATAAAACAAAGAATAACATAAGAGAAGGTGAAAGAAGGAAGAATCGAAGAATAACATAAGGAAAGACAGAAAGAGAGAGTGATAGAATGCTTAAAACAAAGAATTACATAAAAGGTGATAGAAGGAAAAAACAAAGCATAACATAAGAATAGAAGGAAGAAACAAAGAATAACAAAAGAGAAGGTAATAGAAGGAAAAAACAAAGAATAACATAAAAATAGAAGGAAAAAACAAATAATAACAAAAGAGAAGGTAATAGAAGGAAAAAACAAAGAATAACATAAAAATAGAAGGAAGAAACAAAGAATAACATAAGGAAAGACAGAAAGAGAATGTGAAAAAAGGAAGGAACAAAGAATGACATAAGGAAGAACAGAAAGAGAAAGTGATAGAATGATTAAAACAAAGAATAACATAAGAGAAGGTGAAAGAAGGAAGAATCAAAGAATAACATAAGGAAAGATAGAAAGAGAAAGTAACAGAATGATTAAAACAAAGAATAACATAAGAGAAAGTGATAAAATTATAAAAACAAAGAATAACATAAGAGAAGATGATAGAAGGAAGAAACAAAGAATAACATAAGGAAAGACAGAAAGAGAAATTGATAGAATGCTTAAAACAAAGAATTACATAAGAAAAGGTGATAGAAGGAAAAAACAAAGAATAACATGAGTATAGAAGGAAGAAACAAAGAATAACATAAGGAAAGACAGAAAGAGCAAATGATAGAATGATAAAAACAAAGAATAACATAAGAAAAGGTGATAGAAGGGGGAAAAAAGAATAACATAAGAATAGAAGGAAGAAACAAAGAATAACATAAGGAAAGACAGAAAGAGAAAATGATAGAAGGAAAAACAAGGAATAACATAACGGAACAGGCCACGATGGTATAGTGAACGCAAATTGCATGCAAAGCGGGCGCGCGGTTTTTCCCAAACCGGAAGAGGCTTCGTCATACAATCATGATTGAGAACTCCGTCCGTTCAATCGAATTTTAGCGACCGTGATTCTTTTGAATCATGATACAAAACGCATCTTTTTCAGCGTTTCATGTTTGTGTTTTCAAACACGTTTATTTTTACGACCGACGAAAAAATCGCTTGAACGCATTGCGTTTTAAACTAAACGTCTTTAGAAACCGTGATTCTATGGTGAAAAAGTGTCGATTAAACGCACCCTTATAACAAGCAAAAAACAACGCACGGATTATATAGGGTGCGTTTAATCGACACTTTTTCACCATAGAATCACGGTTTCTAAAGACGTTTAGTTTAAAACGCAATGCGTTCAAGCGATTTTTTCGTCGGTCGTAAAAATAAACGTGTTTGAAAACACAAACATGAAACGCTGAAAAAGAAGCGTTTTGTATCATGATTCAAAAGAATCACGGTCGCTAAAATTCGATTGAACGGACGGAGTTCTCAATCATGATTGTATGACGAAGCCTCTTCCGGTTTGGGAAAAACCGCGCGCCCGCTTTGCATGCAATTTGCGTTCACTATACCATCGTGGCCTGTTCCGTTATGTTATTCCTTGTTTTTCCTTCTATCATTTTCTCTTTCTGTCTTTCCTTATGTTATTCTTTGTTTCTTCCTTCTATTCTTATGTTATTCTTTTTTCCCCCTTCTATCACCTTTTCTTATGTTATTCTTTGTTTTTATCATTCTATCATTTGCTCTTTCTGTCTTTCCTTATGTTATTCTTTGTTTCTTCCTTCTATTTTTATGTTATTCTTTGTTTTTTCCTTCTATTACCTTCTCTTTTGTTATTCTTTGTTTTTTCCTTCTATTTTTATGTTATTCTTTGTTTTTTCCTTCTATTACCTTCTCTTTTGTTATTCTTTGTTTCTTCCTTCTATTCTTATGTTATGCTTTGTTTTTTCCTTCTATCACCTTTTATGTAATTCTTTGTTTTAAGCATTCTATCACTCTCTCTTTCTGTCTTTCCTTATGTTATTCTTCGATTCTTCCTTCTTTCACCTTCTCTTATGTTATTCTTTGTTTTATTCATTCTATCGACTTTATCTTTCTGTCTTTCCTTATGTTATTCTTTGTTTCTTCCTTCTATCACCTTCTCATTCTTTGTCTTATTATTGCGATCTATGCTCAAAACAGCAGTCGACAGTCGGCCGTATACAATTCCAGAAAGCGCGCGCCGAAGTTCCTGGGCCATACTGCGCAGTGTGATGCGCAGTGGTTTGGCTCGCAATGAGCTAGAATCAGCGTTGATGAAAAATCGCTTGAACGCAAACCGCAGTGACCTTGCTTTTTGTAACGGCGTTTTGAATTGTGATTCATGTTTGTGAGTCTAGCTTCGAAAATTCGATTGAACGCACCCTTAGTATGATCATGGACCTGTGGTATCACTGAGTACAGAAGTAACCAGCGCACATTACAAAACACAAAACAAAATAGTGGTCATTCAACCACGGAATGGAATACGCAATTTGCTCTATTCTTATGTTATTCTTTTTTCCCCCTTCTATCACCTTTTCTTATGTTATTCTTTGTTTTTATCATTCTATCATTTGCTCTTTCTGTCTTTCCTTATGTTATTCTTTGTTTCTTCCTTCTTTCACCTTCTCTTATGTTATTCTTTGTTTTAATCATTCTATCACTTTCTCTTTCTGTTCTTCCTTATGTCATTCTTTGTTCCTTCCTTTTTTCACATTCTCTTTCTGTCTTTCCTTATGTTATTCTTTGTTTCTTCCTTCTATTTTTATGTTATTCTTTGTTTTTTCCTTCTATTACCTTCTCTTTTGTTATTCTTTGTTTCTTCCTTCTATTCTTATGTTATGCTTTGTTTTTTCCTTCTATCACCTTTTATGTAATTCTTTGTTTTAAGCATTCTATCACTCTCTCTTTCTGTCTTTCCTTATGTTATTCTTCGATTCTTCCTTCTTTCACCTTCTCTTATGTTATTCTTTGTTTTATTCATTCTATCGACTTTATCTTTCTGTCTTTCCTTATGTTATTCTTTGTTTCTTCCTTCTATCACCTTCTCATTCTTTGTCTTATTATTGCGATCTATGCTCAAAACAGCAGTCGACAGTCGGCCGTATACAATTCCAGAAAGCGCGCGCCGAAGTTCCTGGGCCATACTGCGCAGTGTGATGCGCAGTGGTTTGGCTCGCAATGAGCTAGAATCAGCGTTGATGAAAAATCGCTTGAACGCAAACCGCAGTGACCTTGCTTTTTGTAACGGCGTTTTGAATTGTGATTCATGTTTGTGAGTCTAGCTTCGAAAATTCGATTGAACGCACCCTTAGTATGATCATGGACCTGTGGTATCACTGAGTACAGAAGTAACCAGCGCACATTACAAAACACAAAACAAAATAGTGGTCATTCAACCACGGAATGGAATACGCAATTTGCTCTATTCTTATGTTATTCTTTTTTCCCCCTTCTATCACCTTTTCTTATGTTATTCTTTGTTTTTATCATTCTATCATTTGCTCTTTCTGTCTTTCCTTATGTTATTCTTTGTTTCTTCCTTCTTTCACCTTCTCTTATGTTATTCTTTGTTTTAATCATTCTATCACTTTCTCTTTCTGTTCTTCCTTATGTCATTCTTTGTTCCTTCCTTTTTTCACATTCTCTTTCTGTCTTTCCTTATGTTATTCTTTGTTTCTTCCTTCTATTTTTATGTTATTCTTTGTTTTTTCCTTCTATTACCTTCTCTTTTGTTATTCTTTGTTTCTTCCTTCTATTCTTATGTTATGCTTTGTTTTTTCCTTCTATCACCTTTTATGTAATTCTTTGTTTTAAGCATTCTATCACTCTCTCTTTCTGTCTTTCCTTATGTTATTCTTCGATTCTTCCTTCTTTCACCTTCTCTTATGTTATTCTTTGTTTTATTCATTCTATCGACTTTATCTTTCTGTCTTTCCTTATGTTATTCTTTGTTTCTTCCTTCTATCACCTTCTCATTCTTTGTCTTATTATTGCGATCTATGCTCAAAACAGCAGTCGACAGTCGGCCGTATACAATTCCAGAAAGCGCGCGCCGAAGTTCCTGGGCCATACTGCGCAGTGTGATGCGCAGTGGTTTGGCTCGCAATGAGCTAGAATCAGCGTTGATGAAAAATCGCTTGAACGCAAACCGCAGTGACCTTGCTTTTTGTAACGGCGTTTTGAATTGTGATTCATGTTTGTGAGTCTAGCTTCGAAAATTCGATTGAACGCACCCTTAGTATGATCATGGACCTGTGGTATCACTGAGTACAGAAGTAACCAGCGCACATTACAAAACACAAAACAAAATAGTGGTCATTCAACCACGGAATGGAATACGCAATTTGCTCTATTCTTATGTTATTCTTTTTTCCCCCTTCTATCACCTTTTCTTATGTTATTCTTTGTTTTTATCATTCTATCATTTGCTCTTTCTGTCTTTCCTTATGTTATTCTTTGTTTCTTCCTTCTTTCACCTTCTCTTATGTTATTCTTTGTTTTAATCATTCTATCACTTTCTCTTTCTGTTCTTCCTTATGTCATTCTTTGTTCCTTCCTTTTTTCACATTCTCTTTCTGTCTTTCCTTATGTTATTCTTTGTTTCTTCCTTCTATTTTTATGTTATTCTTTGTTTTTTCCTTCTATTACCTTCTCTTTTGTTATTCTTTGTTTTTTCCTTCTATTTTTATGTTATTCTTTGTTTTTTCCTTCTATTACCTTCTCTTTTGTTATTCTTTGTTTCTTCCTTCTATTCTTATGTTATGCTTTGTTTTTTCCTTCTATCACCTTTTATGTAATTCTTTGTTTTAAGCATTCTATCACTCTCTCTTTCTGTCTTTCCTTATGTTATTCTTCGATTCTTCCTTCTTTCACCTTCTCTTATGTTATTCTTTGTTTTATTCATTCTATCGACTTTATCTTTCTGTCTTTCCTTATGTTATTCTTTGTTTCTTCCTTCTATCACCTTCTCATTCTTTGTCTTATTATTGCGATCTATGCTCAAAACAGCAGTCGACAGTCGGCCGTATACAATTCCAGAAAGCGCGCGCCGAAGTTCCTGGGCCATACTGCGCAGTGTGATGCGCAGTGGTTTGGCTCGCAATGAGCTAGAATCAGCGTTGATGAAAAATCGCTTGAACGCAAACCGCAGTGACCTTGCTTTTTGTAACGGCGTTTTGAATTGTGATTCATGTTTGTGAGTCTAGCTTCGAAAATTCGATTGAACGCACCCTTAGTATGATCATGGACCTGTGGTATCACTGAGTACAGAAGTAACCAGCGCACATTACAAAACACAAAACAAAATAGTGGTCATTCAACCACGGAATGGAATACGCAATTTGCTCTGTTCATAAAAGATCATAAACTTTTTTTCCTTCTCATTCTGAAGGACGGAATAGATTTGTTTCCATACATGGATTGCATAAATACGAATTTGCAACAATAATCTAGGGTGCATGTATGATTGCCCGCAAAAAAAAAATTATTGAGGAAAATCAAAAATTCGGATTTTGTTTTTAAGTACAGAGAAAATGGGAGAGGAGCTCGCAAGATACGTCACAGACTTGCCAATTTGTGTTTGATTGATGTTTGATTGATTGATTGTGTGTGTGGAAGTGTGTGTGCGTGTGTGCGTGCGTGCGTGCGCGTGCTTGCGTGTGTGTTTGTGTGTGTTCGTTTGCATGTTTGGGGTTGGGTAGTAAGGGAAGGGGTTATAATTTGTTTCATATTATAACTGATTTCATTCGAGAGAGAACAAAAATAATCGTAATTGTGTAATCGTACACGTATTAAGTTAATCGAATTGTGTTATTAGGATGAAAAAGAACTATATTTTGAAGAATTATTTGTATTGTTCTAATATTGAATAAAAATAAAAAATAAAATTACGGTAAAGCAAAAAGGAGAATGTGTGGGTGGGTGCGTTTGTAGTTTATACGGGGAATTTGTTATGTTTGCTGTTCCAAAAACACAAATCAAACAATCAGTGAATCAAGACGTCCTTTTGACATTCTTTTCAAGATAAAAGTTCCTGCGAGACTCATTATTATATTTTAGTCTGCCTATGGCATTGTGGACAATCACTTAATACTTGTATAGTGGTAGGGTGAATCAACTTCAGATTGTGCTTAAAGTAGACCATCGGTATGAACAACGTGGTCTGATTGACCATGTTGACGTGCAAGAGGGATTATTTTAATATTCTTTAAAATTACTATAGCCATGAAATAATTATGTCATGTAGGAAGGACGCTCTCTACGTTATTAAAGTTGAAGACAAAATCATCACCCGACATTTGACGGTTCTCCAAGTTATCTTGCTCACAGCCTTACGAATTTTATACTCTAAATTAAAAACAATGTAGTGTTTTTCTTTCTCTTCTTAGTTTATATTATGTAAACGATATAGGTTTACTCATGGACCCTGGATCTTTTAACACACAAGAGAGAGAGCCAGACAGACAGACAGAACAGCGAGTTTGCCTGGATCCCCATTAGTCATTCCATGATATATACGGACTGGCACACTCTGGCACGCTCAAAACAAGTTTGTCGAATAGATCCTTTAGAGTAAAATTACAATGGAAAACTATTTGAAGGGTATAAACATGTCCAAATTTGGGTATTACTTCGTTCCGCTTTGATTCTAACATTCCTCGCTACAATAATATACGAGAAAACTCAGACAGACATAATTATAACGGAAGTGAAAAAAAAGGAAACAATATTTTCGCTTCTGTTTATGACTCTAGGCCTATATAATATGTATCATAATGTAATTTAGGAGGTAAGTGAAAACATTAACACGTAAATACCGAACTACATTTATGCATTTAGTTATGGTATGCTATAATTTAACCTAAGAGGACTTTTAGCCGTTAATCTGGTGTTGAATAGATTGAGAAAACCTAAATTTTTACAGAAACAATTATTTTTGCATCGTTCTACATTGGTGAAAGACTATCAGAACTAGACAAAGTATATCTAGACAGGGGCGGCGATTTCTTTTCAAGTGGGGGGGGGGGGGGTCTAAAGTATTTACGATCAGGTAGAGCAAAGCAAAGTAAAGTGGAGCGTAAAGTTAGATAATCCAAGCAATACATATATAACATTTCATAGGACTACCAAATTACACTGCATTACTTTTCCAAAGCTTAATTTATTACACGGCTGGTCTTCCATCGGGTTCACTATATAATATATGTAACAGAACAGAATACATGAATTTCATTATAAGAACAATAGTCAAAATATCAATTTACACGATTATGATTGACAAGTAAAAGAATAATTAAATTTCTTCCTCTCCTATCGTGTACATCATAGGTATAGAGCAATTCATTTGCAGGAACATTCTAACAATGCATTAATCTCATCCTTGTCTGTTTTGCATTACGCCTGTTAAATGTGAACGTGTTAAATTAGTAATGTTATTACTATTATCAGCCTTCCCACCGAAATTAAGCAGTTTATTAATCACAAGTTTCAAGACTGAAAAGCTTAAGATAGAGTATGCGAGGTTTCATCATTTCATATTTACCTGAAACCACTACCTTTAAAACAAAATCTCTTTAATTGCACCACACGCTGAAGACTACCATTTTCTTATTGTGTTTGCGTGGAATTCCCCATACATGATATTATGCATGTGAACATCATGATCTAAAATATCATTACATTCACGACAGATAATATGAAAAAACACGTAGTTTATAAGAAGGATTCATAAATACCATAGTAACAGAAATTCATTCTAGTATTTCCCCCAACAAAATAATATATCGCAGCACAAGCTGAAGACTACTAGTTTCTCATTGAGGTTGGGTGGAATTCCCAATAATATTGCACATAACCGTAAAGACATAATTTAAAAATAACATTGGTGGATCGAGGAAAGGGAGGGGGGGGGGGACACGAAGCAAAACCTAATCTGGCATACATCTGGTACACATTGAGTTCCAAAAGTAAATATGCCCCCGGCAACCTTTGAAAGGCACCTGATATTTCTTCTTAATTTTTTAAAAATAAATATTTTGTCTACTTGATTTTCTTAACATTTTGTACTTCAATCAAAAACACATCCCAAAATCGAAATGACTGTTTTTTTCTTCTTCATAGCAGAACATTTTCGAACTTTTCCCCCCTCCCCCTTCCACCCGCAAGAGAATCCTGGATCCACCACTGATAGTACAAACATGTTCATTGTATATCAAAGAAGAAGAAAAAATCTTCATAATTATCGCGCATCACATCAGCTAATGAGTACTGTGAATGTATTATATATAATATTGACATACTGCTTTGCTCATTACGTATGTACAACATAATACATGCCATAAAATGCCTTGTTACATGATTTCTTTCAGCAATTCTCTTACAGTTCTCGACGCATTCTAGAATAATGGATCTGAATTTGTTCAATATGATATGAATGAATTCCTTTTGAGTTTTGACAAATCAGGAGACGGTCTTAGTTTGTTTGGCATTTTGAAAAGTGAGCTTCTTTTAAAATAGCGTATCAGTGTATGAAGTATTGGACGAAATCACTTTTATGCCCATCAGGAAAACCAAATATATTTGAAGTAAAATCTAGACAGGTGACAGACCCTGCAATGGTGTGTCCAGATTTATTTTCAATTGGGGCCGACATCCTCGAAAGACGGTAGTAATAAGGGGCGGCGATTTCTTTTCATTACCGGGAGGACGAAATGCAAGGGACGAGGGAGCATAGTGAAAGAGAGGGACAGAGGTGACGGAAGTGACTACCCCATCACACTGAGGTGATACCAATGGAATACAGATTTTCTACAATATTTACTTGGACATTTTGAAGGATATTATGCGAGGGCACGTAACGATCTTCTTTACGCTGCACTCTTGCCTCCATAGCCTAAAATATACAAAATGACACCAACGGAATACAGATTTTCTACAATATTTACTTGTACATTTTGAAGGATATTATGCGAGTGAGCGTAGCGACATAGCGAGATGATTTTTGCATTTTTATTAGTCTTTGCTCTTACCTCCATAGCCTAAAAGTGTGTTGTAGTCTTTAGTCAGTATTTGCTATATATTTTTGTTATTGCACTTTTCCATTTTCTTTCTCTTGTTTGCCTTATGATGGGGTGGATGGGATATGTCGGCTCTATTCCCTGCTGGATATACCACTCTGGCAACGCCTTGTGTCAAATTCGTCTCAGCATCTTCTTAAGCTGTACTAAACAGGGCTCCTCCCTGCAGTCGACCCTGCAAATGCACCGTGCTCAAATTTTGGAGTCCCAGACTTTTTACACTAGAAGGTGACTTATCATCGAGCATCTTGCCTTGGAACTGAAGCCGCTGCTGAGAAGGGGCGATCTTCAGTTTCTCCTGGACCTTGACCTTAAGGTCTTTGACCTTGTCCGTCGGTCTGACCCTCACGATGTGCGTCTTGCCGGCGAAATCCACGACCTGGATCTGAGTTAGTTCTGCTGTGGGCTGGGTGTTCGTAGTTGGGATGTGGGTGCCGACTTTTGTATAACCTTTAAGAAAAGAGATAATAAAAGTTGGAATAAATGAAAAGGCCCACATGTATTTACGATTGAAGTTGGAAACCATCTGGATTCGTAAGTTCATCCGAGAGGCCTGTCAAGAATATATTAATTGACATGGTAGCAGGTAAGAACAAGCCATGCCCATGGATTGAGAAGGCCATCGAAATACATGTTGACCGAGGAATCCAACTATCATCAAAATTGATCGCGTAATATAATTAGCCTAGATTTTAAATATTCAGTGTTTTTTCTTTTCCTTATCTCTTTTTATTTTTCAAATATAGACTGAAACAGAACCGTCATCACGATAATTAGCATTCAATACAGTGCTGCTCACCATTGAAGTGGATATTAATTCGGAGGGTAGGAAAACATGGTGTTACGGACTCCGAGGCAGAATGATACATAATCTCGAGATGAAGAGTATTTATTTTGGTATCCTATTAATTCACAAAAGCCTACCCGATTTCGAATAGGTTCCTGTGGCATGTCCAGAGCTCTGCTGATGATCGGCCACCGAGGTCGTCGGGGTCCGATTCCGTTCAGACTTTCTTGATGTCACCGTCGCATTACTACGAATCGTGGTCGCACTGTCGTCACTTTGTACGCTCGAGGTAGACGGTCGTCGGCTTGACGAGACGCTGTTAGAATAGCCAGCACTGCTGCGACCGCCTGCGAATGAAAATAAATCATGAAAGAGAAAATGTAATTTAATTATCAAAATATACTGGATAAGTTATACAAATCACACAAAAACCACATTACTTCCCGAATATGTAGTGGTGGCAAGGCGAAGAAAAGGCTACCCGAATACATGCAATTAAAATAAATCTCGGTGATGGGCGTTGCACGGTTGCAGCCCCGGCCCACTCCCCTTACCCCCGCGTCTCGTACTCAAGTCAATAACTGTACTGTTCAGGATAACCTATTTCACTAATCTTATGATATTTCACTATATCTTTATCTTCATAATAATAGACCAAGTTTTTTTAATAAGACCTGGACCTGGGTAAATTTCATGTTTGCTATGATGACATCCCAACACTTTATCGCTCATGTCTGTCAACTGAAATATGACTCTTTGGTTTTCTATTTGACAAATGCATTTTAGTACAACACACACCTTCAAATCGAGAATGTGCAAAAAAACAATTGATACTGAATCGGGACCATGAACTTGTCAAGCCTCATCTGTTTAATGATGCTCCATTTTGTTCTTCTTATTTTGTATTAATTTATTATAATAAACCTTGTGTTTTGGTTTTGAAGTGCTTAATGTTTTTAAATTGGTAAATAAAATAGAGTACTGACTGTGATGAATGGGAATAAAGTATTTTCGGAGAAAAGGGGAGAGAGAGAGAGGGAGAGAGAGAGAGAGAGAGAGAGAACTTACTCGAACGAGATGAACGGGATAGGTCACTCCTGTCCGACGTCGAACTGACGTTTGAGCTATTGGAGCTACGGCGATCGGACACGGAGCCGATTGCGGAGTCGTTTCTTGAAGTCGCCGACGAGCCCATGCTAGCCAAGCTGGCTAAAGAATCTCTCGGGCTGTTGGAGTCATTGGATGCGATCCCACTATCCTCTCCAACATCCATCATCGCTTCTGTCGTTTGATCATATTCATTGTCCATGGTGTATTATTAGGCTCTTGATAGGCCTAAAAAGAAGAAGAGAGGAGAAAAATCACTTGAGGCGAATGGCCTTTGCGCACGTGACGTTATCCTGACGTAGGAATACATCAGAGACTAGTGTGTCCTCTTTTTATTGCGTATATGAAAGAAAGATTGCAAAATTATCAGCGCCCGGAAATGCTTTTTCCAGAGCGTTTTTACTCAAAGAATAAGCGTAATCATTAAATAATGTTTGATGTATATATGCGGTGGGCACATTTTACAAGTAATGTAGGCTTGATCAGGGCATCTAGTAACGCAATCGAAATGATGTATTACGTTTTCTCAAGGGCGCGTTGCTTATTTATATCGTACTCAATCCTTTTCGTTAAAAAAAAGAAGCAAGAAATCTATCCTACGACGTTAGTCCCATCCGAGGAACTTAGTACTCGACGATTGATTGTCAGACTGGCCCCAGGGGCGGCGATCCGGGGGGGAAGGGGGGACACGTCCCCCTCAAATTTTTTAGGGGGGATTGCCCCCCCCCCCTAAAAATTTGAAAAAAGTGCACAAAATAGTGTATAGGAAATACTGACTAAAGACTGCCACAAACTTTTAGGCTCTGGAGGAACCAAGAGTGCAGCGTTTAGACAAATAAAAATGCAAACATCATTTTGCTCGGTAGCTACGCTCCCTCGCATTATATCTTTCAAAGTGTTGAAGTAAATATTGTAGAAAAGTGAAGTGTGAACAAAGTATATTGCTTGTTTTTATACTATAGTTTTGCTAATGTAATTTTGTAATACAACAAAACTTCAAAAACCGGTGAGGGGGTACTTCCGTCACCTTCACCCTTCTCGTTCACTATGCTCCCTCGCACTGGCATGAGGATGGGGGTGCCTTTGGGGCAATTGCCCCCCTAATAAAATTTAAACGTGGTTTAATTCTAATTCGATACCAGTGATTTACAAATGTTGCTGAAATGTCATGGTTTTTTCCCTGAGCTTCCGGGGGCTCTACTTCCTGGACCCCACCAAGGGCCCTAAGGCGGGCCCCTGGGTGCTCAACTGACCGTAATTTAATGCCACAACCCCTTAGATTATCGGGGCTACGTTCCCTTTACCACACTTCAATTAGTGGCCTGCCAGTGTCACAAATAAGGTATCAAAATATGCTCATCCGACCGTTATTCAATGCCTAAAACCCATAAGCTTCCCTCCGCCCCCTGGATGCTCATCTGACTGTTATTAAATGCCTAAACCCTCTGAGCTTCATGGGGCTACGCCCCTGGACCCCACGCCAATTTATGCTCCACTTTCCTTGCTGTACCTGTACCTGAACCTGATCGAAAATACTTTAGCCCCACCCCCCCCCCCCCCCCACACCTTCCCCACTTTAAAAAACGTTCCGCGCTGCCTACATGTAACATGTAAGAGTGTGGGGATGCATTTTTTCTCTGCCCCCCCCCCCCCAAAAAAAAAAAAAAAAAATTAAAAAAAAAAAATTGCTCATTACGCCACTGCTCCCTTGTCCCTCACATTTCGTCCCCCCCCCCCCGTCATGAAAAGAAATCGCCGCCCCTGCAGACTGCACTATTCAAATATCACATCTATACATGTTGTCATAAGATAAATGCAAAGTTAATATCAAATACAAAATATTGTGAGTGTTTTAAGGATACCGTCGTTGTTAAAACATGAATATTCATTTTGATCCAGCCTATTAAGAGTATGCATAGTTTGTTTATAACCTATGACCACAGCGTGGTGTTTTTGTATTGATTCGCATGTTTCATGTTTATTTAGATTTTTCTTGGTTCAGCGGTTTGCCAGCGAGCTATGCAAATGTACGTTCATAGCTTTGAACCGCACCATGCACGAGGTATTCTGCACTGCACCTGAATGAATCTAAGAACTTAGTTTTTTGATAGACACAGTTATGAAAGGATTGCGGAAAGAATTTCCAGCGTCAGAGCCACACTCTACGGCCCGAATTCACAAAGGAGGTTTGTCGACAAACCTAGCTTTATGTGCGTCATATGACGCGTTTCGATGCGTTTCAGACCAATGTTTAGACAAACCTTAGTCTGAAACGCGTCAAAACGCGTCATATGACGCACATTGCCCTATGTTTGTCTACAACCCCCCTTCGTGAATTTGGGCCTATATCGCCAAAGGTTACCACAGCAGCTGCCCTGCATTGACGTTTTCGAGATAACGGTAAGTGTTAGTCCGAATTTGTATATTAAGCTAGGGTCAGTAGTTTGAGGTAGCCTTAAGGGCATGGGTGTCGATCCCGGGGGGGGGGGGGGGGGGATATATCCCCCCATATTTCAGGTGGGGGTGGCCTGTACAATCATCCCCCCCCCCAATAATTCACCATCAAAAACAAAATCAAGAGAAAAATTAATAATGATGAGCGCGATGAGAGTAGTTAATGGTTATTACTCACAAGATGACCATCAATATACACATTTTGCTATCTCATTTTCATAATACATACATAATTATATACGAAGTAAACGAGAGAACCGTATATGAGACAAGAATAAATTGAATTCTCGCTCATACGGCTTCATCAGGAATTGATGAATTTATTCAATTCGTTCAATCAACAGCATCATAGAAATGCAGTGCGCCAAATGCAAAGCCGCAGTGTTAAAAAGCAACGAGCTAAATGTTAAGCGCGAAGCGCAAAAGTAGCAATCTGCAATGCACATCAGACAATCCTGGACAGTGTAAACACAGATGAACTCTGTGACGAATTCGTGATGAGATCGGAGACAAGGAGAACGCGGGGAAAATGAATGCAAACAAGGATTTAGAGTCGAGGACGGCACAACGAATCGTCTTCTTTAATAATTTAATGAAACGTCAAAGTTTCCGCGTTTCGCGCGGGAGGGGGGGGGGGAAGTGAATTCAGACAAGGATTAAGAGTCGAGAATGGTACAACGAATCATTTTCTTCCTTTAATAATCTAATAAAACGTCAAAGCTTCCACGCTTCGCGCGGGAGGGGGGGGGGGACTGAATTCAGACAAGGATTAAGAGTCGAGAATGGTACATCAAATCGTCTTCTTTCTTTAATAATCTAATGAAACGTCAGAGCTTCCGTGCTATGCGCGGAGGAAGGGGAACTTGATTCAAACAAGGATTAAGAGTAAGAATTGGTACATCGAATCGTCTTCTTTCTTTAATCGTATAATGAAACGTCAAAGCTTGCGCGCTTCGCGCGGGAGCGGGGAAACTGAATTCAGACGAGGATTTAGAGTCGAGAACGGTACAACGAATCGTCTTCTTTCTCTAATAATTTAATGAAACGTCAAAGCTTCCGCGCTTCCTGGGGGAAGGGGGGAACTCCCCCTCCCTGCACCCAACCCCCTAGGGAGCGCGCTGTGTAAGTGATTCGCACGCTTCGCGTGCTCACTACCGCCCCCCCCTAAAATGAAATCCTGGCTACGCGCTTGGGGAGGGGATGCAACCTGCCACACGCTTCTACCTCTTGGTTGCTTTGATCCATTGCCGAAAATATTTGTGCACCTATCATCCCCCCCCCCCAACCACGGACACAAATCGACACCCTTGCTTAAGGGCTTAGTGATAATGTGAAATATGATATTGATATCACCATCATATTTTACATTATCACTAAGTCCTTAAGGCTAATTTGAGGCCCTACTTAATTATCGATAATTCATGTATTAAATGTTGAGAGAGTGCTTTACTAACATGAATTAAATTGAGTGTTGATAGTATGTTGTTTGTTACTGTGAAAGGTCAACGGGAACCCTATATATAAAATGAATGATGCACACAAATGTAATGCATATGCCTACGAGTTAATTGTCGAATATTTGACACAGAAAATTGTGAGTTTGATAATTACATATTTCTTTATAGGCCTACATAAGACTTCATTTATGTAATGCATGTATAAATGATGATGGTATGTGAACCTAGATACTTTAGATGACGTACTTGTTTCTTGTGAATTTATACAAAAACATGCATTTATAAAATAATATAAATTGGAAGGTGATTCAGTAAGAAAAGGAAAAGTTAAAACTGACGTTTGAATTTATTCATGAATTTAGATTATTGTTACTTTATGCAGCTATATTACACTTTGTTAATACTTTGATTACCATATACTGCCAGAAAGAACGGTTTGTACTACTTTGTTACTGTGAATAGAGATACAAACTGATAATCACCATTCGAATTGCACTATACAGTACGTTAGTCAAAAAAAGTTTACACCTAGAAAAGTGCTAATTATTTTAAAAATCATCTATGAACAGTAAATTATTATACATCTTATGAAAGAGTGTCTTATCCCAAATCATTTGTATCATTTTTGTGTGGTATGTGTTCACGCTTGAATGAACATGAGGCATTGTTTGCGAGAGTGCAAAAATCGACGTGCGCCAACGTGATACCCACAGCATGTATTATGTTGGGACTAGCGGAGTGAGAGAATAAATTGAATGTATCAAATGAAATGCATTGCATATGTTTTTTAATATCCAACACCTACTCAAAATAGATTGTGAAAGTCATTGTATATTATTCTTTACAATAGCATTTTGGACCATTTATAAATTGATTGTTATACGAAATATAACTGGGATAGACAAGAGAAAAGTTGCTTCTAAACAAAATCTCCATAGAGAAATTATAAAAAGAATGGAAAGTAAATCAAACTTAAAGATGAACAGAAAGCTTTTACCAAAAGAACTGTTGGGTGTTACTTAAGAAAAAATGAAAGAAAAAAAGGAAAAAAAAGAAAGAAAAACAAAAGAAAGGGAATAAAAACTATCAGTATAATGTGTTCACGCTTGAATGAACATGAGGCATTGTTTGCGAGAGTGCAAAAATCGACTTGCGCCAAAGTTGCTTATCTGATGTTTTAATAAAACAATTGGGATTTGGTATTAAATCTGTTTTTTGCAGATCAAAACAACATCCCTAACAAGATTAATCATGCCACACATATCGAATATCAAATATCAACGAAGATTTGTGCGCATGTGTGCGTGCGTGTGGGACTTTGCCTCTGCAAAAAAGATATGCAATGCATTTCATTTGATACATTCAATTCATTCTCTCACTCCGCTAGTCCCGACATAATACATGCTGTGGGTATCACGTTGGCGCACGTCGATTTTTGCACTCTCGCAAACAATGCCACCTGTTCATCTAAGCGTGAACACATACCACACAAAAATGATACCTAATGGTTTGGGTTAAAACATTCTTTCATAAGATGTATAATAATTTACTGTTCATAGATGATTTTTAAAATAATTAGAAATTTTCTAGGTGTAAACCTTTTTTTTGACTCACACGGTATATCATCATCCTTGACTATACATACTTATTTGATTATGTATCCAAATTGAATAATGATAAGAGTGATTTTCCGCGACACATGTGGCGTATAGTCATTCGACTCTGCCATTTACCGTCATTTGATAATAATAATCATAATAGTGGGTTCTTGTATAGCGCTCATGTCTGTCAGACTTGACACTCCCAGCTGGTGCTCCCATATCGTAATAGAATAGATAGTTGTGACATAAAAATAACAAATGAATTTGATATACTCACAGCTGAAGAGAAGTAATTCGGAGGTCGGAGCTAAAAATGATGGTTGTCTCTTCGCGAATGCGTCTCAATGTTCTGAATAAAATACTCGGCACTACTGATGCCGGAGTCACAGAGACACCGAGAATGTGATCTCCCCAGCGTGGTAACATTGCGTAATAACGTATGGAGCGGGGAATACCCACTGATGCGCGAACAGCTTGTGCACATTACGTTGCTCAGCTTCTACTTCTCCTTCTATGGTAATACTCATCAACGCCTGTTCAGCATCTAGATGAGGGTAAAGCATAGAGTTGTTATATACATCTCTATGCGGTACAGTTCCTGAAAAGGGAGCTGCGTGTAATACGCAATACGTAGGTCCCCTAGTTGATATGGGCACACAGAGGATTTTTTTTAATGTTGGGAACCGGGGTAAAATGCAATAAATTATTGAAAATTTATTGCATTTTCTGCTTTTTTTTTAATTTATGGAAACTGCCCCCTACCCAAGCCCCCGCTGCGTACAGTCATGGTTCAGTGACAAAGCAATGGCTCGTAACTGCATGTGAGGCCCCAGGATCAAAACCGTGTCGATGTGCTATATTAGTGCCCTTTTGTGGGACATTAATCCTCATTACTGCCATTTAAGCCTTAAGGGCGTAGGTCCCCTAGTTGATAAGCATAGTAGCATACACATGCTTCAGCAGTCACGCAAAACACACATTGGCAAATTATTATTCAATAAAATCTGAGTATGTATACTATTATCTAGATCTATTAATTTTAAATTATTTTTTAAATAATTCCATAAATTGGGGTAAAACAAAAATATTCCACCGATATGAGCGACAGTGTATACTGTATGTAATGGTTGTAAATTCATATTGGGCAATGTTTATTATTTTCATCTAGATAACCCCAGTGGCCATAGTTGATAAGAGAGGGTGAAAGGAGGTGGAGTGAGAAATAAAGAGAGAAAGAGAGAGAGAGAGAGAGAGAGAGGGGGGGGGGGAGGGGGAGCTAGGTCGCGGCCCTGAGGGACCGAAAACAGAAGAAGGAAAAATGTAGACATAGGGGGTGGAGGGGCTATAGATGGGGAATATAACACGGCAAATCATTCATGCTGAAGCCAAAAGGAGAAAGTTAATTATCTTAAAGTACATTATTACTGAGTAAATATAATACTACAGACATGGGAGAAGAGTGACAATGTAGTTTGAAATATTTGTTGTACATTGTATATAACAATTTATTGATAAATTTAATGTTGATTAAATAAAAATATTAGTAAGCTATTTAAGGAGTGGGAATCAATGACTGTTCAAAATACACCCATCCCTTCGCCTTCTTTTTGGATAACCCAGGTTATCATTGCATAGTAATTTATACAAAAAAACTCTGTAGGTTCTCTCGTGTCTGTGTTGAATAAGTCAAATAGGTTGTCGCTATGATTTTGTCATAACCCGATGTCAGTGTATATCAAAAAGTACGACTGGAATAGTTTCGGTAAATTGTCTTTTCATCTTCTAATATTTGTTTAACCTTAATTCCAACATAGTGAATATGTAGTACAAGGGATCATGAGGATTGCCAGAAGCTAGAAAGATCAACACTTTTACTTCATTTTATTATACACCTATGAAAGCTATAAGAGGTGCTATACACTATTCATGAGCCAGGGTAATGTCACCATTCCACAAAGGTGACGCACGAGCCTACTGACATTGCCTCGGATTAAGCCTGACTGATTTTTAAAACTCTTCGGAATCGTGTTGTAGCATACAAATAAATGTTTTGTAAACGAATAAATATTACAGCAAACAAAAGACTTTTTTACAAAATGTCCACGAAAATTGTTAATGCAAACATTTATTTACTCATCAATAAACAATAAATACGAATACGAAAAAAATATCTAGATTACACATACACATTAGTAAGAATATAATATACTTTTGATTTGAACAATAATTTGTTGCATATTAATCGAAAATACTACTTTATTCAAGTTCCAACACCTTCACGATTTTTTTTCTTCCCCCAAAACTATGTAGTTACTACTTCACAGGCGAATATTCATATTTTGGGAAATCACAAGCAAAATTCAATAAGCCTGATTAATATTTTTTTCTTCAAACAAATAAGAACTTGTACAGTTACTGTTAAAACACAAAATGCCTTTTTATATGAAGGAGATAAAATCAGAATTAAGAGGAAAAGGCCAATGTAAGTGGAATAACATATAAATACAAATACGATTGTGAAAACTTTGCAAGAGTAACGACATTTAAAAAAATTCAATCGTACAGAAATTATTCGTATCTTCTACAAAACCTCTGTTTATTGAAAGGATTATGTCCCTGCAAACCATTTGTTTATCGCCAAAGCATGCATATTTTATATTGTTACATTTAAAAGAAACGAAAAGGGATAAAAGCCAAACGAAATAATTTTCATAAAACTGCACAAGTTGTAACTTAGCTCATAAAAGATTTGACGTCACACAACTGTTTATAATATGCATGCACTGCATCGTCATAGTATATAACTTAATCTTATATACACAGATACAATAATAGCTATATGACATAAACGATTAGGGGTAAATTATTCATGATACCAAGATTTAGAGTTTCACAGTTGGTGATGTTGTCATGCAGTTTGTATGTGTGTTTTTTGTATTTCAAATCATATTTGCTTTTGATAAGAGCCCAAGCTCTTTTAGCCGAGTTTCTCTTCACTGCAACCTAAAACAGAGATGGGAATATATCACACTTTAAATCTATCAAAGTTATTGAACTATATTTACAAATAATCATATATGTATATATAATATATAATCTTTGAAGGATTCCATGATGGTGAGGATAGATCTGATCTGAGCGAGGTTTACGGTAACACCACGTATATTTTTCGACAGAGTTAGTTGGCCCTGACAGGGGGTCCATACTCTATCCGACGTTAAAGTAACAATATCTAGGCCTTATACTCTGGCCCCCATACGCACTATCGTCTCGGACTAAGACAGTAGTAACCGAAGAAAGAAAAACTAGCCTATGAACAAATATAATTTAACACCGACCTACAGACTTGTCACCGTCTAAAACAGCAGGAGCACACTATAACAGTCTGGAATGAAATGTCTTTACGAAGTTTTTATATATTTAACAGACTTCTTCATTCAAAGGTGTTTTTGTGTTAACATCAAAGAGTGATAGAAACCCATACAAACCTCGTTGCCTGTAAACATACAGCCTGATAGTTGTTACATTTGAATTTATTTGAATTTATTTCCATATGAAAAGAACTTAGAAGTACGATAATCTAAACATTACACAATATGTACACATCCTATAAGAGATAAATGGCTGGATGGCCCGACTCAGCATCCACCAACATGGTGGCGCTGTTTCACCATGTAAAAGAACGTTTAGGCGTACTTTATATTTCTCCCCGTAGAGGGCACAGGGCGAAACACTTTACCAAGCTATAATGACTAACCCTATTTATTGTTTTAATCGCTAATTTGTGTTTTTGATGTGTAGATACTGAGAGTATGTTTAAGAATGAGTCATCTAAAAATCTGTTGGGTCAATAACACACAACGCCTACGTCTTTCTTTATTGAATGGAAAACGCATATGAAGACAATTTATATTTTCAAAACGTTTGTGACGCAAACACAGACAATGAATTTGTTAATGTAATTATCTGTGGCATAAATTATATCCAGCATTGGGTAAAATGGCATATGCCCCCACCCCCTCCAAAAAGAAACACCCACCAAAATTTCAATACATTATCGAAATCCAGAAATGTTGATAAATAAATAAAAGGGTTGGGGAATAAATGGGTAGCACCATGCGACATGATAAACGCACTACTGTACTATTAAACTGCGTTTTGGGGGTATAAGTATGGTGCCACCATTTACATAAGTGCAGGAATCATCGTCGTCATCACCATCAACAGCATCATCTATCATATTCGACATCATAATCATCGTCATCGTCGTCCTTGTCATCAAGATTCATCTAGGGGATGTCTCTCTTTTCAGTGCTTGCTTCTGCAGCCCCATTGGCCGCAGTGGCCGTGGCGCCGCAGCAGGCCAGACAGCCGATACAGCAGCCACAGAAACAGAAGAAAGCGGCGATGATGTAGCAGACAGTTGTCACCCAGAAGGCGAAGTAGTAGAGCGTTGGGTTGCAGTAGTCTGCATCAGAACTGACCGTGGTGTTTGGCTTGTAGATTCGATAGATCCATACATTTCCTGGATGAAAGCATTGGTGAAAATAGGAAAATAAAACCCACTGTATTCATTTGTCTGTTTGTATGAAGTTAGTTTCAAACGACAATGGCATGAAAGGAATTATGCAAGAACGTCTTCCACGCAGGCATCTCAAAAGAAGAATGAGGAGAGCAGAGGGAAACTATTACAAGAATCAAGGATTATACTTAACGAGAAGGAGCGACCTTTTGAATATGAGGGTTTCACCACTAAAACGTTCCTTTCCTTCAGCAAATCCATGTTGTCTATAAAACAGATGATCAAATTGATATTGATGTTGGGACTTTGCAGACAGATTCAGCATGGGGTCCCAATTTTTTCACGTGTTTGCAAGGCCTGCTCTTGTTTGTTGAAATAACATACCTTTTGTCAGAAAATGAAAGACCTTTTACTTGTGACACAATAAACAGACTATATACCAACTACATCTCTTTCTTTGGAAGGAAGAAGACGAGGAAGAGGAAGAAGACGAGAAAGAGGAAGAGGAAGAGGAAGAGGAAGAGGAGGAGGGGAGGAGGAGGAGGAGGAGAAGGAAGAAGAAGAAGAAGAAGAAGAAGAAGAAGAAGAAGAGAAGAAGAAGAAGAAGAAGAAGAAGAAGACAGACAACAATTAAATACTCACCGGCAATGAAAAATGCGAAGCAGAATACTCCGATGAGATGGCTGAGTCCGCCCTCCACTTTGTTGGGTTTGAAGTCGGCCTGTTCTTCTTGGGGAGTCTAGAGCGCTGAGCCCTCCCCTTCAGATCGATCAATGACTTTACTATGTAAGCCACCCCCATGGTGATCAAATAAATAGGGATGAATCTTTCTGCGGGGCAGTCGTCCAGATATACGGCTCCTGTGGTTAGTGAAATGAATGATATTGAATTGTTAGCAACGACGACTTTAAATTCCTTTGGTGTAAGTCCTTTAAAATATCACACTTTCATGTGCTGCACATGGGACCACTTTGTCGGTCTCGCGGACCAGAATACTAATTTTTAAGGTTGGCGAGACTGGCGGCCCCCGATACCAATATATCGTTCTCGGGGAACTGCTGACAACTTTTCAATTTTTCAGGAGACCGACATTGTCGGTCTATTGGGCTATCTGCCTCATGGCTCTCGGCCTCGTATGCGTCAGTCTATTGGGATGTTTTCTTTCATATTCTGCCGTTTGTTTATATATTTTGTTGTCAAGTTATAAATTTATTTATAGCATGGCCGAAAAAGAAAATGTTTGTGCATTGCGTGCGTTCGGAGTATAAGTTTTTCTATCATACAATTTATTACAAGTTTAGTGTGAGACCATTTACCTTTGGCTAAATAGAGTACCTCTTAAAGTGTGACGGCTTACTGGCCTAGTTGTCAAGGTTGCTGGCTCCAAACAATAAGTGTGCTAAACAATGGTGTGCTGGTCACACCAGCCCAGGGGCGTACACAGGGGGGGGGGGGTGGGTGTTGGGTGTTGAACCCCCCCTTTGGTATTTTTATGTGTGTAAACCCCCCTAAAACCCCCCTTTGATTTTTTTTGTTTGAAAAAAAATTATGCCCATGGCTGACCTAAAAAGGTGACCTTAACCCCCCCCCCCCCCCCCCCCCCCCCCCCCCCCCACTGAGCGACTTTTCGGCCGGAGCGATTTTCAAATTTTCGGGAGCAAAATAATAAAGCTGAGTCGTTGCGAAATTTTGGGCCCGATTTTAAACCCCCCCCCCCCTTGAAAAAATCCTGCGTACGCCCTTGCACCAGCCCCAAACACTGAATTCGCCCTGCTCCAGGCCGTTGCTTGCATGATTTCGCGGTGAACGTCATGCGCAGGCTCAATTGTTTAAAACCAGTAACCTTGACGACGAACGAATATGACGTTAGCACTTCGGTACTCTATAATAATAATAGGAAAGCATTTTTGGAATGCGGATCGACAACTTCGTCACGCCACAGTTTCCGTATACAAGTGGTGGATCGAGGGTGGAGAGGCAAAATATTCTCTTCAAAAAGTTAAAGTATGATTATGTAAGGATAAATATCTTCAATATAAATTCATATTGTATATAAATATTCGACCACTTTTGTTGTCATGTAAAATGCTTCTATTGCCAATCCAAATATGTAAAATAGTCGCCGGTATTATAATCAGTTGGACGGGACTATACCTTTCTATATAGTCTTCTCTTTCAATACTCTCTATAATCTTTTTATCATTTCTTCATCAAAAGAGATTAACGTCAATCTACATCTAGCTCCATTCAATGATCATGAGAATACGTTGCTATGTATACTGAATTTGCAGACGTTATCATTCATACTTACCAATTGCGACCATTGTAATGGGAATGGCGAGCATTAATGCCATAAATAATGTCACGATGACTGTAAAAAAGAACAAATACACGGAACTAATTTTAGAAAGAATCCAAGAATTCTATAGCTTATGATAATGGCAATTTTTGTTATACATTGGTATAGCTTGAATTACAATCTATTTAATTAATAATTATATTCATACATGATGATTTGCAGTACTCATCATAGTATGTCTCATTAAGTAATAACTATCTGTTTATTTTCCCCTTCCCCCTTGATTCGTCCTAACCCTAAATGTGGCACCATTCCATCTATTAATCAATTTCTGTAAATTTGAACAATCAGTGAGAATAGGCAAAATGGATTCTGCTCAATACATGTAAGACCTCTGCGACTATTTAAACGTATCTATTTTTAGGTCTTATTATCTAATATAATTCGTATTCTAACAGTAATAAGATTGCTTGCAAATCACACCCCCCCCCCCCCCCCTCCCGCGTTTAAATAAATAAAGTTGTAATGGCTCTTGGGTAGTGTGTTGAAACAAATCTTTGTCAGTCGTTGTGCGTATCAGTGTCTGCAATATGAGACTACTACAGGCTCTGTACTTCAGCTGCTGGACACAGCCAGAGACTGACTTATCTAGGCCCCGCTCAAGACTTTTAGGAATTATGATCACAGTGTCAAATTACAGTCTGCAGACAACAGTGCTTGCAGACTAGCTCTGGTGCAAGAGGGACTGACGAGACACGTCTAGGAGAGTCTCTTGACCTGTTCCAGACCATTTTGATTGAAGGGGGGTTGTCTACCAAATTTCCATCAATCAACCTCCTCGACCCCCCCCCCCCCCCCGCCGCCCCCGTTGTTTTTATAGATGTCTGGATACGCCGCTGGTCTGGACCGTATGTCAGTCGGTAGACTTACATGTGCCGAGCAGAATCTTGACGACAGATCCGATGAAACCGACCGGATTGGCGTTCTTCTCTTTCTCACTCTTGATCTGGCCAAAGATGGATTGGTAAGATGGCGGAGATCCATCTGATGATTAAGAAGAAAAATAAAAGTAAATAATTCCCCCTTATCATTTTAATACATTTTTACTAAGTAAATCATTTATCACTTTGTTGATAATTACAATTCTGAAGAATATGCAGCGGTTAAGAGGTGTGACAGTGCAGGGGTGGGGTGTGAGGGGGGATCCAGGATACTTTCACTAGATGGTGGGCACACGACAATCTCTGACAAGAAGAAAACATTTCATCATATTTTCAGGTGCCTTAATGACGTCTAAAATTGCACTATTGCACAATAAGCAAATAGGCAACAGGCCTACACAATAGCAGCATGGGTTTCGTCTGGGAGTACTATACTAATATAGGTCAAAGATCTCTTTGTGATTTTAGTAATACTGTATACTACTTCATCTATCTCATCTTCAGTCACTTTAGAGTCGGACACTGCGTAGTGAATTCATTGTCTGTGTCTGTGCCAATTCGTGAAAAAATACATACATGACACGTGAATATATATCACATTAACCAACACTAAAACTATTACATTAACAACCACTCCTTAGAGACTAATGCATTATATCCACTTTCAAGTCTGGAGGTCAATGGGGTCGCTGTACATTAGACTCAGCTCCCCTTGCCCGATGTTCAAAAATTAATGATAGACGTTTACAGTCATTCATATGTACCAGCTATAGCTGCTTGATTATGTCAGTGTTTTGAGCAGTGTATCAGATGAAAAATAAGTATAATAAGGGCCTATATCTCATTTCCTTCACTTCGTTTTTTTTTCCCTCCTCTTTTTTGCTAAAAACTTTCAATATTAAGGTAACAGGGATAGGCTACATAACGCGACAAAATGAAAAGTGATAGGTTAATTTCTCCTGGCCATATGGCGTTAGGATATCTAGCACAGATTGATCAATCGTGTTGTAGTTTATTATGCTCTACTTACACTTTGTAGATTATGTAGGCCTACATGCATATATTTTGTTAAATTTTTGGGGAGGATAAAAGAAGAGGGAGATCTCACATCCATAGCAATCGACACCTTCTTGCCAGATTACTCAGTTACTATCGAAATTATTGTTGGCTGCGGTGCATGCGTGGAAACATGGTGGGTCGGGTCCTAAATGCAGCTTATTTGACAAAGAACATGTTCGCTCTATCACGTCCTTTTACAATAAAGTAAAAGCTCGCCACTAAAACAATCAAGGGATATCATTTTTTACAAAATTGGAACAAATTGCTAAAATAGAACCTCTGAAGTAACGCAGTATACTTTCTCCAGCACAGACAACCCTGGATGTTGTTTTTTATTATTCGGGCATCTTTCTTTTCCGCCAATACGCTGCTATATCCCTGTAAAGTTGTAAACTGTACATGCGTTTTTGTTTATATGTATACTGTATTACGTTTTGTGGTAAGAGTCCAACAATATGGCTATGCCTGCAATGTACGTGTGTATGTATTGGATACGATTTTACGCATCAGTGAATATGGAAAAAAAGAAAAACCTCAAACCTTTGAATTACAACACCTATGATTGCTATATATATCGATTTGTAGTTCTTTATTGCAAGAAACGCACGGGACATGCATATACTGTACCAATTAGACTTGCACTGAATAGACCGGGTACACTAACATATTCAAAGTTATGGATGTTGCTAGACCTAGTTATGTCATGAGTTATTGAATGAACTACACTACTCGGAATTAAGTCTGCATACATTACTTGTTGCTATGTTGGGCAAACCTTTATGTTTTCAAGAACAACCTTTGTTTAAAAAGCATGCATAGAATTTGAATATGTTAATAAACTGGTCTATTGCATTAAAATTATGTTCAGTGCTGTATACTATTATACTAATAGGCAGGATTTATCAATTATTTCATGTTACGTCGGTCAATGATTTATGCTACTAAAATAATACACAATTATGTTTTTAAAAAACCGAGCATGATACGAAAAAATTTATTCCTGTTCATAATATTGTTATGGACTACGCGAAATACAAGTAGCCGAGCAGATGTGTTTATAAAAAATATATAATAATTATTATGGAAAGTGTTTTTTTTTCTAATAAGCATGCACCTGGTAAGTATAATTGTGCTGGTATGAAAAGCAACACATGAAAGTGATATCTTAAAACAACAGATGATCATTATAATTTTATAATTACCACACAGTATAGGCGTTGAGGCACAATTTCGTGGCTGGTGGTTGACTTTTTTCATGTTTTTTTTTCCAAATATATATGGGGGGAATACGGATAAAAGAAAAGAATGTGCCTACATTATGGCATGCAGTCATAATGACGTATCTTTGAGCCCCCCCCCCCCCCCCCCATTTCTCGCAAGGGGAAATCGTCGGCTTTTATTTATTCCATTTTAGTATGATAAATTACAATAACCGAACTAATTAATATCATATGCATTGGGTATTACATTAGAACCTCTACAGAAAATATTCTCATTAAACGCAGCAGAATGTTAAAGGTAATACAAAGTTTTGGGAAATTTTGAAAATTGGGTGGATAATGATTCTTTACCATTTTGATATATTTCAGATTCAGATTTCAGATTTTATTTCCGTTTCAAAACAAACAAAATATAAACAGACATAATATAATACAGTCAAATATAATATAAACAAAGTAAATTCAGTATTATGTAGAACAATATTTGGATGCCCCTGTGAATGTATTAGAAGCACTAAAAAAATTAGCCCCTAAAACACTTCTGCTTTCGAGAAATATTGAATATAAAAATTTACCGGAAATTTTGATAAATTTTAAATAGCGCCTACGGCCGTACAATGTTAGCTGCGATCATGAAAATCTCAGAATATGTAGTTTTGATATATAATTTCCAAACGGGAATAGCTAATTGGTTGATTTGAGTTTTTAAACATTGTTTTATAGCTTAATTAGTATCTTGACCTTGAGAGGGAGCTATACAACATAAAGAGTTTATTATTTACAATTTCAAAACTTTAGACTCGTTTTCAGCCGCGACAACGATCACTTAATATTGTAGGATCGCATTTCCTTCTAATATGTTCATTTGAACAAAATTCATGACCCCATACCAAAATTTTGTATTACCTTTAACTCAAATGGAACAGTTCTTTGCAATTTGTCTATATCTAAAAGATGACTATAAACAGATTTATATAATTATATCATTTCATGCCCACCATATAATAATGACAAAAAATATATTTCTAGTGCAGTTAACCGCTCACGTAGGCCTACCCTAGTCCGCAAGCATAAACCCTGGTCAGTCGTAAAAGTGAGTCTGCACTATAAGACTACCATAGGCCATGTACTGTAACTGCTCCTTCACATATTCCTATATTGATACAACCAGTAGGTAGCTTGGCTAGACTTCTCTCAAGGCACAACGATATGTTGATAAAGTGTTAAATTAGGGTCTGTGCCTGCAGACTAGGCCTACCCTGTCACCTTGTGATTTCAAGTCACGAGTATTGACAAAAAATATCACGACCGCAGCTCGATTTATTGGGATTAAGTTCATAATGTTGTGAGATTTGCGTTAATACGCTAAATAATGATAATCATGATAATCATTTATAATTATAAACACATTTAACAACAAAATTATTTTTGTGTTCTGTTGGTTTGTACTAAAAAAAGGAACTCTTTCTTGTTTTTAATATGCGTATTATATAGCCTGGGTCAAGTAGGGGGGTGCACGATAGGTCGATAAAATGCATGGGAGGGGCTTGAGATAGGGCTGTGTCATCTCCCCTGGCGTTCCCCTTCCCTCTCCATTTCTTTCCCCTTTCTATCCATTGTTTTAATCCCTCTTCCCCGTCCTATGGGGGAATATGCCCCTTTAGGATGTAGTGAACACACATGCACACGCCGCTGTAAAAGTCGAAAATACTTGTAATCATCAACATTATAGGAGATGTTGACAGGAAATGGCAGACTCTGATTTCATGCACGCATGCAGTATTCTTGGATGTGTGCCTATGTACGACGGTACTTTTGAACATGATCAACACAAACAACTCAAATACATGTATATATAATATAACACAGGAATAGAGTATTGGTGGGGGCTCCCCCCCCCCCCATTGCCTATACGTCAGTGGTGATAATAGTATAATTGGAACTAACCTTGTTGCGTTGCATCATACGATGGAGGAGCTGTCGGGTCAGTCGGTGACATACCGAGAGATGTGTTCTCTTCCGCCTGGTAAATATAAATCATAGGATTATCAAAACCAATTTACAAGCAATGAACATTTGTTGCACTTTTAGGACGCAAAAATGACGCTATAGGCATATACAGTCATTCCCTTTATCAACATGCCCCCCCCCAAAAAAAAAAAAAGAGAGAGAGAGAGAGAGAGAGAGAGAGAACAGCGACAACAATGAACTAACCGGGAAAAAAAATTGTGCCAATACTCGGAGAAACGGATGTTTAAACTATTACTTACAGCATCTTGTTGTAAGCGCTTTGGCCCACTCTGGGAAAAGCGCAGTATATAAATAATAATAATAAAATAATAAATAATAAAATAATAATAATTGACTTCTTCTTCTTCTTCCGGAGACTAGTTTTAAATGATTATTTCAAACATTACTTCTTCATGGGATGGAAGAAGAAAAAAAAAAGAATCCGGAAGGGAAGGGACTGAATACCAACTTATTTCATCGCCTTATTGATGAAGTAGGGTGTGGAGAAATGTTCATAAAAGTTTTAATAGTTTTTTATGCCACAATCTTACATCGTGATATTATTTTTTATTGATGTTTTCAGATTCCACTGAATTTAACTCATTTTTTGAAAAACGTACAGTTAAAATGAAGAAAATGAGCCTGTTTAGGGGCGATGCTGCTTCGCTCATCACATACAGTTTTACCAAACGATCAGTATTGAGAAGCTACTATAGGTGAATGTACGACCATGGATCAACGCAATCAATCGCTCTTCTGGTGTGGCATCCATAGGCACTGTTATATAACTATCGCTGAATTGGTGTTCTTTGTAATGATGTCTTGGTCATGGCTAAAAATAGCCGCCACCCCATCCATCTCCTCTATCTCTCTCTCTCTCTCTCTCTCTCTCTCTCACCCCCCCCCCCCCCTCTCTCTCTCTCTAGCTAGTTTTAGCTATAGCCCTCTCTCCCTTTTCTCGCTTTCTGAGTCACCCAGCTCCCCTTCCTTTTTACCTGTTCAGGTTTCCTTAAACTTTATGGAATTTTGCAAATTATGAAGCAGGCCAACGTTTTAATAACTTAGACGTAGACATAAATCAGATTGTGAAGGTATGCTATCTAAATAACTGAAACGATTTTTGTTTACAGAATTTGACGTGAGCAAACTTTAAGATTTGACAATTATGGGGGTGTTTAATGTCCACCTCCCAAGCAAGTTTCAACTTGTTTTTTGTAATAGGTAAGTTCCCTTTTGGATATGAAAAACATTATAGTCTGAACTTTGATTACCGTTCACATGTTTCAATCTTAACTTTCCCTTTAGTGGTTTTATTTTGAAATAACAAATCGGGTATCTAATCATGTGATCAGTCTCAGGGGCGGATCCAGAAGTTTACAAAAAGTGGGATGGCACAATTAATTCTGGAAAGGGGTTTTCCATCTGTTTTAGATGCTAACTTAATATACCAAAAATATGCGTAGAAATATTTAATAAAAAAAAGAATTGGAAGATTATGTGAGATTTACAAGAGAGAAAGGTACCCCCCCCCCCCCCCTCTGGAAATAGCCATAATGATGTCTGATCGTAAACAGGGTTGCAAAGTAGCATTGTAACATATCTACTGCCTGAGTACATTGTATGATTAGCAAACAAGGCTACATTTTTTAAGTTTCATTTTTTTTTTTTTTTTTAAATTTTTTTATTGTAATATCAACATGATTTAATATTTTATTCGTTTTTCTGCTGCTTGTCAACATATTATAATAAAAATACGATACTTTGAATGCAGCAGCTTGATCATCATCATTTTTTTATACATACTGTTGATCATATACAGCGATTTCTTTTCATGACCGGGAAGGGGGCGAAATACGAGGGACGAGGGAGCATGGTGAACGAGAGGGGCGAAGGTGACGAAAGTGACTACCCCTATGTTTTTGAAGTTTTGTTGTATTATAAAATTACATTCCTTTATATATAGCAAGACTATAGCATATAAACGCGCAATAAACTTCACTTTTACTTTGCCGGTAATTAGTGTGCAGTCCGAAGGTCTGTCAATATTTAGTAGATAAATTTTAGTAAGTATATAATACAGGGAGCTTGAGCATGGATGGGATTTCTATTTCCCACTCACGGCCTCTGTCATATATTTTGATATCGCTATATGGGAGTTGAAATGGCAAATATATAGACTATATTATGCGGTATATAGGCCTATAGTGCTGAAAATTTGTCATGCAATGAAGGACCTTGACTTAATGATTTAGAACGCCTCAAAATGTGACTACTTAAATTTCCTAGATTTGACTTATAATATGATATCAACATTGGCGATAACGTTATAGCACTTTTACCTGCACTATAATGACGAGATAATAAACGCGTCCAAATATTTCTTCAGTCTCATCTGTACTATGACACGAAATTTGCAGTTACCAATATCATTCATAATACAGTGACAGTCAAACCTGTCTATACAAAAAGTGGCCTTTAGACAGGTGGTCTTTGTAGACAGGTACATGTTTCAATGAGAAACCATTTTCAAGGGAAACAAAAAATGTGGTCCTTGTAGACAGGTGGTCTTTGTAGACAGGTGGTCACTAAAGCAGGTTTGACTGTACTTCTGATTAATCTACTTATCGGATAAAACTTACCATTTTCAGTTGATTATGGATAATGTTGTCGAGAAGAAAAACAAATTTGCGTGGTTGAAAGAGAAAGTTGAACCCTGGTGGGAGAGAGACTGCAACACACCCTCTACCTTGCTTCGTCTGCAAGCGACTATATAAATGCGACGTATAATCAGGGAGGTGAGACTTTAACTCACATGCCCTGGTATAATTATTAGTACTAGTCAACTCGTCTGCCAAATGCAATGTATTTTCGTTCGTTGCTTTGTATAGCACGCACTATAGAATCCGTGCGTTGTTGCAGCGAAGCTTTGTTGTACCTTTTGTTAGACTGCTTATGGACCTTTGTATCGTTAAAGTACAGAAGTACACGGCGCACATAAAAAAAATAACCACAAAACAAATAAGTGGTCATTCAACAATTGCTCTGTACATAATACAAGATCATAACCTTTCATTCTCTTCATTATTGATGACGAAATGTAACATATTTGCAATAATTATATCTAGGGTCAATAAGGGTGAATGTATGTTTGCACCAAAAAAGGTTATTTTTTAGTAGAAGCAAATGGGAGGGGAGCTCTTTAGATACGTCACAGAGTTGCCTGTCTGTGTTTGATTGATCACAACTTCAAAAATTCATAACTTTCTAATTTTTCAATCGGAATCCTATCTTTTTCCTGCATCTATCAAAACCAATTCAATATATTAGAGTGGGCTTACTCAAATTGTGTGCGAACGAAGCGAGCTTTCCCAAAAAAACATTGAAATGTTATATATCGAATTGTTTTGAAATCAATTTTCCCGTCCATAAAAATTGCCCGCGAACGAAGCGAGCTTTTAAAAAATGTAATACATGAAATGCCAGTTTAATTCTGCTATCAAAATCATTTTAACAAAAAACAGATATGAATCTATCAATAGACCATCTTTGTGTCCGAATATGTGGCGACAGCTGTCCGAATATAGGCCTAAAAAGGTCATTTTTAAAAAATGGGGGGCTGCAACCCTCTCCATCGGATTCTCAGTTATTAATAGGTGACAGAATAAAAGTATCTGAATGTTTCTATTTTCATGCGCTTCCTCGATATTGCCCTGAATGTGAATTCGTTATGTTTATACTCATAACTAATTTTGTTTACAAGAAAACCAAATGTCGAGAGAAATGTACCAATAAAAGTGGCGTAACAAAAAGAAATGCCTAAATTAAAGTAGCATTGGCGCGGCTTTCATCGAAAGGGTGCGGTGCGGCGCGGTGTGGTGTGCTCAACGCACCCATTCGATAAAAGAGGGGGGGGGGGGGCTTTCTCGAAAGGGTGCGTTGAGAGCGGAGTACCGTTTTAACACACCCTTTCGATAAAAGCGGGGGGGGGGGGGGGCTTTTCTCGAAAGGGTGCGTCGACTAGTCTTTCGCATCAGTCGTTTAAAATGAGGATCTGGGACAGAAGGTAATAGTTGCCAATTTAAGTATATCGAAAATGTATTAAATAAAATGGAATGGTTGTTGTTGTTGTTTTAGTTTTAAGGGCGTGTGTCATTCAATTATGAATATTTACGCCGTCTTGATTACAGAGTGGTCTCTTTCGTTATTATATGTTGATGGGGGAGACAGAGAGAAGGAAAAAGGGAAAGGGAAAGGGAAGATAAAAGGAAAGAAAGAAGAATAAGAAGAAAAGAGGGAAACGGGGGGGGGGGCGAAGGGCTCTTGCCTCCTCCTCACCCCCCCCCCCCGCCAAAAAAATAAATAAGAGAGAGAGAGAAGGTAAAGGGAAAGGGATAAAGAAAATATAAAAGGAAAGAAAGAAGAGGAAGAAGGAAAGAGGGAAACGGGGGAAGGGCGAAAGGATCTATTCTTACCCCCCCCCCCCGCCAAAAAAATAAATAAGAGAGAGAAGGGAAAGGGAAAAAAAGAAGAGGAATAAGAAGGAAAGAGGGAAACGGGGGGAGGGCGAAGGGCTCTTGCCTCCTCCCCCCCCCCACCCCCGCCAAAAATAAATAAGAGAGGGAGAGGGAAGGGAGAGGGAAATAAAATATAAAAGGAAAGAAAGAAGAGGAAAAAGAATGAGGAAAGAGGAAAAAGGGGGCGAAGGGCTCTTGCCTCCTCCCTCCCTCCCTCCCCCCCCCCCCCGCCAAAAAATAAATAAGAGAGAGAAGGGAAAGGGAAAGAGAAGATAAAAGGAAAGAAAGAAGAGGAAGAAGAAGAAAAGAGGGAAACGGGGGCGAAGGGCTCTTGCCTCCTCCCTCCCCCCCCCCCGCCAAAAAATAAATAAGAGAGAGAGAGAGAGAAGGAAAGGGAAAGATAGATAAAAGGAAAGAAAGAAGAGGAAGAAGAATTTGTGTCCTGCCAGTGTCACAAATAGATATAAAAATATGCTCATCTGTCGATAATTTGATGTATAAAACCTCTCACCTTCTTGGGGCTCCGCCCCTTGGATCCAACACCAATTTGTGTCCTGCCAGTGTCACAAATAGATATAAAAATATGCTCATCTGACCGTTATTTATTGCCCAAAACCCCTGAGCTTCCGGGGGCTCCACCCCCTTGACCCCACGCCAATTCGTGACCCCTGTGTCACAAATAAGGTATAAAATAATAATAATTTAATGTACAAAACTCCTGAGCTTCCGGGGCTCCGCCCCCTGGACCCAACACCAAATTGTGTCCTGCCACTGTCACATATAAGGTATAAAATTATGCTCATCCGACATTAATTTTGATGTTTAATACCCCTGAGCTTCTGAGGGCTCCGCCCTGTGAAAAAAACGTGTAAAAAAACACGTTACTTTTACCGTTTTGGGGAGATAGGCCCCCCCCCTCCCTGGCGTTCAAGGGGGGGGGGGTACGATTTTCAAATTTTCGAGGGCCCCCAAAAAAGATTAGTGCTCTCTAGTAATTTCGCGACTACTCCGGAACCGCGGCAGATATAAAGTTTTTCTTTCATGACTTTTTTCTTTCGAGTCTTACGCATCTTTTGAAACATTTTTTTTGTTGAAAATTGGACGTATAGTTGCGGAGTCACGTGACCTTTTGTTTTTGCATGTCAGCCCTAAAATCGCTCATTTTTGTGATTTATGTACCAAACATATGGAAATACCATTTATTCGTAAGACTCGAGAAAAAAGAGAAAACATTGGTTATTTGGTCTTGTTTTCAAGTTAATGTGTTTGTTTTTGGGTCAAAATAGTTGAATTGTGGTTAGAAATGAAATAAAACAACAAAAACAATATAATACATAAATACAAATTATCAAAACAAGAGATGGCATAGGGATAAACTGGCTCTTCCAACTTTGTTGTCGTATTATTATTCTAACGAATATATGTAGTGAAAAAGAACGCTTGAATATGAATTATATTATGATTTATGGGTAAAAATGTGAATTCTCTGACCTTGTTTGCATAAATTACCATAAATATGCAAATGAGTGAATTTTTCAAAAAATTGAATTTACCATAGTTTTTTATACACTTCACTTGACATGCCGAGATGCACATTTTCGCGGCGATCGGCTGTGAAACGGCCGAGATCTTAGGGGGGGACCCCCCCCCCCCCCCACCCTCAAGTCAACTCCAATCACATTGAAAAAAAGTATGACTTAAATCATCTCTCTCATCATTATACCGCTACAGTATTCATGTTTTTAATATTATTTATAAACAAGTTCATAGAAAAAATACTTATCTCTCTGCAACATTAAAAAAGAATCTTCATTAATATGTCTTAATTTGTATTGATAGCCTTGTGGTCGCCAACAGTGGCGTAGGTAGGGGCGTCTCCAAAGGGGGGTGTGGGGGTGCGACACCCCCCCCCCCCCCACCTGTTAGGATATTGTCGGTAAAATTGCGCTGCCGTCGGGAAAAAAGAGAAAAGGGGGAGGGGAAAAAAGAGAGGGAAAGGAAAAAGAGGGAGAATAGGAAAGAAAGGAAAAGAAAGAAAAAAAAAAGAGGCAAGAGCCCTTTGCCCCCGTTTCCCTCTTTTCTTCTTCTTCCTCTTCTTTCTTTCCTTTTATCCTCTCTTTCCCTTTCCTTCTCTCTCTCTCTCTCTTATTTATTTTTTGGCGGGGGGGGGGGGGGAGGCAAGAGCCTTTCGCCCCCGTTTCCCTCTTTTCTTCTTCTTCATCTTCTTTCTTTCCTTTTATATTTTCTTTCCCTCTCCCTTCCCTCTCCCTCTCTTATTTATTTTTTTGGCGGGAGGGGGGGGGAAGGCAAGAGCCCTTCGCCCCCGTTTCCCTCTTTTCTTCTTATTCTTCTTTCTTTTCTTTTATCTTCCCTTTCCCTTTCCCTTTTTTCCTTCTCTCCTTCTCTCTGTCTCCCCCATCAACATAGTAATAACGAAAGAGACCACTCTGTAATCAAGACCATTCCATTTTATTTAATACATTTTCGATATACTTAAATTGGCAACTATTACCTTCTGTCCCAGATCCTCATTTTAAACGACTGATGCGAAAGACTAGTCGACGCACCCTTTCGAGAAAAGCCCCCCCCCCCCCGCTTTTATCGAAAGGGTGTGTTAAAACGGTACTCCGCTCTCAACGCACCCTTTCGAGAAAAGCCCCCCCCCCCCTCTGTTATCGAATGGGTGCGTTGAGCACACCACACCGCGCCGCGCCGCACCGCACCCTTTCGATGAAAGCCCATTGGCGCTGAGCCGCCTTTTTAATTTTTTTTTTAAATTTATTTATTTGCACATCTCTATTTTCAGAAACAAGTAATAACTATATAGCATGACTACATGTATGGAAAAAAATAAACGTGATACAGGCAAAATATGCACAGAAGAAAAGATAAAAATGTAAAATAGGTTTTTTTTGTTGGTATAACTTGCAAATCTGCATGATCCCATTTAATAACATTCAGAAGAAAAATATGATCATAAGTACATAGATATAGAATCAGTTTCGCAACTGTCGACTAATTTTGTATTGGGGTGTAAACATTCAACCTATTCTGGATACAGGATACGCCATTAAAAGGGTCATAAACTTTCAACCTCATTCTGCCCTACCCCTCTTCCCTCGATCTTATATTATGTTTTCTTTGGACAGTGTGTAGTGCCGATGCGCGATCACATAGAAATATGCAGGAGTGCCATTATCCAATATTACGTAATCCATATTGTTCAACTCCGCACCTCATCGGCTGAGAGGTTGAAAGATGTGTTTGTTTATGGTTTGCTGCCATGGAATATTCTTTCATACTTATTGATACAAAAGATTTCAAGCGTTGACTTTTTATCGGGCCATCTAGACTATACACATTGACATTAAGCGTCATGAACAGTTCCTATACAGTCCATGACGCTCAACATTCATATTGCAAATAGGGTAATGTAAGGCACACCTTAGGCGTTATATAGATCCAGAGTTTTGAAGACATAACGTAATAAAGAATCAAAGAATCAAAGAATCAAAGAACAAGAACAAGAAGAACAAGAACAAAAATAATTTAAAGAAGAAAGAGAAGAACTGAGAAGAAGGAGACGTATAGAAGAAGATGATCGATAACAATGATAACAACAATCTGATCCTAGGCGTTTGAGGAAATCTATATTCCTGGTGTGTAGTACCCCCGGGATAAGTACCAACGGACCAGGGATATCACGTAATTAATTAATCATGCGGTAATTTTGCAGCAAATAGATAGCAAATGACCCCCCCCCCCCCTCCCCCAATCCTCCACTTCCCTCCGGTCCCCCTCCTCCTAATGATGTTTTGGGGATCCCCCTGTTCTTGTCAAAACTCTATATCGTATTATTATTATCATCATCATTATTGTCTTTAATATTTTTTCTTATCTGTCTGTAAATATTACGATTTTAACTTGCTAATTTCTACATGTATGTCGGGGACCCCACTGGAAATAAGCTCTCGAGTTTTCGTGGGTTATCCTGTTCAAGCTGACTTAATTTTGATCTGTTATTTTTTTTATATTGTTGTATGTTGGAGGCTTGGCGAATAAAATTAATCAATCAATCAATACAAACCATGCTGCTCTGTATAGTGTCTAGGCCTTTCCATAGACTTTGAAACTGGGGATCTGTTACAATTTTTTTATCAGATAATAGCATGTGTTTATTTCCGGGCACAGAGGTCCAGGATCGAATCTAGAAATGGGGGCGGTAATGTGAGTGGCCGACTGCTTTGTCCCGACCTTTTGGGGGGAATGGGCACATGACAATATTGTTTGTAGCTACTTCACATTGCGCAGTTGCTGCTTTATGAAATAATCACCTACACCATTCACCTATTTGCAGGCACGTAGCCACGGGGGGGGGGGGGATGTGCCCCCCCCCCCCCCAATTTTTTTCCAAGATCGGTTGAACTTTTTTAGACCCCTCCCCAGTACGTCGATCGATTACATGTATTCCCCCCCCCCCCCCTCCCCCTAAACATCAAACTAGGGGCCTGCTTATTTGAAGCATTATGCTCAATAAAACATTTGACGAATAAATAAATTATACATGTAAACATAGAATTCACAACATTTCTGCATTTAATGAGCAAATTGTGTTGTTTCTCTGTTTTGTGCCGATAGAGGACACTATGGTAAAATCTTTAAATATCAGAAGACGTAATTTTTTGGGAATCCCCTCCTTAGAAAAATGTCGTCGCATCGACGGCGTAGAATATAGAGCTCGGTAATTATGTGTTTTTATTTTGTGTTTTCTTATTTAATATTCAATGGAATGAATTTTGTGTGTGTGATGAGATCTTAATAAAGACATACGACGATGTAGATATTCAAAAAGGGCGATCATATTTCGTAATAACTGCATTTTTGGCCACGAAATTGACAACGCCATCGACGCGTAAAGTAATAGTGCTACTTGGGCGTAGACGCGACGTGGAGCTGAGAGCCAGAGGGCTTGGGTACTGTGCGGTTTCGTACGTGACCTCAGTCGGGTCACAATTATTGCACCATCATGGTGAAATATAGGTATGGATTGAAGACACTCTGTACTGTCATTAGTGTAATATGCACAATTTTAGTGTCTGGTTAAACTTAAAGTACAAGTGGGGTGTGAGGCATATGAAGCTAAATTGTGAAATAGCAAAATAATGTAACCATTACTTTTTATTACTCATTCAGTTTGTTTGCAAGCACTGACGTATGAACTTGAAGTTGTGTGCAATATCTAATGAATGACACAAAGAGGTAAATGAGAAACAAATTTTCTGAGTGCTGAGTGAATGAGTGGTCTCCAATTTAGGACTAATAGGTCTATGTGTACAATGAGCTTGAAAGATGATATATTTTTGTAATTAATTTCACAGTAAAGTCTCTGTTTTTTGTTCAGTGATTTTGTTTCTAATTGTGTAATTTATTTGTAAATATTGTGTTTTTTATTAATTTTCCAACAAAAACACAAATAATTTTTTTTTTTTTTTTTTTTTTAAATCAACAAAAATCAACAAAATTGTTTAATCTGAAAACGTTGGGTTTTGGCTCGCAGTTAAACAGAATTGGAAATATCGGTGATGTTACAACGATAAAACTGTGTTTCAGATGATAATATTTTGTATTTTGGGGCTAAAAATCTGCAGGAATACGACTTTGCGTCAACTTCAATTTGACATATTTTGTTCACTGCAATGATTTCTCTGGTAAACCATTAAAATCATACCATTTGCTTTTGTATCTGGGTCAGGAACCACCATCACTATGCAAAATCACTGATGAAAATTGCCAGATTCCAGGCAATTCCTATTGTTAAAATAATACTTTACAAATGATGGATTATGTTAAGTTAGGTATAGAAATGAAGAGCAAGTTCTGAAGATACAGAAACTTTTGTATTCTGCCCTGACAACCAAAGATAGCACTCTCTTCAGCGCACACAAATCAATCAAGTTCGGGAACGAGATGCTGAATAAATCTTGACTATAAGCCTCATTTATAGCATATATGCGCTGCGGTCTGACTGCCTCTGAAAATTTAATTTTGTATCTTCAGTAAATTTAGTAAATATCACCTGCTGTCCTGACCCCCCCCCCCCTCCCCCTTCTGATTGATTAATGCCCCTGTGAGTAACTCTGCATTGTAGAACTAAAAATGGCACATTTAATGTAGATCTAAATAAATCTACCTGAGCCTTTCTACTGTGACATCATCACCTTAAATGTGGGTAAATCCATCCGACACTGTACATTAATGTATTGTTTCAATGCAAATGTCTTTTTTTTTTTTAAGCACTAGATAACAGCTAAATGAATAATAATGATGGTGATGAATATGATGATGATGATGATAATAATATAATCATGATGATGATGATGATAATAATAATACTTCTTCTAATATAATGATAATAATAATAGTAGTAGCAGTGATGAGGAGGAGGATGATGATGCTTTTAATGGTAATGATCTAAAAATAATAATAAAACTTAAGTATGAAATAGAAAGTGGATCTTTTAGTCTTAGAATGTAATTTTACACAATCTTTATTATACTTTCAGAACGTAAATGATGGATAAAACCCGGGAAAATGCCCTTCGCACATGGATATTTCTTCTTGTGATATTCCTCATAATACTTCACTGTGGAAGCGCTGATGAGGACCAGCATGAAACAGAGGTATGGGGTCTGGTTATTTGTGTGAATTTACGGTGGATGGGTGTGTGGATGGGGGGGGGGGGGGGGTTGACATCACATTGATTACAAATGAATTAAAGGTACATTTTTTATATTATCTGACTTTGTACATTGTAGGGGAGGCATACCGGTATCAGTCACATTTCTGTATGTTCTAAACATTAAATGGATAGACATCAAAATATTAAATAGATATACATCAAACTGTATCAATTCACTTATAATTCCACTTTTATTGAGAAAACTGAGAATGCCTCCCACTAGTATTCTCTTTCTCTAAGATACAAAATAATTCATAACTTTCTTTTCTCTATGTATCTCTCTCTCTCTCACTCTCCCTTCCTCTCCCCTCCCTCTCCCTCTCCCCTCCGTTTGTCTGGTTGCTTACTATTTCATATGTTTTATAATTTATTTTTTTCCATTACAAAATGTTTCACTTGGAAAGTCCAAGGCTGCTGTTTCCATGATACCTGACCAAGGCCCTCGGAGAGCGGAGCGTGATGTTAGTCAGAGCAACCCTAATGACTGTTACCCAGACGAGTACTTCAGTGACTACTACTGGAAGTGTATAGGTTGTACCCGATGTTCACGCGGGACTCAACACGATCCTCAAGAGGTATGGGGAGCTATCGCTTAAAATAAACAATAGTGTTCAGTTCTCGTTGTGAAACAAAAAAGGCCTGTTTTCGTCAGTTTGCCAAATAACCCACTTTTTAACTATTCCGATTGCAAATTAACCAGTTAATTTGCACCTTCCTCAGCCCGCAGTTGTAATCAGCGGAATATCTGGTCGAGAAAATATCCTGAGAAATCTTGGTCTTGTTTTCAAAATATCTCGCTATTTGGGAAATAGCGGGCTAATTTGCGCCTGTCCGAGATAGTATGTGATGAGCATATCGGTCTGGTGAGGATGCAATTTTGAGCTTCAGGATAATATTCCAAGCTTGAAAATAGCGGGTTATTTGGCAAACTCGAGCTGATGTAGACAGGCCTAGAGATACAAGTGAAACTTGTTGATAAGGCCCTTACATTCTCCCAGTCAACGTGCAAGCTCTTTTAGATGCAGTGATCCTATTTTAAGATAATCTGATGATTTTGTGGCAAAAAAAGATAAAATATTATTGAATATATTCTCATTTTTTTTCCACTTGCATCTTTGGATTGCCAGATATCTAATGTTCAGTCCACTTTTCCAGCTTAAATTTAGTGTAGATATCTGAAAGGTCCTCTAAACTGACGCAACCTGGTAATTGCTAACTGCAGCTGTGCTTCATCAGCATGCCACACTGCAATGTCACTAAGTTCATCATTTGTTTGTCACACATGGGAATGTACATCCTGGCTAGGATCTCAATTATTTTTCACCTCTCATTTGTGTGATATTCCACAAAAGAAAGAAGGAACTTCACAGCAACTTAGAGTGAAACACAGCTGTCCTAAACATGGTCTGTCAAAAAGCATTTATCACTACATATATTTTCATTTAGACAGTCAAAAGGACTATGCTTTAATAATAATAATAATAATAGTGGATTCTTGTGTAGCGTTCATGTCTGTCGGACTTGACATCCTGGCATTCTATGATTATTACCCCGGCTTTAGCATGGCTACCATCATGTTGCGCTAGCATATCAAGGAATTAATTCCTGCCAGGTACCCATTTACCTCAACTGGGTCGATGGTGGAAAATGTAGATTAATGTTTTGCCAAAGGACAAGTGCCAGACCTGGGGGGGGGGGGTGTTTCACAAAACTTGTCATCAGTGACAAATGACAGTTGTTGTTATAAGCTACTGAAATCCTTGCTTCTGATTGGTTATCAGCAGATTTGTCACTGATATTTGTCATTTGTCGTTGAAAAAAGGCTTTGTGAAACAGGTCCCTAAACCGTGGACTATGTGACGTATCCATTAGCGTTTATTTCTCATAACTATTTTCTTTGGTGATCATAACGATTGTTTCTATTTTTCTACTAGCCCTGTGGAAACGGCCGCGGCCAGGAAGCACACTGCACACCTTGTGATGAAGGCTACTATCAAAGCCATGAAGGCATAGCTGTCCTGACTTGTCGGCCGTGCTTGACGTGCGACCAGCGCGCCGTCATAGAAAGAACCTGCTCCCGACAACGAAACACATTGTGTGGCAAATGCCAGAAAGGGTTAGTCTTATCTATGATGCAAGTCACCCATTTCTGAAATTAAAAATACAATACCGGTAAACAAAAAGCTCTAGCAGAGATTTGCTCAAAAGCTAGGTAATATTGTTGCACTGATAATGCTAAGGTCTTGTTGAGGTTGGAGAGTGCCATCTAATCTAGCATTATGGACATTGTTGAAGGTCATACATGAAATCTATCCTAAATTCAAAAACTGCATATTGTTACCGGTATGTAAAGCCTGTAGCGATAAGTGTTCAGCTTCTTTATGCTTAGGTCACAGCAAAAATGCATATACATTTTAATTTCAATGTCACTTTGATACCGTCATGGATGCTGGTTTGATGTGAAAAAACTAGGTGGAACGCAGCAGAAAATTTGACATTTGAACATGTCCAAAATTTTCTCTGGCCTTTGTGTTGTCGATCCGTTTTCTCTTAAATGTATATACCAGTATGGGAAACGCAACATAGCCAAATCTATGTCATTTCAAATCGGTGTTGGCTTGTTTCTTAGGTTTTCACATCGAAATGAAAACGCATGGGTCTCAACACATTGATGTGACCTAGCATTACAATTATTTGTGAACTTATGCTTCAGTGTGAGCATATCTTTGAGAGACCTGATGCTAAACGCCTCTTGTGATTATGATCAGTCAGATCATGAATCGTACAGTTTTTACAGTGGAATTGCCTTAGGGAATTAGTACTTTTGGTCTTGGGGTCATTCCATTTCCAAAAATTTAAGGGTACATGTACATAAGTATGCGCTGGACCCCTGTTTCAGTTCCAAAATTACAGGGGTCTGAATCTGAAAATTGGGGGTTCATTGTGACCCACACACATGAGTGTCAATTAAGCCCTGATCCTTAATACATGTATGCTCTCAAATATCATTTGTACCGGTATTTATTTTTACTTGCATAACAGGTGGTATTACAATGAAACCAATGCCTGTGTGGAATGCACCGAAAGAGACCTGGCTGACCCAACCAACGAGGATTGCTATGTCAAACCAGATCCAACTCCAGGACCAAATCTAACTCCTACCGGACCACAATCAGGTCCAGGACCCAATCCAGATCTTTCAACAAGAGCTCCTGTACCAACAGTGGATGGAGCATCTTCAGAGCCTCTCCCAATTAAGCCTGCTCAGGGGAAAGCTGTAAACCCGCAGACTCAGAATGGTGAATAGAGTTAGATTTAATTTTCAAACGCTCTCCAGAACATTATTAAAAGACAAAGTGCACATACTCCAGTAGCTTTGCAACACTTTAGACGCAATTTAAATAAAAGGAAATATCAGTAGCAAATTCATACACTAAAATTCAACAGCTGTGTTCTCAACCATACAGTTTTAGAAGCCACTTTTACCTCTGAAATCAGGGGGGGGGGGGTGGTGTGAGTGAAACTTCATCATATTAGGATTATGCATGTATATGAATGAAACATTTCAATTCTAAAGCAATTTAAGGTGTTTAATCCTGTGATGGGTAGTGTACTCTTTGTGACATCATAACACAATGATCATACAAATGGCATCTAAAAATTAATGTTCAGTCCTCCCTTTTCTCTACTGTTTTGTAGCATTGCGTGACTGGCATGTTGGACTGATCTGTGTAGCTGTTGCCGCTTCACTAGTAGTTCTTATGGCTGGTTTTATCCTGTACAAACTGAAAAACAAGAAGAGAAAAGGTAAATGCAATATATGTTAATGACATGCTTGATTGAAGTCACACTTTTACCTCCAAACTCTGCCAACTTTACATATACGTATTACAAGTACTCTTTGGTATTCATAATACATGTACATGTTCATGGGAAGCTTTCGGTCAAGACATGACTCATAATACTACTGCAGCAAAGTAATACATTCAAATGATCGACAAGAGGTACTTTGTGGGGTTAAGAAAACAGCTCCATGAAGCAATAGCCACTGTGCATAGCTTTGGATGTGTGTGGTGTATATACTATAGAAATATGAAGTGTCCTAGTTTTGCTTCTTCTGTTTTTTCTTCTTCTTCATTTCAATGTTCCAAAGCAGGTTTTTTTTTCTGAAGCAGCTCACTGCCTCGTCAGAGTTTGAAGTTAAGAATATATAGACTAGTGTTGGAAGTTGACATGGAGCAATTGTTGCAGGAATCTGTAAAAAAAAAAATTGTAATTCATGTTTATTTTATTTGTTCAATGTAGAGTACAACTATTTCATTAAAAAAATTATATCTCAAAAATAGTTATAGTATTACGTTCCTGTACAGGAGTATAGTGCATAACACATGACGATATAATGTCCCTATGCGCTTCCAAAAAGCTTTAGAAATGATTACCCTAGCTTTACCTCAGGCAGCCATTATCAGCATACTGTGCATTTCAAGGAATAATCCTACCATGTCCCATTTACCTCACCTGGGTGAAGTGTGGCAAATGTAGATTAACGTCTTGCCAAAGGATGTTGGTGTTGTGGCAGGGATTGGAACCCGTACCTTGTGGTTCACAGTTCGGATACTTATCTGCTGGACCACTACACCTTGTGGGGCTCGTGATCCACCCTTTTAGATTATAGCCAAATGTAAATGAAGAGTATAGGACGCCATGGTGAAGTTCAGTATTGTTTATTTGTGGTAGAAATGAAAAATCGGAAAGCTCTATAAATTATAGTTGTTGGTTTATTTTCTTGATGTTAATATAGATGTGCCTCCTCCTGCAAATGTTCATGAGATGGAAAACTTGTACGTTGGACCTGATGAGCAGAAACACAATCATCATAGACCTGGTCCCTCAGGTAATAGTCAATTGGTTCACAGAAACACTCTCAATCATTTAAAGATAAACTTGAGTTCTGGTAAAAAAAGAAAACGATTCTCACAGAATCAAACGAAACTTACACTGAATTTTCAAGGTTACAAATAAATGTCGTTTGCCAAACAAATTTGGTAGAAAATGTATACTGGCTGAGTAATGAGCATAGAAAGATAAGGAAATCAAGGTATATGCTCGACACCATTTGTGTAGTCCCATATACATCTTTCTGTGTACAGTGCTTGTTACTTTACCAAGACTGGGCCAAATTTATTATGATTTTGATGACTCCAGAACCTTGCAGTACACACCAATACTTACATGCTAAATGTTCAACCTTTTCTGATTCATTCCACACCTTTTCTTATGCAATCGTATGACCAGAACTCGACTTTATCTTTAAGCATACCCAACACAAGCTCCTTTTTGTGGAGAATATTATGCCTTCTTCCCTGTATCACGTCACCATGCTATTAGATTGAGGGAATTATTTTTGTGATATGATGTACAAGTTATTTTGTTACTTGTTTGGAACAGTGTTTTTCAACTGGGGTGCTGCAAGAGAAATTTAAAATGTTAAAAATATGTTTTGGAATAAAATCAACTTCATGAAAACAAAGCATGTGAAACCACAAGATGCCCAATATAATGTTGAGAAATATATAATTTTGAGTGCTTTTAGGAGGAAATAACATTTTCCAATAGATAATAAAGCTTCCTTTTCCTTGTTTGCCTTGCTCAAAATATTTGGAACCAGGATGGTTTCAGACAGTTGCATATACTCTCATATGACGAATTGGTACCTCATTGTCATATCCGTTATTTTTGTAATGATTACTCGCTTCGCTCGCTCACAAATTCCAAAGTTTAGAAAGCTCAGACATTAGTAGTAGCAAGCAAGAGGTAATCCACCTACTCAGAAATGTTCCTGTACACCCATGTGTACATATGTAATTAATAGTGATGGAAAACTAATCTTCTGTGATGAATTTTGGGATTGGGATGACACAAAACTTTTTAATTCCTAAAAGAGCACCATGACTAAAACAAAGGACGAAAAATGCTGGTTTAGAACATAGGGGTAAATTACCAAAAGTGAAGAAATATTTATGTACAATGTAAAACAAATTTCAAAGTCAGTCCTCACAAAAACTGTTGAATTGTAAATCAGGGTTGAATGCAATGTCAAAAATTGAATAATTTCACCTGCACATACGTATGTATAGTACACCCAACGTAACAAGAAATTTCTTGTGTAAAAGATAATAACATTGATAATATCAAAAATGATATTCTGTTTTAGTAAGGCGTATATCAGTATGATATGATATCCCTCTGTATGAGGATGCCGTCAAAACCTAAGGGGGTCACTCAGGCGTATGTTGTTATTGCTGTGGTTTTTTTTGTTGGGGTTTTACTTGAAAGAAGTACCAGTGTATATAGTATCAAATAAGTTAACTATGTTGTGCTGAATTTATCAATTTTATTGCAGGAAGATGTGAGGAAGAGCAAATGAACAATATTGTATATTTTTCTTTAATGTACTGTAGGTCCGCCATCGGATGAAGCCAACAATCCTATGGGTGGTCTCATGCCTCCATCTTCACATCTGGATCCAGCAACAGAAAGCATGTATGAAAAAACCATTGAACTTAAGCACATTGGAAATATAATTTAAATACATGTTGTACATAAATACCAGGGATGGATCCAGAGCTTTGTGCAAGATGGGGCACAATACTAACATAATATCATATTTTTAAAAATCTGACAAGCCCCCCCCCCCCCCCCCCCCCCCAATATTTTTAGAATTTGAGCATGCTTATTTATTTCAAAATTATCGTTTTAAAAAAGATATACTCTAACATCCTCTCCCCCCAATCTACCAGTAATATGTACACAAAATCCTGAATGAGATTCTTAATTTTAAACAGCAGGAAAAAAACTTCATAAGCACACTTTTATGGGCATTCATGTCATAATGGTGAGAGAGTAATAACGTTTACCGGTAGGCTATGCTGATATTTTTTATTCATATATATATATTCATGTTGAAAGTTCTTAGACCAAAACATTTTCAAGATTGTTCATCAGTCAGATTATTTTTAAATGAACATTGATTAAAATTGGAATATGCATCAAACCATCTATTTTTGTGTACTAGTAAACTGAAACAGTTTTCAGATCATTAGTAATCAAGAAAAACCTTTTTTCAAAGCTAAAGGCTAGATAGTGTATGATTTACACATATTAGTAACTCTTTGGTGACATAGACCTTATTTTTCTGACTTGACAGACCTGGTCCACCTGAGGGCCTTCCAGTGGATACCAGTATTAACCAAGGTATGCATGCATTTAGCTAAGAAGTCGATTTGAGTTTTTTTCCAAATGATGATTAACAATGAAGTGCTTGTCGAAAATTTTGCAAGAATACTGTAGTAAAATTGTAAGTGATTCCTTTTTCGGAAACTACATGTATTCAAGGAAATACAACAAGTGTGCAAGGCTGTAATTGTATGGAAAACTGACATAGCTCCAACGGGCAATGTAAATTTAACCTCACTTTCTGTTTCATGCTACATTTATATTATCACAGAATATGGGATGTACGTTGCAGGTCCAAAAATCTGTATTCTGATTTCTAACAAAAATTCCATCTGGCTTTAAATACAATACATTAATCAGTGAGAAACAAAGAATATTAAGATATCATTCTTTTTGTATGGGTTTCATGCTAATTTCAGCTAACTCTTTGCCTAAATATCTGTAAAATCATGTTGCTTTAAGTGTAGTTGCAACATACTCCACCTTTAAAGATCGTCTTAAGACTTACCTATTCCATCTGTAAACCAGTATTTCCTTAAGTTGTATAAGTTTTTTTTTTACTAAATCCATAATTGATATTTTATTTGTATATACATCTGAAATTAATTAGTTATCACCCTTTAGTCTCATTTGCTGCCCATGTGGCCTCGGATGCTAGAGCTCCTGTGAATAATGTGCTGACTGGGCTAGTCCCTTAAATTGTCAGTGAGCGGAGCAGCTGGAGGGCACAGGGCCCCACCGGGCAGAGCTGAGGATTGAAATGGGTTATATAAATGAATATTGCAAAATTGTTTACTTTACTTGTATCAAAGAGAACTGTTGCTGAGCTAGCACCATGAGCATCCCCGGACGTTGTATGCACTCTATAAGTTTACACTATTATTATTATTATTATTATAGCTACATAATAGTGCTTAGTTCTCAGAAAAGATATTGGAAGTGAATGAGCACATACAAAATGCCTTGTCTTATTTCCCAGATGGACACCCGACACGCAACTTTGTCACCACTGACACCACACACGTACCACAACCCGGGCCAGAAGATTTATCCAATGATGGCCCACCATCTAATTTCCATTCCTTGAAGTCTTTTCAACCTGGGGACTATATAGCAGGTTTCCAAGTCCCAGCTCGACATGCAGATGTTAGCCAGTCCCCCGATGAGATGGTTGACCCCTGTGCTCAGATGGTTGACCCCTGCGATCAGGTCACACGCTACGAGGACCAGAGTCTCCAGTCAGGTTTTAAATCTCTTTCCTCCTTTCTGCATCACAATACACCCGGATCCCCTCATAGACTAATCTAATTGTTTCCACTTTGTCACCATGCTGCCATTAAAGGGGAAGTCCACCCTGGTATTAAGTTGATTTTAATAGAAGCAGAAAAATTAAAGAAACACGTCTGTGAAAGATTAAAAATAAGAAAGTTATAAATTTTTGAAGATGCGATCAATGAAATACAAATTGGCAACTCTGTGACGTATCTTTCTATGTCCCCTCCCATTTGCCCTGTAAAACCTAAAAAATCTCAAAAAATTAACAAATTTATTCATGCGTTCATCCTAAATGTAATTTTGCAAATATGTTTGTATACAATCTGTGTATAAAAACAAATCTATTCCATCATGAATTTTATGAAATTTTCTATACAGAGCGATTTGGAGAGGAGCTCGTAAGATACGTCAAAGTGTTTCACTAATTTGTGTTTCACTAATGACAACTTCAAAAATTCATGACTATCATATTTTAACTGGATATTGGTCAACTTACAATACCAGTAATTTTGTTCTCTCAATTTTGCTGGTTTTATTAAAACTAACTTAAAGGGATCCGGTAACTTCGTCCTTTAAAAAAATCATTGATTTAGCTCATGCTGCAATGATACTTATAAACCTTTAGGTCAGTCAGGAACCCCATGACTTTTACAAGCGGATCGCCTTTCTGACTATCAAGATATTTATGATTAAAAATAGAATTCAAATTTTACGTTGGCCAAACGGTTTTCATAACACTACAGTCTATTGGGGAAAACCAGTATGGTAAAACCGGTCACTCGAAGGTTTTTACTTTTTTGAGGCACTTCTCGATCATTTTGAAGCGGCTTCATTATAACACCATATCACAGACACTGATAACACATAGGCCGTGCATCTCAGATTTAACATTGTTAAACGATCCCTTTAAGACAATGTCCCTTTTGCAGCCAACATCAAATTCTGTAGAACTTTGCAGGAATTATGAATATGTAATGTATGTCCTATCTGTGAAATTTAAATGTTAGCAGTGTCCTAATATTCAAATTATGCAAGGAAACCCGTTAACTTTCTAGACTTCACTGTCAGACACTATTGATTGACTGACTGGCTTTTTTTCTTCTTTGGTAATAGCATACATAGAATGAGCTGTAAAGAGTACATGAGCATTTGTCTACATCAATAACCCACTTCTTGTAACGGCCAATATTAATCTGATTGAATCTTTGTGCAGCACAAAACGTACAACCATTCGGTACAATGGTCTGAAAATCAGACATTTCCTACTGACTTGGTAGCATTTAAGTCGATTTGACAACTAATATTATTTTCCCACTTAAAGACATTTACAAGCCCCCTTTTTGGGGGGAAGTTCTAAATTAGTATTATCTTTCAAATGGGAAATAGTACCTTTAATATCAGTTTGAACTTTCCTTTTAAGGTTAGCCTAAATGTATATACATTGAAAGTGAAACCTGTCTATAAAGACCACCCAAGGGAGACAAGAAAGGTGGCCTGTATAGGCAGGTGGTCTTTCTTTAGTACATGTTACAATGAAATACCAATTTCAAAGGAAACAAAAAATGTAGTCTTACTATACAGATGGTCGCTAAAGCAGGTTTGACTGTACATGTATAACAAAATATATTACTGTACTATAGTCAAAATAAAAGTTTCATATATTACTTCTATAAAAAGACTAAATACAATCTCAATTAACATAATAATGACTATTAATATGTGTGTTCCCAAAATCTCTGGTAAAGGAGCCTTTTCACGAAACAAAGTCCGACCCGCTATTGACTTTCACAACGGAGATAGGAGAGGGAGGGGGGGTGCTTTCAAAAAGAGGGAACATGCATACACGTACCTTAAATAATACTGAGTGGGGGGGGGCCGAGGGCTGGAACACAGCTATGTGTGCAGGAATTTCTATGAACCTCTGTGACATCTTAGTACTTGTATGCTTAGTCGAAGTCATAGATGCGTAATTACCTAATCTGAGGAATGTCTTTTGATATCTACAGTAAAAAATACAGTAAAATTAAAAAGAAGTCAAATATTTGTCACATGTACCATTGTATATATTTTCATATATTGTGAAATCATTTTAGAACATGTCTTTACACGAACTACCGGCTTTTCATTGAGAAATGTTACCAGCTGGCCATTTTTTCATGTATATAGTAGCTTGACATGTAGTATGATTGTTATGTATAATATTGGAGTAATAGAGTTAATACACTTCCAGTAAACAGTGTACATAACCAGGAGGGAATATTTTCCTTTTAGTTATTGTAAAATCATTTTAGAACGTGTCTTTACAGGAACTACTACCGGCTTTTCATTGAGGAATGATTCCAGCTGGCCATTTTTTTCATGTATATAGTAGCTTGACATGTAGTATGATTGTTATGTATAATATTGGAGTAATAGAGTTAATACACTTCCAGTAAACAGTGTACATAACCAGGAGGGAATGTTTTCCTTTTAGTTATTGTAAAATCATTTTAGAACGTGTCTTTACAGGAACTACTACCGGCTTTTCATTGAGGAATGATTCCAGCTGGCCATTTTTTTCATGTATATAGTAGCTTGACATGTAGTATGATTGTTATGTATAATATTGGAGTAATAGAGTAGTACACTTCCAAGCATAAAGTGTACATATAACCAGGAGGGAATATTTTCCTTTTAGTTAACATGACATTGCTCTAATATTTTTCAAAGAAACATCATTATGTTCAATCTATACAACACTTGTTTGGTAGTCCTCACATGTACATAGGCGATGCATGCATATTGAAGTATGGAACATGACATGGTAACTATGTCATTCAGGAAAAAAATGCAATAAAAGGAAAAATTACCCCAAAAAAGAAACAAAAGCAGAAAAAGAAAAAAAAAAGTATGTTAGTTACATTGAAGTAAGTATCGTAGTTTTCTATAAAAGTTTCATGAGAATGACAGCATTACCTCATTGTGAAATGTAGTTTAGAGGGCATGTAGAAGTGTTTTATGCAAAATAGTGAACTATTTTTTTAACTTTTTTAAAGAAAAATGTCATGCTTGTTTCTGAACAGTTCATTTGCAGATGGTACAGTGCTATCAGATGGAAGCAGGTAATACAAGTACCTGTCCCCAAAGTACACTTTAGGACAATTTATCGGGAGCACGATAAATTTGATCTTTTAATTTCTTGAAATCCTTAGCATTTAAGAGCCCTATTTTTTCAAAGTTGCTTATTCTAACACTAGGTTTCACAATGGTAATGCAAATTTTAAATTTCATAATCCAATCCTGTTGAAATATAACCAAAACTTTGTATAACTTTAATATAAAACAATTTGGTAGTAGATCTGGTAGATCATCAACTCACTGCCTTGTCAATAAAGGAAATTTCTTGCCCCAAAAATACAAACAAGTTATCTACTGCCATATACTGCCCTCTACTGCCGTTACCCTGATCACTGACGGCTCTCGAAAGCTTTGGACAGGATGGATCATTCCATTGTCATTCCGATCAAAGCTTATTGTTTTTTGTTGTCCACCCTGTATTATTCCATGGGTAATGGACTTTCTCACTGATGGTACACAGTGTGTTTGCTACCAGGAAGTCGTGTATGACCTAGCTCCTATGAACCCCGGTGTTCCACAAGGTACATGGCTTGGCCCAGTGCTCTTCCACTAGTGTGTTTGCTACCAGGGAGTCAAGTCTGAGGTATAAGAGATTAATTTTTTCACAGACATGAATTTGATATTGTTATGTCATTATAAGTGCCTTATATCTGTAGATTATACAAATAGTGTAAGAAGCAAATTAATATATACTCAATCAATATTGTAAACTGATCATTTGAAATGAATCAGTGGAATTTTACTGTAAGAAATGTTCAATATAAATGTATCGTACAGTCTTTATTTCATAGCATCGGTCAAATCACAGGGTCACAATTATGATTTGTTCTTAATAAAGTCTTCTACATTCAGTCTCTTCCTTCTCTTCATCTGTCTTTCCTGTTCTTTTCCTTACTTCTTTACTTTTATTTTGACCCATATTCCTTTTTCCCTTCTCTTTTCAATTACTTCTACCTTTGCCTTTTCTTCTTTCTTTTCCTTCGCACAAAAAATTAGGAAATTGGATTTTATTAATCGTGTTTATTATGATTCACATTTACCATGCCAAATCATGTATCATTCTTTTATTCCTTATGATATGTTGGTATAGTATAATGCATTTTGATTTTATGTGTAAAATATTGTACAGTTCAGGCTGCTGGACAGTTCTGGAATATCACTCATGAACAAAATCGACGATATATATATTCTTTAAAAAGAGAATATCAAAAGTATTACTTTGTGTTGATTAATATAGACTTATTCTATTTGCAAAAATGTAAAACATGCTTGACTTTGATGTATATGTATATGGCAGTTAAAAACATAATTGTCATAAAAAGTGATAAGAAATCTTTAAAAAAAAGGAACAACGTTAATGTACATGTAAATAATTTACATGTTCATTAATTTTGTTCCTTTCTTTGAAAGATTCATTATCATTTTGTTTGCATTTGATAAGATATGACATAGCATGTACAAATTCATTTATTCATACTTGAAGATGTGAGATATTTTTAATCGATGACAGATGATAGCTTAAATTATAGTTTAACAGTTTCAAAAGCATTGAAGATGGTTGGTAATAGGGAAAGATGCTATAACTTTTGTTTTTAATGGATATACAGAAATTTGTTATATAAATGTTGTAATATCAATGTTAAAGAAATAGGGTCAGTATGTTTTTATTTGTTATTTTTTTTTAATTTTTATGGGGGGGGGGGGGCTTCTCTGAGCATCTTGGAAAGACTTTTTCACTGAAGATTAGACCATTGGTTAACAAAGGGCTTGTGGTCCACCTCTTTGCAACACTTGAAAACTTGTGTCCTAAGGTAATTCTTGGTGCTGAATTCAGATATGAATGTTGCCACCTGTTTTCATGAAACACCCTCCCAGTCTAACTGTTATTACTAGATTTATTATTTACTAGATGTTAAACTGGGTGGATTTTTCAAATACTCAATCCAATAGATGCTATTTCTGTGGTTGTTGCATGCAAATTGATGTGAAAACTATATATTTATTTTTTTACAGAATTCTTTTTATCAAGAGTTATAAA